ATATACTAGTTTTACATATGAAACATACAACGCGGTAGAGCGCTTGCAATTTCATTGTGATTTTTAAATATCAACCTATGACTGCACACCATCAGCTACAATTCTAATCGAATCAATTCAATGAATTATCAAGTAACGTTACTTTCATAGCAATTCAATTGAAAATTACAATTATAATGATGACGATAACGAGTACATGTAACATTAAATTTAAAAATGGAGAAAAACAGATGCACATATAGTTTGTTTGGTGGTTGTTTTCACTAGAATTAAATGGCCGAAACAAGTATTTAATTGAGCGAGCAAGTAAAGGACGGACAGAGCGAAAGAGAGAGAGACAGCAAGTGTCTGTGAGAGAATTTTCTCGAATTGAAAATTCATAATAAATAGACAATGGTCATAATTTACATCAGCTCGGATTGTTTCTAAACTGTGTGCTTCAACGTGAGTATAGATTAAAATCCAGACTGCGGAGCGAATGCTAAAAATATGATTGCGACATAAATGTTTGCAGTCGAGCGTGTGTGTGTGTGTGTGTGATAGTGAATGTGATGCCACATGTTGAATTTGTTTGTTGTATTATGCTTAACCTCTTTTCCCTTGGATCGTGTAACACAGAGATTTTCCACTTTCTCTCTGTTACAGGCTGTAACATTCCGAGCCATACGGTTATGTCACATTTCCACATGATGATGACGACGCCGATGATACATAGCATTGAGAGCACAAGAATAGAGCGCTATGAATGTGAGAATGTGCGATGGATGTTGCCTTTGCCCGTTGTATGCCACTAGTTTTGGATAATCCAAATGGTATGACATTGTGTGCGTGACTGATATGTGAACATTTGCATAGCACATAAGTTGAAATATGTGCCATTGCATGTGCAATGAATTTGAATTGATGATCTTACTAGTGAATTGTGAATATTTTGAAGATGTAGTTGCTTGAAATCAGTGGCATTGTGCCTGTTTTGATTAAAGCCATGCTGACAACGTCAATGCTATCAATGCAAAAGACGTTGGAATCAGTTGTCAGCTTGATTGTGTGAATAGTTAGAGCTTAACAGTGGCTATAATTGGCTTCACTTCAAACCCATAAGCGCATGCATTGAACCAATTGAAAAAATCTAAAAATAAATAGTTTGTGCGAGCAAAAAATGCAGTGGCTTTCAAAAAAGAGTCAAATGGAATAAATGAAGCGAGATGAGAGACATGCATGGCATGCATATAGATTGTTTTATGCGACGGAGAGAGAGAGAGAGAAAATGTTCATCGGTGGAATAAACATTGGTTGTACGGTAAATGCTGCGAGATTGTCGCAATGAAATTGATGCCTATGTGAAGATATCAATGTCTATTTTGGCGTCGCTTATTCTGCCAGTGCTTATCGCTTGCCTCAAATCGAATAGCTAATAAAAAAAAATGCCGTTCATGCCAAACCACTACAAATGGTTTTGATGCTTGTTGATCATTCGACCGTTTTCTATCTCACTCTATTCAGCCTCCATCCAAACTCCACTTTAATAGGCCGAAGTAAACAAAAATATAGTTAAATAGCAAGAAATAAACAAGAAAACAATGTAGAAGAGAGAGTGAGAGAGAAATAAAAGGAAAAAACACTTCATTTAAAACGAATTGAACACGAGAAGCTCATTTTTTTCCTGTTATATCATTGTATGTGTCTTTGTTCTCTTTCAACGTTATTTTGCCTTCTTTTAGAGAGAATTTGCCCTCAGCCGACAGTGATACAACAGTGAATAAGAGTCCAACAAGTGCGCAATCCAAAGTGCGCATTGTGTCTATTTTTAGAAACGGCATTATATTGGGTGTATGATGTACTACATTCTACACTAATATACATATATTCACCACTTGAAACAGATAGATGTTCGCTATCGCCATAATTGTATTATAATACAGCATTCGTTTTTCAGTATATGTACACATTTTATATATTATTAAATTGTAATCTCTTACAAATGCTTCTGCTTCTTATTATTTATGTCTTAGGCCCTCGCTCGCTTTATATGCATATATTTGGCTGTGCCTTTGGCCTGTTTTGCTTTTCTCTTGTCGACTTTCTTATACACATAAGTGTTTATATAGATTGCGGGGGACTTGTAACATAAATTTAATTTTGTTTCCCTCTGCAAACGTTTAAAAATGTCAATTCCAATACCGAATCAAATTACAATGCATCCGACACATTTGTTTCGATACAATGTTTTTTTAATTGCTGTGAAATCATCCTTGATAATGGACGACAATTTAAAACCAGTAAATATACTATTTTCAAGCCGATTCGATTCACTTGTTTATTTTTGGGCATTTTTCGTCTGGAACCCATTTGTTCTCCGAATCACACATTGACTGTATATATAATTCAACATGTGTTTAAAACATAAATCGCAATCCGTTGTATGGTTTTTCAAACCAAATTTTAAATACATAATCTTTTTGATAAGCCCTTTAATTTCTTTTCCAATTCGATATACGGTTCGTAGTTCGGTTTTCAGCACTGTCTCAGCATAACGCACAGAGACTTACAGCATAGGGATTTCGGATGGTCCATACCGTACATATTGATTAATAATGTTAAGCCCTGAAAATGTCTAAAAATAGAAATCTGCACGAAACATGGTACTTACGTACTTATCCGCACTTGATGATGGCTCAAAAATGGGAATGAACAAATTGGGATATTATGTGTTAAGTACGTAACAACCTATACAGTTGGGTCGTACAGAACAATTGTATATATTTCAATCATTTCTCCAGCACCTGAACTCAAACATACATTGATCGGAAGAAACACATAACACCATTTCTATTAATGCGAAATGATGAAGTGTTCTTTCACAAGTTGCCTTGGACCAATTGCTTGCATTTTGAATAACAACCGATTTGACTATTCGATCATTCACTTGAAACTGAAGCCAAGCGGTAGAATGCGTTTGAATCAGAGCTCGAGTCCACCTCAATGAGATTTTTATTGGCTAGTTTTTCAAATGACACATTTACGGCCACCTTCTCTTTTTTTGAATAAGTGCCCTTCGTCATTCGATGATGAATTGACTAATTGCTCATTTTCTCAAATGATAAATTGTTTATAACAAAAAAATCGTCGTACCTAATCTTTCCACTTCTCAAATTAAAAATAATAATAAAAAAAATATGTTTTAATATCACTTTATTAAGCGAGATTTTTATTAAGTAGTATCAATAATATTTGTTACCTAGGGAAATCACTCCACATAGAATATCTATAGTATTTCAGCTGTCTTCAATTTGGCCCAATAAAGTCCACACCACAAAAAGTAACAATTTCCATTAAAAATGTATGGGCTCCAAAGTGGACTCAATATATATGGATTTTAATTGAATTCTGTACGAGGATAACCGAAAAAAATGAGGACACAAGCGGGAAACGATTTTCTGATCATATACATGAAGAAAATAGAATGAAAAGTGAAAAAAAACAGAGAGAAATTTATGTCAATATCACTGTGTAAATCAATTTTTTTTCTCTCAAATGCTACATATTCAGCTGAACAAAATATATTTTGAAAATAAAAACAAATCACAAACGATGCATGTGAACAGTTCACACGTAAAATTCATTCGGTAGCGCGCCATATATAAATACATAGGGTATCCAGTACATAGAATTTGTTTGTAATTTGTTATTGCTATAGAGTTTGATATGCTATTTCTAAAAATAGATCAAACCAACGAACGAATGGAAAAAAGTCATACAATAAATGAAAACAAAGCACTTATACATACAACGAGAGAGAGAGAGGTAGAGAAATAGGCGAAGAGCGAGTGGAGAAGCAAAATACTAGCTGGCACAAAATTCGTATGGGTCTGAATGGAATGGAATGAAATGAATGCCGTCGTAGTAAATATGCCTTATATAATACATAAATACGATGAATTTACTGATCACGCAAGGGTTTGCATTGCGACACTTGTAAGAGCCAACACTTGTATGAGCTATGCGAATTAGGGCCACATAAACGATATGAAGAACGTAAAGGAATGAAACGAAACAATATTCGAATGTTTTGTATACACATCGACATTCCATGGCAATCGCATGACATTGCAATTCAATTGTATAAGCTCATATTAATATTGTATTTGATTTAGTTTGACCACGCACACAAATGCCAAGAATATTCTATGGCCAATTTCGAAAAACTTCAAGCAGCAATTTTGAAAAACAAAAATGTAAATGCCAAAAGGTCGAATTGAAATACGAACTTCTGCCTGACTGAGTTTCAGTGTTTTTTTTAATCATAGACACTAATTACGGATGGTGTTCGGCTCACATCTACACCCACCCAGTGTCAGATCGAGCGTTTATAATATGTCAAAATGATGTCTGCATTGATAGCGGGTCAATTTTGATCAAATTTAAAAGCTCGCAAATGAGCCCCAGTGTCATCGCCAACCAAACTGAAAATCATTATCATTTATTCTTCCAATCATCATTGCCGAACATTTTCTGATGCGTTAATTGTTGTTTATTTTCTCCACTCTGCACTCACAGATAAACGTTCACACACATATTCAGTCGCATATACACCGATCCGTTTAGCGTTCACGTGTCTCAACAAAATTCACTCAAACAAGCGAATATTTGATTATGTATGATTAAAAATAAACATCTCGTTGCGTTGTTGTCTTTTCATATTTATGTGTGTTTCGTTTCCTTTTCCACGCGCGCTTTATGACTTAGATGGAGCACACGAAAGAGATAGACACAAACACACATGTGAAGCGGTTCGCGCTCACATCGTTTATATGTTGTGTTTGTGTCGAAGCTTTTTTTGTTTCATCGGTATACAAGTGTACGCATATATATATAGTCGCAATGTTATTTTGAAATGCTCACTCATACATCTTTGAATGGGCACACGCAGACAGGCGCTTCAGGCAATACTTTTACATGTGTTACAGTCGTGATGAGCAAGTCACCCGTTTTTCAGTGCTATCGCGTAGCAGTATTCAATGTAGTTGCCATTCGACTGGACGTATTTTATCGTATTATCTCGCTTTTCGAGATAGTGAAACAAGACACACACAAGAACCATCAATGAAATGTTGAAAAATTTACAACGTTTTTTGTTTTTTTCAAAAAAAAAAGAGAAACATACAGTGAACAGAATAAAATAAAACAAGCGATAAAATCGCACGTATGACGTACGCAAAAAAACACTTTTTTTTTGCTAAAATCCAAATTTAACTGGACAGAAAATTGAGAAAACCAAGCGGGTCGTTACATTGGACGCACGCAACAACGTTGTTTTTTTTTTTCATGTGTAAATCAATTTGAATTTGATTTAATAAGCGCGCAACGTTAATAACAACAACAGCAGCAACAACGGAAGCAACAGCTACGACAGTATAAAAATACGAATAATTGACTTAAGTGAAATAGAAAAAAGAAACGAAGCGAAATAAGTAACAGAAAGAGTGAAAAGATGATGTGCTGTAATCAAAAAGAAGAAAAGAAAAACTAGAAAATGATCGACAATAAAAAAATTTAGTGACACAAAACAAGTCTGCGCTAGATATTTTGAATCAATTAACTTCGTCTGATTTTGTTTTATAAATTATACCAACTACACATCTCTCGTCGTCTGTTCGGTAATGAAAAATTTTAATATGTCGATTCGTTCATTGAATAATTTGATTTTTTTTTAAATTAATTTATTTTTGTGTTTGAGTGTGTGTGTGTGTTAGTGTGTTTTGAAAAATTTAACGTTTTTTTTGTTTCATCAACTTTTGTACATTTGGTGTATTTAACGATCTTACTGACTCGTCAAAATGTCACAATTTTTGATCAAAATAAAAAAAAATGCAAAAAAACCAAACGAAATATAGACAAAAAAAAAGCAAAACGGCTCATTCAATCGGTGAAATCATTATTAAAAATACGAAAACAAGTTCGTTTGATACTGTTATTCCTATTTTTTTATGGTCGTTGTTATTGTTGAAAGCACATTGCCAAATATCGTTCGCATTTTTTTCGCTCTCTTTAAGTATGGCTTACCAAAAATTATTTCGGCAGTGTGCTACATTTAGTGCGAAAGTGGAATTTCTTTTGTTCGAATTTTGCTTTGTATCAATTCGGTGGTATTTTATTGGTGAAATGAATTTGCGAATTAAAAATTCAGATGAATAGCAAAAATTTGCCAAATATTGAATTTGTTTGAATTCAACCCTCGAATTTGATAGTGCCTGCAATGAAAAACTATCATTGAACACTGAATGAACATACTCAAAGTAAAATACGACTAGAAAATTATGTTAAAACATTCCAAGAATATCGCTATAATCTTGAATTCTTGGAATTTTTTTTTCATACTTTTAATCACTCTCAAGCACTTTTGCTTTATTTTTTTCTGGTTTTTTTATAATCCCATACAAACAATCTACTCTTTTTTTTAGCGAGAAGAGCGGTGACCATTGCGCGGCGATAGTAATTGATATAATTGAGTAATAAATGCTGTTTTGTTTTCCGTTTTTCTGGAATGTTTTGACATTAATGCCATTGCTTATCTTCTCGACAGTTGTTTATTCTTCTATGGTCAAAGTAGTGTGCGTGTATGCATTGAAATTGTCATTGAAATGGCGTGTGTGTATGTGTCAGTTGCAAACAAACAAACAATGATAAATGTGCAGTAGACACAAACATAAACGAACGAAACGTGCGTGAAGAAAAGACATTAGCGAGCTGAACATCTTTCTATGCCTATGTCAATGAGAGATAATCAGAAAGCGGTCGCTGAGAAGTGAGAACTAGCCTGATAATAAATAGTAGCAGATTGAATGTGTTCTGCTCCTATCGCATTGGAAAGTTTTTTTTGTTATTCCGCTCTATACAATCGATATACAGAAATGTATCGGATGGAATTCAGACGCGATTCTGACGTGCTTACATTGAACTTTAAATCAAATATAAAAATATACGCAAAGTTCAGTCGAAATTGGCTATCTCTGATTTTTGAATGCGCACATTTCTCGGAAAAAGAAGCCACGCTCAGTTCTTTTTTTTATTTTGTGTTTTTTTATTGTTGCTCAGCTTTGGTAAAAATAGACGAGACATTTTTACTGCGAATACATCCGTGCAGAATAAAGAACGAGATCATCTATATTAATTGAGAGAATTTGAGTGAGCATACGCCACAAATATGCCCACGCAAACGCTTTGTGTACAAGAATGAACAATGTTCTTCGTTTGTCGCTTGCAGCGAAAATACAAGAATTAGAGAAACTCCTACAAGCAATCAAAGATCACTATCAAGTATTTTTGTGAGACTTTGCTCTAAAAATGTTTAATAAAAATCATTTCAATTTGATGACAGTCCATTTGTCAACATCTCATTTCAATAATGTGCACGTTTTATTTGAGTTCAGGTAACGCAATGGCTCCAAAGAAGCACGAAATAGATTATGCTCTGATTGCATACGCATTTTTAAAACGTCTCTTGTTTGGAGACTTTCTTTCTCGCACTCCGGAGTAACAAAAAATATCGATTTAATAAATTAATCTAATGAGACTATAGTAGAGCCGAAATGTGCACATATTTTGGAGAGACAGGTTAACATGCAATACGTGAACAATGTTCAGTTGTGCATCTACCTTTCTCATTTCGATAAATTTTGTATCTGGTCGTGTTAAAATAAATACATTTGAAAACACCGACTCGTTAAAACAGCACTTGATAATATGGCGTCGACGAGAACGCAGGCCGGTTTAAATATTGCAAGAAATTTTTTTATCGTGCATTCATTTGACTTTTAAAATGAAATAAAAATGCCGATGAGAATATATACAATTCATATGCGACGTAATTTTGGTAATTTTATTTTAAAAAAAGAAGTCATATCACCTTCATCGAAATACGAAGCCAAATCGAATATATATTATATATACACATGCACACGCACAGACTCGAGCGTACCGAAAATCCAGTTTTGGATCCAACAACAACGACAACCATTTTTTTGTTAATTTTGATCTTGAATCGAATGTAAAAAAAATCACAAAGCGATAAGCGAAAAAGTATTATTATTTTAGGAACTGTTTGCCGCGACGAAATCATCTATTTAAATTAGATTTCGTAGCAAAGAAAAAACACTGATATATTTTGATATTTTGCAATGGATGTGTCTGTATGTATGTTTTTCATTCTTCTTAAATTTTTCTCCCTTGGATTATTCTGAAACAGATCATTTTTGATGATAAAAATGCTTGTGTGTTTCTTTTTTTATCAAGGTCCATTAATTCATATTACACATCTTTTTTTGCGAATGAAATTTTCTCTTTGAAATTATAAAATGGTTTGATAAATTCAGCAAAAAAAAATATTCTTTAGAAAAAAAAAACAAAACAGGAATTCCCAAATTTGTTTACCACTAAATTGTGATGAAAAAAGATGCATACCATTGCGATCAATTTTTTCTCTCTCTTTCCATTTACTATTCTTTCCCGTTGCGCGTTTCATTTTGCGTTGTTCACGCATTATCGGCACGGCATTAGTAATGTAAGCATATTTATCTGGGTGCGTTTGTGTGCATGAAATTGTCTTACATTCATTACAAAAATCATTATGATAACAGCACAAATAAGAAAACAATCCATTTTTAATAATTCATTTCTTGTTTTCAGTAATAAAAACTTCTCAGAATGAACTAAAAAGTGATGACTGACAAAAAATTTAATCTAAATTAAAAAAAACATCTTCAATTGAAAGTGAAAAACGTAAACAAAATCGTCGTCGAAACAAAAAGTGACAATTTGAAATGACAATGATCAACAGCAGTTGAATCGATCATCAAAATAATAACAACAGCAAACAAACTAAATGAAAGAGAGAGAAAGAGAATGAATGTGTGTATTTTTATGATTCCCTGAATCCCTGAAGCAAATCAGTTAAAAAAAATTGAGTTCGAAAAATACGATGAACACATAAAGTACGAAGCAAATTATACACTGTAATTGATTTCCGATAAAATTCTGGAGCAAAGAGAATGCAGGCAGTCAAGTTAGGTGAGTGATTTCAAAGGGAGAAAATTGCATTTTCTGTCCAAAAAAACAAAAAAAAAAAAAAACTAAATTCTCTTCTTAAACGTTGATGCGGCCAAACACTTGTGTTTGATCGACGCATTTCATGATCGCACCCGAAATTCATTCGTACTTGTTTATAAACAACTGTTCATCATCATAGCCGATCTTAATAGGTCACACGCGTAATAATATCTGACGATAAATGTGTTCGTTTTGTCACATCATCTCTATTGAGCTGAAATATACAATACAATTTTACACCAAATGTGTTACCGTTTTCTTTCCTCAACACTTCACGTTTAATCAACGCGTGTATCAGAGTTATAAAAATTCCAATATCGTTCAAGACTTTTCATACCGACCGAAGAGACTAAAATAATATTCGCGTGTACACAATGGCTGTCATTTATCATAATTGTTGACGTCGTTTCAACATTATGAATTCAATTGTTGAGACAAAATGAACTGCACAAGAATGCATTGAAAAATTGATTCAAGTTGAAAGAGTGTATCGGAAATGGTGTCAAGTAAATGTGGAACATTTAATGAGAGTACAAACGGCGCATGATAATCACCAAAACATATATATATATGAGTGTATGCATTTTGCATGGCTCAATGAATGGAAAATTAGTTGGCACAAGTTTGATCGGCAAAACGATTCGAAATTGAACGGTTAGCATCAGTTTGTAACATATTCCATTTGCATATTATAAATAAATATTTGAATTCGATTCTTTTTCGTTTTCATATTAGTATCGAAATTTTTCCGTTGTCGTTCTTTGGCCGCATTCCGTTTGCATTCTCATCTCTAGCGTGAAGTAGCTTGTGTACAAAGTTTCGTATGCAAAACAATGGCAAACGATCGAACGAGATCCAACGTGAGAGAGTGGGGTAGAAGGAGAAAGCGCAACGCGCATAAGCGCGATTTCTTCAAAGGATTCCGTTTTAATTATTATATTTCTGGCTGATGTGCTTGTTTGTTTTCGTAGGATGCGTGTCTTATTTGCCTACTTGAAATTAGATTATATTTATATTTCCTCTCGCTCTCTCGTCTATTTATATTGGCGAAAGAAAAAAAAACGTTCAACTTTTTGTGTCTCTTTTTATCAGTTTTAATATATTTTCGCGTATAAATATCATACCAATTTGACATTTTTATTTGTGATGATGCGACGCGTGGAGCTGATGATGTCTGCCAAACAGGATGTTCATGCACATAACACTTTCTCTCTCTCTCTCTCTCTCTCTTTCCTGCTATTCTCATTCCATATTAAGTTTTCACTATTTTTCTTTTAACCGCTCTCTTTGCCACAAAGCAAGCGAAAAAAAGCAAATCACAAAGCCAAATGAAAAAGTCAAAGAACTGATTGCAAAGAAGAAACATCTTTATGATTTTATGTTTATGATGAACATTGAAATGTGTAATGAAAACGTCTGGAATAGTACTTTACACTTTGAAGGTGTTATAATCCGGCCTATTAAAAAGCGATTAGCATTCAATGCCGGAACGAGGTGAAATAAAAAGATTCCACACCACCAAACTGATTATTATGATGGAAATGTTGAAATATCGATTGCTGCACATTTATCTGAGATAATCTTGTTTTTTAAGTGGAGTGCAGATCTTTATTTACATGATACATGTATTTTGAATAGATTTTTAATCGAAAATAAAACCATAAAAGCTCATCATGTTATCTAGATATTTCAAATTATGAGTAAAACTTCCGAACAAATCGAAATAAGTGGAGGCGAATAAGAACCAGAGAAAGGAATAGAGAAGAAAAAATAAAGAAAAAACAACTATCGCTTTTATCAACGAATGGAATTATCAGTTGCGCGTGCGACATTCACCCATAGATAGTCCAATTAACCGATGTAGTTTTTTGCTGTGTGCATTTTCATTGGAGTACAAGCGCCCAAACATTGTTCGATAAATCGAGCGTTTTTGAACACGTTAAAAATACTTTTTTATTGGAAACTTTTATTTGAATCCAATTATAGCTGTCTATAAATGAAATTTGAAGCTGATTTTTGCTTGACACGCCAAACGATGGATGCAAGAAGTTGAATAAAATCTCGCACATGATGGTTCGCTTCGAAAAATGGTTTTGAGCATTCGGAATGGCGCATCATATCGATGTGTACACACAACAATTTTATAATTATACGCGTGCTGTGATATTATATATTTAGGATTACTAAAGCGTTGAAGGCGGCCGAATGTATTGCGCACTGCTCTCTCCCTCTCTCTATCTCTCTCTCTATCTATCTCTTTCAACATACAGAATATACAATATAAAATAGATTCTTCGTTATATTTTTAGCACTTCGCGCTTAATGCGACTGACAGAAATTCGGGCTTTTTAACGATTGCTGAACAATTTAAAAATAAATGCGTTCAGTTTATTAATAACTCAATTGAACTATGTCTTATTCATTTATATTTCTCCCTCGTTCATGCTCTCTCTCTCTCACTCTCACTCTCTTTCTCGCTTGTGCCTTGCTTTGTACTGCTCTGAATTCGCTTTAAAATGAATTTCCTCGGCATGGCTTGTGTTTTTTTTCTCATACTGTCTAGTTGTCGTTCTCACCTCGAATGCATTGTTTCATGCCAACGCGATGTCATGCATTTTCTATAAAAAGTGACTTTGTTTGGTTTGACTACCAAAGCGAAGCTATTTTATGAATGCCAATATGTATTCAAAATCAATTCGTCCATGCTACTTGCAACATCTAAATTTATCGTTTCGGAAAAATCGCATATTCAAGCATTTTAATGATTACAACAATAAATGTTGTCAAAACGATGATTTGCATTCGATTTATTTTTAAAATGGAGAACGTGAAGATGCCATGTTTACTTTGTAATGCAAATCGTTGAAACCTTCGTTTTCTGAAAACATGTACAAAGTTCGCATGTACAATTTGGTTTGCACGCATCAAATCAAGTCGTTCGAAACCAAAAAAAAAGTGAACGTAAAATGATGAACATCATAGTGATAAGCGTGCTTTGCATTCGATCATTCTCGATAACCGGTTGCGATGTCATCCGCTCATCACATAATAAATTCACTTGCGATTGATTGAACAACTATGAATTCTGTGGCCACATGTCTGGGTATTACCACAACTATTCATGTGTGGCTTATCGAATCGCATTGTCAATTTGTAGCCATGATGAATTGAACCTAATTCAATTGTCAAAAAACGGCACGTGTATCATATTTGAAACTCACAGACAACCGAACGGTCACTGTTACGCATTTGTTATATTATAAATTGCCGATCACATTTTTGAGAAGCGCAAAATAAAGTAGTCACAACTGGATTTATGCCGAAAGAATCGAAGCAAAAAAGAAATGAAAGGCAATTTTAATCATTTACATGCAGCAGAGTGAAAGATAGTGCGACATTTGCTGAAAAAAAGTAAAAGTCCGAAACGAAAGCCGCTTGAACAGCCGACCGTCCAACCCATTGTGCAAACATTCAAACAATTAATAGGTTTAGTTTCCGGTAACGAACCAATGAGAAACTATCGACACTGTGTGCGCGCAATGTGTTGGAAACTCTATTAATAGAAAAATATCGTATGTTCAAGTTGATTATTGCGAAAGAAACGTGGCTTGTAAAAACAACCGTTTTGATGGATTAGGCTGGTAAAAATATGACCACAATCGATATATATATGCCATTATGAAGGTTTTTTCGCTTTGTTTCGATAAATTCGGCAGATTTCACTTTTGTTTCACCACATTGCGCATTGTGAACAAAGAACACGTGCTTGTTCGCTTAGTCCACAATTTCATTAACACCATTTTGCTGCCACTTTGGAACTTGACCACGTTGGTGGCCGTTTGTTTATTAAACACGAACACACAAATTCGAGGCTCGAATTTCGTTTGAAGTTTCTATTGAGAGAGAAAAAATTGCAATATGCTTGAACTTCGTTTCTACATTCCAATTCGATGACTTAGTTTTTTTTTCTAAGAAGAATAGCGCTTTTCCGCATTCTCTGGTCGTCGCTTGTGACGACGAAGGAAAACATAGCTTCCTTTAAGATCAATATTTTCGATAGTAAAATGTGATAGAATAAACTAGGTTACGCACCATTGGCTGTTGTCTTGACACAAATCGCTTGCTTATATGTATAGAGGGAAAGAAAACGTTACTGTTGCTAAACAATTTAATCAAATCCATGGATAATAGCAATTGAATAATTTGACAGCAAATAAAAATGAAGACCCCTTTGTGCAAAAGAGGATATTATCATTCCGAAGACAATACAAAAATATGAATCAAAACCGTTGGAGCTTGTTTACGCACTTGTTTTTGTTTACGAAGAAGATATGCAGGCTAACTCACTAACAAGACAAAACTCATGTAATAAAATAAATACGACATTAGATTAGATAAACAACACATACAATCCATGCGCAAAAAACAACAACAACAAATGTTTATGATGTATCGCATTTTAAAATTGCAATTCATTTTTTTATTGTTGTTGTTTTTTATTCGCATTCGATGGTCAAGTTTCATTGGAATGGCACACGCCATACGACGGTTTTTTGTGTTTCATTTTATGGTTTTTGTTTGATCTTTTCCGCACAAATTGAGTGTTATGTATTGTAATCACCTCAAAAATGTAATGTGCATTTACCCCCTGAAAAGTAACAAAGAACCGCAAAGAGGTGGACTCTTTTTCCGAACCACACCACAAGTTTTTGGTTTAAAATTAATCTTTCAACATTCAAAGTTTAGAAAAACTGGTCTTCCGGATATAAATGCGCCTTTTTTCCGGCGTACATTAAATTATTTATCATGGCAAACACATGTAATCCGTCACTTCAACATTTTTTCATATTTACTATTTCGGAATTCGAACGAATGAAACAAAAAACATCGCCTGAATTGACTAAGCATAAATGTGAAGTGCAATGTGATTTGCTTTTTATTGACAAAGTTATTTTTAGCCATTCGTTTAACGGTTATTGTAAATGTACGAAAAATGTGTGAAAACATACACTTTGAACGCGCTAAAACGAACAACCTGTGAACAAATGTTGATTAAGTTTTTTTCCACCGGAATATACGTGCGAATTGACGACCAAAATTGATACTATTTGAACAACAACACCGCGCACCAAAAAACATACTCAATTATTGTATGTGTGTATATAAAAATCAAACAAAATCAAACAAAGTCGTGCCTTTCAATTCAAATCACTTTTATTTATAGAACCGTGAGAGACAGTAAAAAAATTGTTTCTGATTTCTTCATTTACCAAAAAAATTCCTTACAAATAAATAATTTGGTGGTATTATTTTCGATACTTCATTTCGTGATTTCGTTCATATTTTATGAACGGCGTAAAAAGCCGATGTATTTTTAGTTTCATTAATGTCCAAATAATTACCACCACATTGAACGCATTTCACCGGCATAAAACAAACCTTCAATAATAATGTGAAACAATTTAAAATTGATTAAATATAGTTTGTTTTGTTCACTTTAAAACATACGACCGCCGTCCAAAACAATATTCTTTTATTTTAGAAAAAAACTTGTTTTTTTTTTTTCATATTCATTCTTTGAGGTGATCAATACTTAATGTTGTTTGGTGAATTTATGGATTTTTATACATAAACGGTTCATGCGAATGGAAATCTCGCATATCATGCTCCAAACGAAGAGAAAAAAAACATTATTGCTTTTTACAACACATTATTTTTAAACACCTCGTTCAGTCAATGGTGAACTTTATGCGCTCAAACAAAACTATAAATCACAATAACTAGCCGAGAAATATACAATTTTACCCTCTCCAACAAAATTATCACTCAGAAAATTGATTGAGGTTTTCGGCACACGAAAATGAAATAACAGCACTTTTTGTTTGAAAATGCGTGCGAGCCCACTTACAAGTATTTCAGAGAGCATTGGCACATTGCTTCGTTCGAAAAAAAATCCAATCCATGTTATATCTAAATCTAATGGTACCATAAGCCGATTAATGGATACGTTGTTGGCATTTGAAACGGCACTTACAATTCGGTTACGTTCAAGGTTAGTTTCGTTGCACGGCGACGCGTTACCGATAATAGCGTCGTCCTTCGAGAAACTGTTTGAAGAGTTTTCGTTATCTATATCGGTTTGCTCTCACTCTTTCGAATAAACCAGTAATAAAAAAACACTTATTTGACAAGAAATATGACAATAAACATTAGATAATTGTGCGTTAATATATGTACGGTGAACACTTGTAATTGTTTTCGAAACAATTTATGTGTGAACTACTTTAATATTTGCACAATGGATTCCTTTGCAAGCGTGGCAATTTTGTGTGTATGGTGCCATGTACTTGAAATTATACACATTTCCAAGACAAAATATGTGTAACAAATTTTGTAAAAACAGCATGACAAGAGACATTCTCTCTTGAGAATGACAAGAGAAAATTCTCTATTGAAAGCGAGAAAAAAGCGTATGGTTGTCGAACTCCGTTTTAATGAAGTCACAAATGTGATTGAGAGTTCGGTTGACGGATATGTGCACTAATTAAAATGTATAAAAAGACCACAATTGTCACAGTCAAGGTTCTATCTGTATTTTTCAACGCAGTGTCGCAAAGCAATATTCTAAATATACATTTTCCACTTGACAAATTTTAAGAGAAGCGGAGCTTTTTACGTCACATCATGAAATTCGTCACTGTGATGCGAATTATCATCAGAGCATACACATTCTCACACACATACTTTATTTTCGCACACGGTATTCTTTGTTGTTTTCGTAAGCGAATGGCTACATCACATACGGCTCTTTTTTTGTTGCTCGCATGTCACTTCTACGATGCAAAACATGCACGCACACACACACAAGAACATGTAACAACAACATCGTGGGTTGAATTCATTCGATGTATCTTCTTTCACTCTTCATTTGAACCACCTGGATTGGAATCCATTGAGAAAATAAGACTAAAATATATTTGCGTGGGCAATTTTAAACCCGTACAAAACAGAAAAAGATAAAATCAAATCAGAGCGATAATAGCGATTGTACGTAGAAAAATAAATTCTTTTGAAAATATATCGTTCCCAATGAAGATGACGTCAAGTGCAAACAAACCCCACTCGATTCGAGATAGATTTATCAGGAGAAAGACAGAGGGAGGGGGGACTGCAATTGTAAAACTTGACGAGTCAGGTGTCATAAGAAAACATTTAATAAGCACCATATTGTGTAAACTCATTACAATCCTTTCGATTTCCTTTCATATTATCTATCATATTAGCAAAACAACAAATTTCTATAAAATATTTACTTAAGTGTATTTTTTTTCTGCTCATATTTGTTTGAATGAATATTTCTTACGACTGAATATAAAAAAACATTAACGATGATAACAAAAAAAAATTTCTTTTGTAGAAATGGCTCGTGATTCAGCGGTTGGAAGAGAGCGTATTCTGGTTGTACCAAGCAGTTTGGCGCTTGACAACACAACAACCAATCAACATGTCAACAGTGCACAAAACGATCTCAATCAACAAATTCTTGAGGTGAGTCAATGTTTTTATACAGTTCAACAGATGGCTATTTATACGACCTGAAAAATGAACGTGGTTTTAAATGTATGTTATCTGATATATAATTTTATCAAGCGGCCATTACCAATGTCGTGCCACACACACAATCGCATCATAGACAAAACCGTATCGTACGGCATGTATCATCTAATAAAAATGTAAGATGAATCACAGTAATCAGTAGAAACTTAATTTCACAACGTCTCCATTGTTGAGTACATACAGTGTAATATGAGCAGCACCAACACCGGCGTAACCACACAATTTAAATGAATTTTGAAGCTCATGCGATGCTTAACAAATCTGGAAAGTAGATTAAGTGATTGACATGAATTATATAATAATATAAATGGCTGAAAATTCAAGTTTGTTTGTTTTAAAAGAACACAAATGTTCGCCCATAACTTTATTTGTCATTTCTATCATATTTATGTGTCTTGTCTAGGGGCTTTTATCTTCAAATGTATACGATTTATACTGTAAATAGTGAACTATATTGCAGAATCATCTGTAATACGCGCAAATAAATGTGCATAACTGCATATATTTGGTGTATATTTCGTGTATATTTCGTCTATGGCATGTTTTTTCATTCTCTTTTGTGCGGATCTTCTTCGATTCTGTGTAGCTATACTGTGTATGTGTGTACACTGCAGTTTGAAATACATCTTATTCACTGGTATAGGCGAGAAATTTTAATCGTATATATGATGAATAGGACGTGAATATTGTGTATAAATTTGTATGAACGAATGATGAAAGCCCCTAGTGTCTTGTTTGTGATTTATCTCCCTTTCTCCCTCTAACTTATTTTGAATTGTGATCACAATGACGCAAACTTGCAAGCAAATCGTATTTAATTATATAAACCGCTTCTGGCATCATATTCAAATATTCAAAAATAGAAGCGATTTCGTAGGAAAAATCATGACTCAACGAAATGACGGTGTCTGTGTGTTTGTTTTTGTCGTTGTTTTGCTGCTGCTCATGAAAAATAAAATTGAATTTATGGTTCTTCTATTTTACATCATCGAAAAAGATTTTCTCAAAAGAAGAATAGAGAGCAATTTCCGGTGCCAATGTTCGGCTGCGCACAAAATCTCATTGACAAATCGGAAAATTTGCGCACACGTCGCCCCGTCGACCACAAAAAACCATTCAGAAAATTAAAGGAACGGCCAGTGTGAATAAATTGATTTATATGATTTTTGCGTAAATTGTCAGTTGCTAATAACATCGGAGCCAACCAACTGTCAAACGATGTGATGTTATATTAATTTGGTTCCCATTATACGACACAAGTAATGTTCCTATTATTATTATTTGTGAATCAACTGTGAAATGAATAGAGAAATGACGTGGTCGAAAACATTTCGGCTGCGATAGTTCTTCTATTAACGAAAAAAAAATGCGCGAATTTTGTGTTTGTACATAAATAATCGTGGCAAAGCACTTACGTCTATTTTGTTTATATTTTTGTTTACGATTCATCTCGTGGTTGTTGTTTTTTTTTTGCTGTTCGACACCGAAACCATTTGAGTCATCCGGCAAAAAACGTGTTACGCAAGTAATTAAAGAAATGTGATCTATCACGATACGGTTCAGGAACAAAAAAAAAGAAGTGTAACTCGGACCTAGGCTTGGAGTCACGAAAAAAAAATTCTAAAGAGTTAATAAATTTCACAGAATGACACATACAATTGGCCGTTCGTCCAAATTAAATTATAACTTGATCGAAATTGGCGGGAACACGGTTTTTTTTGGGACAATGACTCGACCGGTGACGAAATGAAAATCGAATACAGCCTGAATGATTCATACGCGTGTAAACAGCCAAAATAAATTCGGTTCAATGGATAAATGACAATGAATAATTCAGGCGACGACTCCAATTTTTGAAGGGGACGTGATGTTTGAAATTGTTGTATCATTTTGCAAAATAAATGTCTGTATCATGTACAGCGGTAACACAAATTTCCATTGTTAAATATTTAAATGTGAAAAATACTGATATTTTCTGAAAATCACATTGAATATTCAAGACAATGTCATTGCAAATTCTGAGTGAAATTCACGAAAAAGAACCAACCACACACAGTTCATTTTATTGAACAACTTCGGAATGAAAACATTTATCAGCCGAAAAAGCGAAATGAGAATGGAAAAGACCGAAAAAGCGACATCCAATTGACAGAAGTAAGTTTTTGTTAAGAATACACTGATTGTATTTGATTATTTTAAAATTCAAATATAGCTCGAAAACCTTTATTTGGTTTCGATTGCTCTGCTCCTGTCGTAGCTGTCAAAGTCGCAACATTTGTAATTGTAACAATTAGCATATTTCATTGCGGTCTGAGACGTTGAAGTGCTTTAATTTATTAAATAACCAATGGTATCACATTTATCATTACAAAAAATTGATTTTGATAAATGTTGATAGATATACCATTACTTCTCTGTTTTGATACAGTTTGTTTTTCTGGCATTCAACAAACTTTGCACATTAATATGTAAGCCATCGACGTATGCTGCTGCAATAACCGGATTTTGCCGAAAAAAAGTGTATTTAATTTGTGTTAACGAACCACGATTGAAGATTTTAAATCACAGACATTTTGTGAAAGAGCTAAGTTAGCTGAGCAAACGCGAGGATACGAGTTCCAGCGCACGTACGCAGTTGCGTTTCGATTTAAAAAAGAAGAAAAGAGCAGAAACTGGCCCAAAATACAAAAGCCAGTTTAAAGCTATTTTTCGCATGCTCCATTTTAAACGAACACACTTTTATTTTAAATAGTATGTAAATATCTGCGTGTTTTTTTTTCTTTCGCACATCGAACCTTAAATACATAGCAATATTACCGACAAAATTCATAAAAATCACACGCAATTTGAGCATTCTTTCGAACTGTATTTGTATTATACCATAAACTAGTTAAATGCTCAATTGTCTTATCTATATAGGCAGATCTAAAATCACAGCGGCAAAACGGCGTCGAAAACAGTACAATTTTCATTGTCCCAATATAAGAATAACAAATAAGATAAATGTCGCTTACACATCTATGTACATCAAAGCATTAAACTCGATAAAAAAAATCGTTTAAATCGCCACAGAAACGCATTCTTTTTTTAAATAATCTAGAAAGAGTACACATTTGATAAGAAAGATCAACAGCCGGTTCATTATTCGTGTAAAATGAACGTAGTTTACACACGTGCTCAGTAATTTTAAACAAGTATGAACAATATTTCGCATTCATAAATATGTAACAATAATTTAATAAAACCTATATTAAAAGCAACGGTGAATATCTGTGGCGTTCGATTTCTCGAAATTAAGATCTTATAACAAAGAAGTATATTTTTGTGTTCATCATTAGACAATAAAATTATTCGCGTATAAAATTTGTTCAAAAAAAAAAAAACAGGTACAACCGGAAATAATGTTCGATCCAAACGACGAATAAGATGAAATCAAAGAAAATAATAAAGATTGACTGTCCTTGGAAGATAATTTAATGTGGGGCGTCCTAGAAAGAGCGATAGAGAAAAGGACTTGATCACAATCATCGGTATTGTTTGATCCTGCTCGTTGGTTTATTGACATTTTTTTTTTGAAAGACGATGTCATCAATTGTTATTTCATCTCGCCAAAAAAAATGAAAAGAAATATTTGATCACACAAAAAAAAATTATGCAAATTTTTCTCGATTATATTCCAGTAGTCTTTTTATACACTCACATAGAATAATTTGTGTCGTTTTTCGTTCGCCGCAACGAAGCTGGTTTCATTTTCACCACATTCATATCAGAAATTTATAAAAATCATTTCATTTGATAGCCACATTAATTCCGGCCAATTTATTTGCTTCAAATTACGTCTCGATTCGTTATTTTTGTCAAAAATTGTGATCGCATCCATACACCGTTCTCTCACACACAGGTACACATATGTGTGCTTGTATGTAAATTTTTAATTGAGTAGCATCCAGCCAACAGCGTATCAACGACAAATGAAACGAAAGAAAAAATTGATATTTGTTTGTCGTTTCGCTTCTACGTTTGAGTGTATTTTGATGTTTTTTTTTCTCTCTCAAAATCGTGGCATTTCTCTGGTATATATACACACATATATATCATATATATATTGATGAGATTATGAGATGTCGCTGTGAAGCGTCGACTATTCAAGGTTTTTCTTGTTTTTATTTTTAGCCTATTAAATATTTATGAACGAATCGAGATCCGATTGAAAGGAGTACAAGCCACAAACCGAAACATATGCGATATACACAATAAGATAGACCGTACCTTTACTATCAATATAGCAAACCAGCTAAGCGATTTGATTTTTGTACATTGAACACGAAAACAACGACACAATGTACACAATCATTCGATATTCTCGCTAATCATAATCCATGTCTTTATTTTTCTTTCTTCTATCTTTTAAAAACAGACATTAGGCTCGAGCTATGCATATAGCGGCTGCTATTTTATAGGTGCTATTCATAGGCGCTATTTAATTCGTGTGCTGTGTGTAACACCGAGTAGGAATATCATAGCCTACTATTCTTTTGTACATTTGAATGTGAGTACGAGAGAGATGTAGAAAATAACGCACAATATGCATAAATGCATTAAAACGAGATAAATAGCGCCTATGAATAGCAGCTATGAAATAGCAGCCGCTATATCCATAGCTCAAACCTAATGTCTGTTTAAAAACGTTGCGACTGTTGTTGTCACCGTTGGAAAAAACGCAATTATTTTATTATTTTCCATCGAATAAAAAAATAGCTATTGGAATTTCCATGGCATGAAGAATAAATAAATCCCATAAAAATTTCAGGCGAATATTTACTTCTTTCTTTCGAAAGTAATTTGAATTTTTTTCAGTTTGATTACAGAGAGTAATCAAAAGCAAATACTGAATGACGCCAAACAAAGTATTTTAACATGAATTGCGTGATGAGTTCGATGTATTTTTGGTCGTTGTTTCAAATAAATAAATAAATGCTTGCGTTTGTACATCGATGCGAATTGTTATTTTGATGCGCGATTAATTGGGCGTTTCGCGTCACCAGCTCATTAATTCGACTCGATTACTATGCTTTTAACAAGCGCCACAAATTTTTACTTGCTGCTGCTGTTGCTGCTGCTGCTGTGTAAAATGCTTGCGCACATTAATTATTATTATTGATGGCAAGTTAAATTACACGAATTATGCGTGCGATAATTATGAGAAGCCAAGAATGTTGCATTTTTTTTATATCGAATGTTTTCCAATCAAGAAGATGAACACGCTGCCAGCGATTTCTCTTTTTTCACTAATCGATCTCGCAATTATGCAAATGACTCAGGTATTCACACGGGGAATAAGACAATAACATGCGTAATGCGTTCATTTTGATTGCTTCCATTCTTTGTCCATCCGTGAAGATGCCATCGATATGTATTTCTAAAAATAAACTCTTAAATGCGATTCCATTGAAAAGTGTAAGATATTTTTGTATGCGAATATATATCGCAATTGCCACGCCACTGCAGAACATTCATCGAAATCAATCATAAATAATGTCTGTATTGAAAGCCTATCTTGTCGCGAATGAATTATTCAATAAAAATTATGAAATTGACTATTCCCTTTTGTTATTCATTGCAGCTAAAAAAGGAGCAGGAGTTGCAAAAGCAAATGCTTTGGCATACATTTCAAGAGAAAAATAAACAGTTGGAGCTTCAACATAAGTGGCAACTCGAACACAAATTTCAGGTAAGCACATCGAAAATGAATCATAACAAAAAGAAAATCAAAACGAAAGCATATTAAATTTAAAAAGAAACAGCAAGAAAGAATATAAACCACCCAAATTGTTACAAATACAATTCATGTCGCTTGAAACAGCTTCAAAATGGCAAAAAACATGCTCTCCATCATTATTACACTCGCTTAAAATAAGCTTCATTAAAAATGAATTGAACATAAGCAGCTTAGGTCCCAAAATCACTTTGGGAATGCTCAGAGCAGATTTTCATAAATTTTTCAATAAACTACGAAATGTTTTGTCGGTTTTTTCTTTCATTTACTTCATAAAATATTCAATTTCAATGTGTTTATTTCACTTTGGTTCAAATTCACAAATTGAAATTATTCCGTTCGAATTGGTCTGAATTCGTCAACAATGTTACTTTGCATTTTGTTTTTCTCTCTCTAACTCTCGTAAAGTAGAGTTTTGTTTTTCTTTTGGTGGAAACTCGAGCTCTTGGACCATTCTTTTTGACATTCGTTTCGATTGTTATGTTTGACTTTTATATGTTTCTTATTTGCATTTTTCGTTGTTATAAATTTTCTTTGGTCCAGTGGCACAAAACGATATACCTTATTTCCAAAACCATTATTTATAGTCTGCGGCGTATTCAAATGGCGTATTGCAGGAATTGCACGAGCAACGTGTGGCCGCCCTTGAGGAGCAACAACAACGTGAACAACGCGAACAACGAGAGCTACGAGAACGGCGTGAACGCGAACGCGAGGCAATCGTACGTCGCAAAGAGAATTCGTCCAGTGCCAATGCTAGTCCAGAAGTCAAGCAAAAATTGCAAGTAAGTTTTATGCACATTGCTTAACCTAGATTCTTTTCGGTTGGCTTCCAAGAAATGAATGAAATTTATTGAAATGGATTTTTGATTAATTTTTCAGTCATTTATCATCAGTAAAAAGCAAAATGCTTCATCGAATGGTCTCGCTTCTACATCGTCTCCATATCGAAATTGGTAAGTGAAGTCGCAATTCACAACTAAAAAAACAAAAAAAAAACCAAATATCATTAAAATACATTTGCATTTGTGTGCAGGGGTGTGGTTAAAAGTTCGTCAGGAGAATCGTTACCAGCTAGTGTTGTGCCAAGCTCTCATCCGTATAAAATACCTCAACAGCCGCCACCAACCATATCGAAATACGATCCAGATTTTCCACTACGTAAAACAGGTAAACGATTTAAAATCAATTCCAAATGCATGCGACTGAGAAAATACACTTGGCTTTTGAGCAAATCGAATTAACTTTTGCGAGACAGTTAATCCAAATACCGATCAATAATGCTCAAAAGTCTTGGTGTTCTATGCTAGTGAAGTTTTTCGTTGAATAACTTTTGTTGAAAATGTACCGCTTTTTTTATCTCTAAGACCGTTTGACATGTGCTAAACAAATGCCAATACTTTTCATTTGTTCGAGCACTTTTTTTGCATTTAACACCAAAATTTATCTAACGAAAAACTAACTTTGGCACCATTCGAGATTTGCATAATATTCTTAGAATATCAATAAAAAAAAACGTTAACAAAAATCGAATGTATGTTTCTTTGATTCGGCTGCAGCATCCGAGCCCAATTTATTGAAGATTCGTTTGAAACAGAGTGTTATTGAGAGAAAAGCTCGCGGATCATTGGCCGCAAGACGACAAGAACGTTTATTGCTAGCTGCTCAACGTCGTATAAAACAACATCAAAGCTCTCTCATCGGACCAAGTATGTATAAAATGTGTCACCGATGTTTTTGCTCAAGACTCAATGAGCCCTTTTTACCCTTTTAAAGCGCCATTTTTTAGTAATTATTACACATACACTCAATCGATATTATTAACAATTGCTTTTAATGTGTTTTTTGCTATAAAGTAAAATGCGTTTTAAATTGATTTAAAATAACGATTTGCATGATTGATTTTGTGATACCAAAAAAAACGAATCTAACGAATTCGCTCGATTAAATGAAGCTTTACGATGATGAAGTATAGTAATAAAAATTTGATTCATCGTTTAGATTGTTCATCAACAGATTCAGGGCCAAATTCGCCGCCAACGTTGACCGGCAGCCGCGGTTCACCCACCAGTGCAACGATTCAAGAAGAAAACGAAGATCCAAACTATCATGCTGGACGAGATAGTATTAACGATTTATCATTGTACACGTCACCGTCGATGCCCAATATTTCGCTCGGAAGACCACATCTTCCCAACGCACACAGTCACGCATATGTAAGTAGAATGAAAAATTCTTGTTTTAGAGACAATTGTTTTTTAATGAATTTTGTATTATTTTTTCTTTTGATTTTCAAATCCATACAGGGAATTCATTCAATTCTACGAACCCCGTCGCAAACCATGTTAGCTCCACCGGGAGCACCATATTATATTCCGACAATTGAACATGGTGAAGTGCCACCGGCTCACACAAGTGGCCTACATTTGGCACAATTGGGCTTACATCAAATTCCAACAATGTACAGCCAACCAATAACCGATGCTCAAGTAGCTCTGGCTCGTTTACATAAACAAGGACATCGGACGTTGGGTCGAACACAATCGGCTCCGCTTCCATTGGGTCATCCAATGCTAACCGGTGCGGCTGCATTAAATATTGCTCAAACTCACTATGAAAATAGCGAAGCAGAACGACAGGCATACGAACAACAGCACATGCAATTAACGCAAAAGATTCGACAAACTGTATTAACACGAACCGGACGTGGCGATTCATTCAAAGAAGAAGAAGATGCCGTTATTGACTTAACCGATAAGAAACAACCACCAAAAGCAGTACCAACCAGCACAGTTATATCGTCAACATTGAATCCACCGCCGGCCATATCACCCGAAGAACGATTACGTGATCAAGAATATTTACAACAACAACGCGAGATACTCATTCGTCAATCGATGCAGGTAAAGTGATGATTGTTTCGCCACCATTTCCATAGCAGTTTGTTTCTTTCTCTTTTTGAAAAAAAAAACAAAAAAACAAAATCCGTTCAAACATATTCTATTTCACATAACACACACATACACACACAGATTCAGTTCATTGCTGTTTGTTTTATACTAACATCACGTTTGTTTTGAATGTTGTAAAATAATACAATTTTAGTTGTCTGTCGACGATCCATTCTTGCGCAATCTCAGTCGACCTTTATCTCGAACGTTATCGAGTCCATTGGTACCAATTGGACAACCAAGTCTTTGCGGCCTTCGTGATACAGGCCAATCAATATCGCTTGATGGTCCACCACCAGTCAATTTAACGTTGCCACATCGACGAAATATCACCGAAAACGAACACAAAATCACAACCGGTCTTTCATTCGACAATACAATGCTGAAACATTCGTGCATTTGTGGTAACAATTCATCGCATCCAGAGCACAGCGGACGTTTGCAAAGTGTATGGGCACGATTGGGAGAAACTGGACTGGCAAATCGATGCGATCGATTGCGTTCGCGTAAAGCAACAATCGATGAACTTCAATCGGTGCACACCGAAAATCATGCAAACCTATTCGGTTCGAATCAATTGAATCGCCAAAAAATGGAATCATCACGAACTAGTTTTGTTCGGCTTGCGTGTGGTGGTGTCGGTGTCGATTTGGACACCACATGGAATGAAAATTTTACGGGAACCGCTGCACGCATGGCAGCCGGATGTGTTATTGATTTGGCATTTAAAACAGCTAAACGTGATATTACAAATGGATTTGCTGTTGTTCGTCCACCAGGTAAGACTCTATGCTCAATTTGTGCATTTCTTCTCCGAGAAAAAGTTCATTTTTTTTAAATTGCATATCTTCAATTCACACAGGACATCACGCTGAGCCTGACCAAGCTATGGGTTTTTGTTTCTTCAATTCAGTTGCCATTGCGGCCAAATTGTTGCGTCAACGTTTACCAAATGAAATTGGAAAAGTGCTAATTGTTGATTGGGATGTTCACCATGGTAATGGTACACAACAAGTATTTTATGAGGACAATAGTGTTTTGTATCTATCAATTCATCGGCATGATGATGGCAACTTCTTCCCGGGCACTGGTGGTCCAACTGAATGCGGTTCTGGCATCGGTGTTGGATTCAATGTGAATGTTGCCTGGAGCGGTGGATTAAGTCCATCCCTTGGCGATGCCGAATATTTGGCCGCATTTAGAACGGTTGTTATGCCGATCGCGCGTGAATTTGCGCCCGATATCATTCTCGTATCGGCCGGTTTTGACGCAGCCGTAGGTCATCCGCCACCGTTAGGCGGTTATGTTGTTTCACCGGCTTGTTTTGGCCATTTGACACGGGAACTAATGCAATTGGCTGATGGAAAAATTGTGTTGGCATTAGAAGGTGGCTATGATTTGACAGCCATTTGTGATTCAGCTCAAGAATGTGTTAAAGCTCTGCTTGGGGATGAACCAACAACCATTACCGAAGCCGAACTAAATCGTACACCATGTCAAAATGCAATCGATACACTTCAAAAAACGATTGCAATTCAGGTAATTGTAAAATTCCTTTTGCAAACCTAAAACCGTCCGCACAAACATAGAATTCGCAACAATTAATTTGAAATTCATTTTGCAGATGTCACATTGGCCGTGCGTTAAACGATTAGCTCATACTGTTGGAATGTCAGCTATTCAAGCGATGAAATGCGAACGAGAGGAATCCGAAACTCTAACAGCAATGGCTGGCCTGTCAATGCAGCCGCCAGCAAATCGGTAAGATATTGAAAACGAATCAAATCTATGTTTTGAATTCTCGATGGTTAATGCTTCATATAAATCAATTTACAGTGGTTCATTGTCACGTGAAGATTCTGATGAACCAATGGAACAAGATGACACAAAGTAAAAAAAAGTGGAACAATCGATAGCGCGACGCTGATTTGATATATTTATTATTATTATTTTATTATTATTTTTCTATTTTTGCAAATCGAATCGAAGAAAATGCTCATATCTGTTGGAAATGTTACGAATTTTTTCTGTTTAAATGTCTAAATGATGTTGAGTATCTATCAAATCGATGAACTAATGGATACAACAATTTTCAATCTAGAATAATTGTGATTTTAAATGTATGTTCTTATAAATTAACGTAATTGATTTTTAAAAATTCGGAGGTGAAAAAAGCGAGCGAAAAATTTGAACAGATAAAACAAAACAAAAATAAAATAAAATAAATAATTGAAAATGTGAGATCGAATGAAAATGAGTGACATTTTAAATGTATGTGCTATGTACATATTTAATGATCGCCGGTTGGGGTTAACAACAAAAGCTAACGAAAAACGACTATTTCAAAACAAAATAAACTAAAAAATGCAGGGACAAAAAGACACAAGACTAAATTTGCCTAGAATGGAAAATAAAATCCTCATTAATTCTGAGAGTATATCCCGTATTTGAAAACGGCCATTTAACACAAATGCAACCCGACGGTGGCGAGAGAAAAAAATGTTAATATACAAAGAGAAAATGCATCGTAAATTGTTTAAAGTGGTTTCGTTTGGGCGTTGAAGCCATTGTGTAGTGTGGCTAACCCAACAAATATATATTTTATTAAAATCACAAAAGCGAAAATAAAGATGTCAAAAGAAAATCACACAACCACTTGTATATAGTACACACAAAAATGTTTATGTAAAAAAAAAAACAATATTATTCGCTTAAAAAAACAAATGATGTGTGCAATGTGCTTTATTGTAGCCATATAATCACGTTCGCCAGAACATATACTTATCACACTTATAATATATATAATTGATAGCTCATTTACCCATTTGCCCCAACAAACACATGGGGTAAAAGTGCTGGCAACGATAAATGGTCATATTTATAACATTTACAACAAAGAAATGAGAAATGAAATTTTTTATTGATGTGAATGTTGGTTTTGTTCATCGTAAAATGTATTTGTGTTTTGTGTGTTTCAAATTGCACAATTTCTATCACTTATTCACACAGCAGAGATGCATTTTAAAGCATCAAAACAATACACGGCTCGCACTCGAATGGACGAATTTAATACTTAATTAAACTAATTTATCATCACATTTTGTCTAAAGACAAAAGCAAAACAATTTATTGTGCATGTTCGTTGTTCAAAAACCGCCATAGAAGGTTAAACACAAAAAAAAGACACGCAAAAGACGCAAAATGTTCATTTGTGAGTGATATGCAAAAAAATTACTAAGTCGCAATTCAACGAAATTTCCATTTGTTTGTTCTCTTTTATTAGTTGAAAAATCACGTGATTGATTGCATCGAATTACAACATTCAATCGATGACACGATAACGATTTTAACTGTCATTCTCTCCTATCTAGCCGGAAACTTTTTGCAAATTAAAAAGTGTATAATTAGCATTTTAATTGAAGTCCATTTTTTCCCTCTATCCATATCAATTGTATAATTTTATTGCATTGCAAACCACACACAGACACAGCGTTTAAAAGCATATTAAATATTCATAACGAATTAAAAAAAGACCAGAATATTATATGCAAAACTTCTATATACACTAATTTGAGTGACCTTAATGTGCAAAACCAACGAAAATTATCTAATTATATGGAAAAATTCTCATGCTATTTCTGTACTCTATAACTCTCGCAACAGAAAAAACACATCGCATGATCGAACTCTTTTTATAACAGAAAAAAAAACTTTTTTTAAATACAGACACTAATTTTAATAAATATTATGCTGAAATGTAGTGAAATAGCGATTGAGAATTTTGACATCTTTGAATGCAATTTTTTCGTTATAATCGAACTTTGACTGTTTTTTTTTCTTTGGCATAACGTTTATTAAAATCCGGAATAGAAATTTTGTCTCCATTTCAAATTTATATCTAATGTGTGTAGAAATGATGCTTTTAAGAGCTGGAGAAAACACAATACGACGAACCATATTCTATATATATTGTTGTTTAACTAAACTAAATGTCACGTGCTTATTTCAGATGAAAAAAAATTGAATGCTACAAGCACGTCTATTAGGTAAATTCAGAAAGAGAGAGAGAGAGAGCAAACATATGCCGTTTGTTAATAGAGTATAATTCCTTGGTTTTTTCTTTATTCCGTTCATAAAACAATATTGAAATGTATTATATTTTTTATTGACACCGCGACCTAAATTAAAATTAATGTGTCATTAAATAGATGTATAAATTTGTTAATTTTAAAACGTTTCGATTTTCACATTCGAAAACAAACAATGAACAAAAAAAGAGAAAAAAATTGTTTCTTTTGAATAGAAGATACATGACATTTTTATGTGCTGGTCACTAATATAGATAGACAAAAATTTTACCGACGATAAATGTCACACCAGAATTTTGAAATGAATTAAATGAACATTATAACAATATACAATTTAGACGAAAAAGAGAGAAAATTTTGTGTCGATGTTATTTGTGGTGGAAAATAATAAATTGATATTGTTTTAGATTTTTATCACTTCACAAACCTCCACACATACACTCACACATGCACGTACGTACACAGAATCATATTTGCAAGCAGCAAAATAAACGCAAAACTAATGTTGCAGTGAGAGAATCATACCTATATGATTCGTTGCGGTGGAAAAATATGTCTTGCAAAGATAAACAAACCTCAGCTCCAGTATGGAATATAACGTTTGCCAACATGTCTTTGTGGGATATTTTTTTCACCGCAACATCCACCAAAATAAGCGATGATTGAAATGAAATGAAAATAAATAGTGTAAATCTTGTTTTAAATATTTTTCGATATGCTTACAAATTGATAACAAAGAAAAAAATCCTGTTGAAAAACAAATGAAATATTTTAATCGAAATGCGCAGCTTTTATGAAGCGTTCTACCAAAATTAATGAAAATGATGCAAAAAAAACAAACAAATAATTTGGAGATAAATGTATGTATGTATATTAAAATATCAAGAAACATTTTTAGTGAACCAATAACAAAACGGATAGAGCAAATTGAGTGGTTTCATCGAGTCGAACGGAGGTACGACCGAGCTATAGATATGAAAGAAATGAAAAACAAAATATTTTAAACCAAAAAAAACAGACATATTTAGATATTTATATTAATTGTGAAATTGATGTTAACTATATTGGTGTTGAGGTGTCAACAGAACATGTTCAAGATCCAATGTCCAACATTTTTCAAGCAGTGCAAAGAAAAGAAACAAACAAAAATGTTCCCATTTATTTAAAGTGGAACATTTCTAGCTCCAAATTAAATACCAGATTCTCGGATGGATCGAATTGTGGCAATGGCAAAAGTTCTTATGAAATAATTTGAACAGGTGGTTGATATAAAATGCAAAAAAAGTTCATATATCAATCGTCATTGTCATGACAATAACATCAGCTACCGGCGGCAATTTTACATTTCTTCGTTGTCTGTATTTATTTTCCATTTGGAAATGTAGCTTTATGGAAATTTAACGGTTTTTTTTTATCTAAACGCACACGTCGTACTTGTATCCAATCCATATATTCATGATTTCGTTTTCACGCTGTGTTTAATTTTCTTCTTTCGATCTATTCGGTTACATTCAACAACATGATCACATCTATTTAAAATCATTTCATTTCTTCGGTTAAAGTCAAAAATTGTTTATTTCTATCATTTGATGGACACCATAATGGCGACACACACACATACGGTAACACGTAAAATTGTGTCTCTTTTTAAGAGCAAAATCACACACACCCAAACATTCCATTAATCTGTATGACAAATTGTATTTAATTTAAGTTTCTAATTTAAATTGTAATTTTATTTTTCAAATGATAAAAAAAAACAATATGTTGAAAGAGAGAATGAAATATTTGCGTACAAAGAATTTTTTTTTTTTGATTTTGAAAATTATGAATTTTATTAAGAAAATGTTGCACGATAAACAATTTGATCCATCGGAATATGATGGATGGAAAAATGCATGAAATATGTGAAGAAAAAAATCTATGAAAAAAAAACAAGAAAATTGAAATAAAACTGATTGTTCTTTTGTATAATAAAAATAAACGGTTGGATTTTTATTTTAATTTTTGGGCGTCTTCATTTTTACAACTGAAATGAAATTCAAAAGCAGATTACAGGTTTGTTTATACAAAAAAAATATTTTGCTTTATTTGTCACGAACTTATGAAATAAATAAATCAATGTCTTAATCTTGGAAGAAAAAAAAACTCAACTTGTGTCACGTGAATAAATAATTTCCAATTGACAATATGTTTCTGATACTAAATCTAGGTGATATTATCAGAACGTAAAATAAGCGGGTTTATAATTGGAAAATGGATAGTCTAGACTTCATTTTGATGATTGAGAAATTTTGAACACTTTGTGGACAAAAATATCAAGAAATGACAAAAAAAATTGCAGGTCCTTATTTTACGCTCTGATACATGTCGTCAAATTGTTTTCTTCCCTAATTTCAATGAAAAAAGTGGGATGGAAGGTTATCTTCAAGTACTGCACTTGTGCACAGAAAAATGTTGCATTCGGTCACCAAATAGAGAAATCTCCTAGAAAAACTCGTTTTGGTAGTGTGTTTGATGTGGTTGGATGAAAGTAGAAGTGATTCTTGTGAGAATAATGTACTTCAAAAGTGTGATTCCATCAATTTGGCCTTATATTGTTCATTACATTCTATTGATGTTATAAAAAAAATATCGTTAAAAATATCAGATCTGAAGACGATATGAGGTATTCATTCGTTAAACAATTTCGTTAAAGATATTAAGATACAGTGTTACATAGGTTTAATATAATCCAAGCTTCACTGACAACGGACTTTTCGTGTGAGTTTTCATGTTTTTTTTAATAAAAAAAGAGAAAAAAATCCGCTAAATTAATACAATTTTCATTAATACGAAATATTATTATTTAAAAAAAAATCAATAAAAGTCTATATATGATATTCATGCAAACATTTCATCAAATGCTTTTCATAGCTGTAACGAATTAAAATAGTTAAATAGTTGTTATGTCAAGAGTTATTTATTGTTTATTTAGAATTGAATCAATGGTTTGTGTGCTAGTTCTTTTAGTCTTCGGCGTTCTTTCAAATCTTGTTCAATTTGACGACCAAATGCCTCGTGCACCGTTTGAAAATTGAATTCATTTTGAGAATTTATATCACTGGATGCGGTTAGATTAGATGGAGGGTCTTCGATGGGCGATGGGTTAGAAAATGATTGCTGCATTGATGCCGATACTGTTACCATCCCACCACCGTTAGAAGCTATATAAGTGTTTTTTAATGATTTTGTGTGTGTGTGTGTGTTGTTACAATCACATTGCAGTTATAAATGAGGGGACGAATACAACGCAGACGAGCCACAGAGCATTTTTGCAGACACGATAAAAAAGAGAGAGAGAAAAAGACACGGATAATTTAACAACACGCAACTCATAAAGCCAAAAAATTGATGTGAAAATAAAAACCAAATAATAAAATGTTTAAAACATAATTTGATGGTGGTTAGTTTTTTTACCTTGAGTATTTGTATTTGATGCATAGATCGGAGGCGGTGGTGCTGGCCGAGTGATTTGCCGATCACATGGATGCCGATCGAATGGATTTTCGCGCTGCTGATTATGGCGTCGTGGTGGCGGCTGTGGTACCGATTCTATTGAACAATTTTTCGAATCTAAAAATAGAGCGAGTTTTGTGTGAACCAAGACCATTAAGTAAAATGTATGTTAAAAATAAACTTATTGACAATGACGGCACGATTCTTGGAATTCACATATATACAGATATATTAAATTAGCAACCAACAATACAATAAATCGATTTGAGTATTATCAAAACATAATTGAAAATGTCAAAACAATATTGTAAAAATAACATTTGCTGGAAATGGTGTGAATTGTAATGAGCGAATGCACTTAACGTTTACCTTTCGATTTTTCAATTTCAGTGAGCTGCCGCTGCAATTCGGCTACCATTAATTTCATATATTCATACCCAGCACAAGTCAGCGCTCTCATCCATTGTTCCATACTGAAAATGGTCACAAATGGAGACAAATATGTATATAACCTCGAGATTTAATCTCATTATTCGATTGATTTTTAAGACTTACATATCTTGTGTTTCGGCACTCAGGTAGTATGTCCGATTATTGATGCCATGAAAAATAATCTGAAAGCAGTAATGCTCACCTTCTTCGGCCAGCTCCACTGTACAACCCTCTAAAATAATGACCCCGATTGGCTCTCGGTCTCCCTTTTTCTCAAAGTAAAACAACAAATTGCCCTTAAGTACGAAATAGCGTCGTTGCCATGATTTATTCACTTCGCCTCGCTTCTGTAGCCATCCCTCAAGATCAATTGGAGGTGATGTCGCAAAATAACACATATTCTTCTCATTGATTTTCATTTTGAACTAAAATTTTTTTCTTTCCGCACAAATTTTAAACAATCGAAAAACAAACGCAAACACAATTGAACGAGTCACAAGATAGTGGAGTACGTGTTTTATTTGAAGACGATTGTTTTCTTCTCAATTCGATCTCACAACACTAAAAATACATTGATTAGTCATTTATATGATACATGGAGATCCGAGACAACACACTTGTTAAATTTTTTTTGCATTTTTTTTATTTCGATTGAATGAAAGAAAATTAATTTTCAACATTGTCCATTGCACATTTTCGAACGCAATAAAATTGCTTGAATGGTGACGGTTCAAAATACAAAGATCGTAAAACAAATCTCACAACTTTCCTTTTATTTTGTTTTCAATGCTTTTCGTCTTATTATTGTAATGCCAACCATTGTGCGTGTTATTCTAATTCCTTCACATAGACAATGACGTGACACTGGAAAGGGTGCGTTCTCGGTTTGAACTATGAAAGAAGTGTCAAGCGTTTGTCCGTCAGTAATGAATTCGACGTTCATTCAGTCAAACATTGTATGTCAACGCATTCAACAGTTGTTCAAACAGTATTTCATCCAGATAGATACATAAAACAGATTTACGGATCAAATAAATTGAACAGAAATGGCCACAAAACAGGTGAGTGCATAATAAATTATGTGAAATTACAAATTAAACAAAAAAAAAATATGTGTTTACAGAAAAAGTGGTTTAAATCCGCATTTGACGAGCCAAATTCACCAGCGGTTAAGACACCAAAACGAGATAGAATACAAACCGTGTTTCCTAACGAAGACGATTCGATCAATTTCAGTGAACTTGACCTGTCATCGCTCGACAATAACAATCAAACAAGCGATGACACACCAACACCACAGGTGTCTATGCTTTACACCGATTTCAAATCGTCAAATTGGATTGAAAATTTTTCACCGCGCACCAAAATGGAATTGGCCATACATGCGAAAAAAGTGGCCGAAGTTGAGGATTGGTTCCGCGTAGTAAGAGATCGAAAAATGAAAAATGCAGCGCCCATACTTTTAGTTACCGGGCCGGCTGGCAGTGGCAAGACACAAACAATCAAAATCATTGCCAAAGATTTTGGATACACTACTAGCGAATGGATAACTCCAGTGGACATTGAACATACGCGCCATGATACGAGAAATGACATGGATAAAATCACATACACCGAAAGTCAGATCGATCGATTCTCACAGTTCCTGTTCCAATCATCAAGATATCGTTCGTTGTTTGATATATCAAGCAAACGAATGGTTTTGGTTGAAGATTTTCCAAACGTTTTCATCAAGGATCCGAACAGTTTTGAAGAAGTTTTAGAGTAAGCGATTTCTTTTCTTTGTTTCTTGAAAAAAGATTTCAATTTGGGATTTTTTTTCCAGAAAATACAAAAACTACGGAAAATCGCCGTTGATTTTCATTGTGACTGACACAAAAAGTCGAAGTCTGAACATCAGCTACAATTTGTTTACGGATGAAATTCGGGGCCGTTTCAATATTACTTCGATTGCATTCAATCCCGTTGCCGATACAATGCTGAAGAAGGGCTTGAAACGGATTTGCGATATAATGGGACAGCCCGGATTCAAAGTCTACTACAGTGAACCGAGCAAAGATCAAATAGATTCAATTGTGCTATCAGCGCAGGGCGACATTCGCAGTGCTGTCATCAATCTACACTTTGCATCGCAAAAAAGTAAGTGGCCACGATTTGTGAAATGTGGAACTTTCAAGACGTTTTTTCCTTTTTTCATATAGACTCCACTAAATTACTAACACAAGCATTCAATGAAAGTACCAAAGGCTCAAGTCGTGCGAAGAAAACCAAAGTCACAAAAAAGACCAAACTCAAATCTCTGGGCACCGATGAAAATGTCACGGTTTTACATGCACTTGGTCGTGTTTTTAACCCAAAATGTGAGTCAAATAAATTTGCATAAAATAAATTTGCCTTCTAATCTAAACTGACTGCCTTTTTCTCAGACCAAGATGCACCAGATGTCGATGGTCATCGAAGATTTATTCATTCACCGAATGAAATAGCCAGTACACTCACGTCACAACCAATGACATCTCTCAATCTTATTCACCACAATTACGTTACTCATTTTCAACGGCTGGAAGAAATCATCGAAGCAATCGATTGTATCGGATGTTGTGATATCATGTTGAACGAATGGCGGTCGGATTTATCAGCAGAAATTGGCGTTGATCTCGCTGTGCGTGGAGTTATGACGGCAAATGAGCATCCAGTTACGGGACGATGGATGCCGGTTAGAAGTGCGAAAAATCAAATTAAATCGTATGTAAACTTTCTTGAATATTTTCCAGGTCGCCAATTTCTTTAACGTCCATTCTTTTGTACAGAACTGAATATGAAAAAGAGCGCCGAGAGTTTGGCATTCCGACGCTTGTGACATCGAACAATTTTGCTTGTGATTATCGCACATACATCAAACTCATACCGAAAAAAGAAAAGACTGACGAATCCGAAGCCATGGAAATAACTGAATAATTGTTTATAAAATAAATTGTATTTTTCCATTTTGTTTACATTTTGAAAAAGTAAAATTGCGAAAAAACAATAATAAAATAAATATCAACAGTATCATTTGAGCATAATTGAATGTCCCAAACGAATGATTAAATTTGGGGTATGTTTAGAAATTGTGACACCGTTTGAATCATGTGTGAAATTCGTTCACATCATATTCATCTCATTGTTTGCAAACAAGGACCATTTTTTGTTTATATTTGACATTTGCACATGATGCTGCACAGATTACTCTCACATCTTTTGCACATATTTTTTCAATACTTTTTACTAAATACTCGTTTTGATAAGTTTTTTTTTTTTCAAATGTGACACACAATTAATAATAATAAAAGAGACGTTCGTTTAGTAAAATAAGTAAGATTCTAGATTAGTTTTAATTTTAAAATTCATCAAACCTCACTAAATTAAAAAATGGACGAATATGAAGCATGTAAGTATATTCATACGTTCGAAAACAGCATTTTTGTATGCAATATTTCATAACTGTAAATAGATATCGATCAATTACCGCAAAAAATCACCGAAATGCTCGAATCGCTTGATGAAGAGCCAACCGAAGAAGAAACTCTTGCTATCAACGAAGCACATGCGGAAGTAAAAAGTAATATTCAACAAGTCAAGCAAGAGATAGACGAATATTTGGAACATATGCGAAAATTGAGCGAACGTTTGAAGAATGACCCCAATGCAGACGCTGAGGCTTTGGTGGCAGAAATCTTGCAATTATATCACATTGAAAGCCCATGTGGTGCAGGTATGATTATGATTTATGTGAATGTGCTATAAATAGACTAATAATCTCGTTCCCTCTGTGCAGCCAGCATGAGCAGTAATTTTGGTGCATCAAATGAGACGATCAACAGCAATGGAACCAATGAAACAAACAAGTCAGATAAATCCAATTTATCCAATGAAAATAACGAGTCATACTACATAAGTGATGAAACAAAAAAATCAAAAAACTCCAAAGATATCGAAGCAACTGAAACCATTGATAAAATTAGGGCTTTAAGCATACAAGAAAAAGAGTTGCCAATAAGTTTGCCATAATTTTGATTTATAACAGAAATGACACATTTTTTAAGACATGACAAAGATTTTTTAAACTATTTGCATTGAAACAAATATCATTTTATATAATAAAAGTCAAATAAACAACTATTATACTTTTTTAATCGCATTTAGTTTTAATTAATTGAAAATTGTCTCCCATCCCATTTAATGATGTCAAACATCAACATGATTTCACTCAAATTGCGACCAATGTGAAGTTAAAATAATACGTTAATTGTCTACTTGGATTTGAAAAATTCGGCTTAGTAATCGGAATTTTGTTTGTTATTTACGAATGTATTCACATATGACGAAAGGTTGCTGCGTTACGCTCAGTAACGCAGTGTAAACGTCAACTGTGCTTGTGACGTTTCATTATAACGTCAACGATAGATGTTTTGATGTCGATGATATTTCTCTTTTTTTTTTGTTGAAATATATCACATTCTCTTGAAATATATTTAAACAAATACTTTTAATTTTTAATTAATTTAATAAACGCATTAAAAAAATTATGCCAACTGGATGAAATAGTGTATGAATTTATTCAAAAAATATCGAAAACATTGTAAAGGTTGAGTGAATGTTAGATATTGTTTGGTCAAAAAGTGAACGATACAATTAGACACTGTAAAATATTTTAATTAATTTGTAATATTTGTCCAATTAGTGTTATTTCTATAAAAAAAGAAGATATTTCGACAATTTCAAAATGGTTTCATTGCGAGATCGGCAGATAGGTAAATATAAAATCTTATTAGCACCGCTAAAAAATCTAGTCAATTTGATGTGACGTGTAACATTTAATATATGCCCGGAATGAATGAATGATGCAACAAATGTAATATTTTGATATTTACAGCGGCTATTAAGCAAATGCTTAATTTGAATACAACACAAACGAAAACATTGTCATCTGAACCGGTTTGGAAGGTTTTGATTTATGATCGTATTGGTCAGGATATAATTTCGCCACTGATTTCAATCCGTGAACTTCGAGAGCTGGGCGTCACTTTGCACATGTAAGTGGTCAAACAAATGAATCCATCTGTGTTGAAAGTATCTTTTTTAACTGATTGTGTCATTTTAGCCAATTGCACTCGGACCGTGACACGATTCCCGAGGCACCGGCGGTCTACTTCTGTGCACCAACGGATGAGAATTTGGGTCGTATTGCACAAGATTTTCAAAATGGTTTATACGATGTCTACCATTTGAATTTCATCGCACCGATTTCACGTCAAAAGCTGGAAGATCTTGCAGCCGCCGCATTGGCCGCTGGTTGTGTGGCAAATATTCACAAAGTATACGATCAATATGTGAATTTTATAACGCTAGAAGACGATATGTTTGTGTTGAAACATCAAAACAGTGACTCGCTATCGTATTACTCAATCAATCGTGCAAACACCAGTGACACCGAAATGGAAGAAATGATGGAGAGCATTGTGGACAGTTTATTTTCGATATTTGTAACAATTGGAAATGTACCAATCATTCGGGCATTGAAAGGGACCTCGGCCGAAATGGTTGCACGTAAATTGGAGAAAAAACTTCGTGAAAATTTATGGGATGCACGCAATAATCTATTCCATATGGATGCAACACAGGCCGGTTCATTCAGTTTTCAACGGCCATTGTTGATCATTTTGGATCGAAATATTGACATGGCAACGCCATTGCATCACACATGGACCTATCAAGCGCTTGCCCATGATGTTCTTGATTTGTCTCTAAATCGAGTTGTTATTGATGATGATGATAATAAAGAGCATGGTGGTGCCAAGCAAAAGGCTAAAAAATCATACGATTTGGATTGCGCCGATAAATTTTGGAAGACTCATAAGGGAAGCCCATTTCCAACGGTGGCCGAAGCAATTCAAGAAGAATTGGAACAGTATCGTAATTCAGAGGATGAAATTAAGCAACTGAAGACATCAATGGGCATCGATGGTGAGAATGAGATTGCATTCTCAATGGTCAACGATAACACCGAAAAATTAACCAACGCTGTCAATTCACTACCACAATTGATGGAGAAGAAGCGTTTGATTGACATGCACACTAAGGTTGCCACTTGCATTTTGAATTCCATCAAGTCCAGGCGATTGGATTCATTCTTTGAAATCGAAGAGAAAATCATGTCGAAACTAACACTTGATCGACCATTGATTGATATCTTGAAGGATGCTGAATTCGGGCAACCCGAAGATAAAATGAGACTATTTGTCATTTACTACATCTGTACACCGAACGTGCCCGAATCGGAATTCTCCAAATACGAATCAATTCTCAAGGAAATTGGATGCGATCTAACGCCGTTGCCTTATATTCAACGCTGGAAGTGAGTTTGAAGTATTTTTTTTTTAAGTGTAAATATAAATACAATACAACCTTATCTCGAATCATTTTAGGAGTATTATGAATCGGTCGAACACACTCAATCAACCTAATCAGTACGAAGGTGGCGGCACAAAAACTGTGTCGATGTTCTCGAAATTGGTTTCACAAGGATCATCGTTTGTGATGGAAGGAGTTAAAAATTTAGTCGTCAAACGACATGTACGTGTTTTAAGTGATGAACATTTAGATTCAATTTTTAATCAATTTTCATTTCGTCTAGAATTTACCCGTAACGAAAATAACGGAACAACTAATGGATTGTCGCGGTGGCAATGAGAATGACGATTATTTATATTTGGATCCAAAACTTTTGAAACGCGGTGATACAGTACCAAAAACACGGGCTCCATTCCAAGATGCAATCGTTTTTATCGTCGGTGGAGGCAATTACATTGAATATCAAAATCTGGTCGATTTTATTAAGGTAATTTTTCAAATTGTTTTTGTCAATGTCAAACGCAATGTTTAATCAATTTTAATTTTTTTATTTCAGCAAAAACAAACAGCAAACACGAATAAACGTATTATCTATGGTGCATCGACTTTAGCTAATTCGAAACAATTTTTACGTCAGTTATCGTTGTTGGGCCAGGAAATTAAAGACGTTTAAGTTAAATTCCAGATTTTTATCCAATTGTATACCTTTTTCTTATATTTGATGTTAAAATAATAATACATGTTTCAAACAAAGAACTCACGATATACATTTTTTTAAGATTATTTTCTTCGATGGAATCACACTTTCCGAGCCAAGGAGTTCGATTACCCCTTGAATGCAAAAATACTCTTACTACTACGTTAGGTATATTCCCCATACAAATTAATTTTATCGATTCTACGAATGCGACATCTGTTAAAAAAGATACCGATTTTTGTAACAGCTCGAGCGAACTATACGACTATGGCTGTATTACAGACGAACTAATACAAAAGAACACACAGACTCCGATCCTGTGTATTGTAAATTTTGCACAAGCAGCTACGATTGATGACTGAGTGCAGAATTTGTAATACATACGCATACACAGAATCGGAGTCTGTGTGTTCCTTTGTATGTTTACACGAGCTGTATTAAAACATCACTAGTAAAAGAAATCGGCGAGTTTTTTAGTAGATGTCGTATTTGTGGAATCGATAAAGAAAAATCTACGATATTAGCGCTCATTGACATTAGCAATGAAAGTGCCGATTTTGATTTGTATAGCGACCAAAATGTTCAAAAAATACAGCAATTTTTCAATGAAAGTTTACATAACATGGCTATCAAGCACATGAAATTTCTATTGGACGAATCAGACGGCGCAAAAGTCTATGCAACAATACTGAACCATTATCAAAATAAAGGAATCGAAATGGATCCAAACAAAACGAATATGTTTTGCACACTGGTTGGTCAAAGAGAGGATGGGTCGATTGAACAAATCTTCAATTGCAATTCGAATTCTTCGGATAAACGAAATATTGGAGGAACAAACCATCGCCGCTTCACTAAACATGGTGGAGTTTTTTTTACATATCAGTGCACATATGGAATATTATCAATGGAACTCAAATGAAAAGTCAAAGCTGTCATGACGGGACCTATAAATCTATCTTGACATGACTTTGAGTTAGAAACTTACAAAAAGTTCATTTCGTCTATATTGGAAATGGTGTTGAAATCCCAACTGAAATAATTGAAGATTGCTTCATTGCAGTTAATGGAACAACAACAGTCAACGTCGCCCGTAGAAATGTTATTGAAAAATATAGCCTTGCGCATCATATCTCAAATGCGTTGGCATTTCTACATTGTTATGCCATCTAATACTGAAACGTTTGAAACTTCACGGCGTGAAGTTCACGCTTTTGTATAGTTTTTGAACTTTCGCATACAATATTCACATAAAAAATTGTATTTGTCTATGTAATTTTCATATAAAATATCGTCTTTGTTTATTCTCTTTTGAGCGGTTCATCTTCATTTATGCTTTGAAGACAATGTCATCCAAAACACCTGTCAATGCGTTGTGTTAATATTGAATGAAAATATTGCGGATATATCGGTAAAACTTATAAGGCGTTCCAAGATCATGCTTTTCGAAAGCACCGCGGCTCAAAAATTCGAACATCATTTACATCTTTTGAGTAAGGTTAGTATTTTTCGATTAATCTAAATAAAAATGTTGTTTGTTTGTGAAAAAAATGTGTCTATTTATTAACTAAGATGTAAATGATAAAATAAAAATACAACATGAGAACGCCGATTGGATCATCTACTTCGCATGCCAAATTGGTTTCTTCAAAACATTGAACCGAAACATCGTATCGTGCAAGCGCTTGACTCTGAGGCCGACATCATCGTATGAACTTTGTGGATCTCGTTTTGAAGACTCCTTCTTTGGTGTTTTTTTTACCAAAGTCACTACCATCCTTCACATTGTATAAAATGAACGTTAATTTTTATTTATCATGTTCCAAAATTCTTGACTAATTCGACTTGATTTGATTCTACTCAATGTGTTTGGCTTGAAATCATTTAACGCTATATATCTGGTTGCTTTTTTTAACTCTTTTACTATTGACTGAAAATTAGGTTTGTCTGAAAAAAAATGCATATCAATTAGATAGCTGTATGCTCTGCCCAATTCAGATTTGGAAGTGTGTTTTTTATCCAATTTATCCAGAAATAAACGAAGTTTTTCCGTCTCTTTGCGTTTAAATAAAATTTGTGGTATAATTGTGCAAGTAATCGTTGGATGGCGTTTTAAATATGTATCCCAAATTTCATCATTTTCCTTATTGTTTGTGTCATTAACGAAATTATACAACCATGCAAAGCAAATCGGTTTAACAAGACCATTGGCAGCAAAGCGTTTGGCCAGCGTTATATCTGAAATTATAAAAAAAAAGACGTAAAACAGTGAATATTCAATGATTTGCTTGACTCCGGAAAATTACAGTCCTCAGACACTTACAGCTCTTATAAATATCCTTATCGCTTTCTATCATGTTAACAACTTGTTTGTTAATAACTTTCAAAGCGGCATTTTGCTCGCTGGAAGCCGATTCAATGATTTCCATATACTTTTTGCATTCGCCAGCCTTTATGTATGCAGCACATTCATGTACATGAAAGTCGAGTTGTTGTTTTGTTGATTCATCAAATTTCTCATTCAATTGAACAAATATATCAATGCGTCCATGTTCAGCATTCTTCTTCAAGCAATATCGAATGATTTTTCGTTGCAGCGAAGTTTCAGATTCTAAACATTTATTGAAAAATTTGTTTGCTTCTTCGATATCATCTGCTCTAAGATGTGATTGCAACATTTCTTCGTCATCGCCCATCAAATGATTTTTGTACCATAACTGTGGCATTTCAATCTTTTTTCGTTCCAATAATTTTCGTGACTTTTCGAAGTCGTTCGGTACGATTTGTTCATCAATCATTGCTGCCACTAATTTCTGTATTTCTTCATTTGTATCCGGCTCGTTCGCATACAATTCCAAAAGTGTCGAGTAGATTTTTGTTCGGCATTCAATCGATACATAATTTTCGGTTGCATCGAGTAAGTTATGCAAACATTTTGTTTGTCGTCGATATTTTAAATTATCAATAAAATCCATTATTTGTTTGGATGCAAATTCGTTGCCATCAAATGACATAAAAATCCGTTTGGCTTGTTCATTTCTTCCACAAGTTATGAAAGCAAATGCCATTTGAAGAATAGAATTATTTTGTCCATGATATTTTGTTAAAATGGTCAATATTTTCTCTAGGTTATCGGTATCATTGCGATTGATAAGTTCACATGCAATCGGTTGAGTGAACGGTGTCTTTTTGAATTGATGAGCAATGCGTCCAAATAAATCACATGTCTCATCTAAATTAGCGTTTTCCAATACATTTTTCATAATTATGTTCAATATTCGATGATTACAATATTTCTGAGTAAATATTATATTATCGACAAACCACATAAAGTCATTCGCTTCATAATTCCCATCAAATATACTGCAGAGAATTGCATCAGATTGTTTTGTTGTGCTTGATTTTATTTCGTTGCTATTAAATTCAATTACGATTGCTTTGGCATCGTCGATTCGTTTTGAACTTAAAAGACTTCGCAACAATGTTAAATATACAATGTCTGTCTTATGAAATCCTTCTGTTTTGCTCCATTTTTTATATATTTGCAAAGCACTCTCAACCTTTCCTTGCTTTACGTTTGACATAATCGTTTTTATGGAATCAGCCAATTCATCGTGGTTTCGGTCGAGTAATTTATTTATTGTCTTCGGTTTTTTATTGTCTTCTTGACAGTTCAATTGAACATTGTTGTGGAAATACCTAAAAGAAAATCTGCACAGAATAAATGTATTACATTTTTTTTTTCAATCGGTTTTATCGAATTGATTGCTTACGAATTTATATAAACGCAATTTCGTGAGACATGGGAATAGCGGCCAGTTTCGGATATTTGTAAAACAGCCAAACTATTTCGAAAACTTTTCAAATTATTTAAATATCGTAACATTTTGTTTTCAGTAACTATTTTTTGATTTTCTATAAATATTACAGCATGCACACATTTGACATTTGATGACGTTTGTTTTGACAGTTGTCAAGTATCAAGTCATTCTCCGCGATTTTGAATGTATAATATGACACTTTTAAGTATTACAGAGAAATGTTTCAAATTCAAACACAATTTGTAGTATTTCATTTTCAAAAAATAATAAACAAACTCAAGTACTACGTTTATTATTAATCTGTCGTCGATTTATTGAATATGTATAAATTATGGAATGTGTAGTTTTCAGTTATTATGATCGGCTGCGACTGCGACTGCGGCTCGATGAGTGGCTATTTTTCATAAGCACTTGTTTAGACAATGGAATCTCTGAATCTTCACTAATGTAATACGGACTGTAGCCAGGCCTGCTGTTAATTAGAAACCAAATATTGAATGAAGAAAGTTCATCGAAGAAATTGCTGTTAAACTTACGACTGTCCAGTCGGTACTGTGTAGTTGAAACGCATGTCTTCCAATTTTCTGATTGGATGCGTCAGAAAACATTTAACTTGATCCGTTGTGAAGAAATTCCGAGCTTGTTCGTAGTAGTGTTGTTGTTCGCGTTTAGAATTCCCCAATAATTCTCGTCGTCTTTTATATGACTGATATAAATTCCCATCTATCCGATATAATTTCTGAAGGCGCCGAAACTAAAATGTAAAACGTTATTAAAATGCTTTGGGTGTCACTTCGATTACAATTTTCTTTTACCATAGTCCTTATATTGTGATTCCAGTTGTAATAGCGGAAGATAGCCGATCTAAAAGGCGTTTCGATGATCAGTGGCCCGAAAAATCGATTCAGAAATGACAAGGGCAACTTTTGAAAGAAAATATTAAATTAAAAACGAGCGGCGATGAAGACTGTCATTCAATCCATGTATAATTGTATATATAACAAAATAGTTCTCACTCTCTCCGATAATCTGGCGCATTTAATCATCTTTTTGCAGGAGCCACATATTCCAAACAACACTTGTTGGTCGTTTTTTGACACTATTATTATGTTGAGAAAAGAAATAAACACATTTTTTGAAATGAAATACATTTGAACAATGGAACATAGATCGATACCTTTCACACATTTTTGGCAGAAGACATGGCCACAGACAAATGCTAACAATATTACACGACCGCTGGATGGGCAAAAACATCGTCGACATGTCACCCAACCGAACTTTTGTTGAAATTCTTCCGATGATATTGTGGTTGCTTTTGATTGCGCCATTTTGAATTTTACCTGAACTGATTTCGGTTTGATTCGTATTTATGGTCGTCGAAAAAATTATTCAATTTGTTTGTTTTTTACCGATATTCTTAGCTTAAAATTGACATGTATCAAGTCAAATGAAACATCACGATAGAACGGGCACTTCACAAATGATGTATAGTTTGCTGCTGTCAAGTCAATGTTATAGAATCACCATCACAATGGCAGTGTCACTGGATATTTATAACTGTGCGTCCACAAAGAGAGAGAGAGAGAAAGGGCCACACTTTTTGTATGTGTCAGCGTTCATCAGAATAACTGAGTGTATCGAACATATTTTGGTAAATCGCCATTGTTCTCTCTCACATAAAAAAAATCAAAATGGGTGAGTGATGGACATTCATACGATTTTTTTCCATTGAGTAAACGTAATGCAAAAAAAAGAACACCGATAACCGTTGCTTATTTATCAAAAATTCCTTTCAAGTTCTTTCTGATTCATTTTTTATCAATTATTTGAAATTTGAGATTTCCAAATAAACCAAATATGAGTCACCATGGAAATGTCACACATTAGCATAAATCTAAAAAAAGATCAAAATTCCAAATGAATCAAAGACTTTAAAAGGTTATACCTTACGTAAATCTACAATAACATTTCGAATTAAAAAAAAATTATCAAGTATTATCAAAATTCTTCTTCTTAGAGAAGATTTATTTAAATATAGGATGTGGCAAAGAAGATTTGTTACTTTCATCGCAATATCAACGATGAAGTTATTCGAAATATTTCACCCACAGTTCAATTGAACGAGCTAACAAATTCATTTGGCACTTTTACAACAGACTGATATAAGTGATGGTAATTTGAGCATAAATTTGTATTTTCATTTCAATATTCGTTACATCCTTGGTATCCTTTAGTAAATATAATATTTTTGTTACTCGAGGAATGATCATTCTCTTCACAAAATAGTTTTAACAGTAATTTCAATAAAACGAATGAAAATAGTTTCGAAACAACTTGTTTTTTTTATCATTTATTTGATGGCAATACAAAAATTGAATGAAAAACAAGCGAATTATCTTAAGTAATAATGTATTTTAATGATCTTAGATGCTATTCATATGCAGACATTAGCGAGTTGCATTTGCTGCAAGATATTGGATTTTATCGATTGAAATTCGTTCGGCCGTGCTGAGGTAATTATTAACAACGTCCGATAGTTCATTGTGGCATTGTGCGTATTCAACATCTTCTTCACTGTTCAATTTCAAATTGTGTAACAATGAATCGATTGTGTTCACTGGAAAACAAAGTGGCGGTAATGTTGATTGCATGCAGTTCTTCAATCCAAAATATTCGCTGCCCGTATTTGTCATAGCGGCAATGTATTCTTTAGCCAAACTTGTCGCTTCGACCAGTCGACCATGTGTGACATACAAATTCAATAGTTCGGATGCGTTTTTTTCGCGATACGATAGGAAAAGCCAGTGTGGTAGAAATTCTCCCAGTGCGAGTAATTTATTTGTAACAGCTTTGTGTAACGTGGTCAACCCGTCTTCTTCATAATCGTGAATGAGTCGCTGCAATAGTTTCCATGCCATATCACTGGGTGAATTCTTCTGCGGAATGTCGGCCAAATCATTCTCTTGCAACCAAGCCCATGAATCGTTTGAACTTTCGTCGTTGGCTCGAACACACGCGAATGCCAAACCTTGCAGAATGTTTGCAATTGATTTTTCAAATTTAACCGCCAATTTAACGGCATCGGTGTATAAGCCGGCATTTGATAAAACCGCAATCACATCATCGGGCGTTGCATTTACTATTGTGCTCAATTCTTTGCGATGTTTGGCAAGTGTAATAATGGCATCGGTTAATAAAAGTTCCTTTCGAATTTCGGCCAATTCGCAGACAACGACTTTTTGTTTTGTTGCCACTTCATCGGTTTCCATATCGTTTTCATCGTGTTCGTCTGGAATCTCGTCGCTAATAACTGGCCGCGCAATCCAACGATAGTCTTCGTCGGCCAAACTTAATGCCGTCACACATGCCAATAAACATTCATACCGATGCTCAAGACCGGAAAGTGTTTTTGTTTCCAACTGACATCTTAAGGCCTGTTCATACATGACCGAGGCCGCTTTTCGCATTGTTGACTTCGAAATGTAGAAAGCGTACAGAAAATCATAGTAGATATTATTTTCGATTGCCATCGAGCGTGCACGTGATTCGATGATGGCTTCGAGCTCTTCTTGCAAACCCAGATAGGGGAATTTCATAAGCAAATCCAAGCGCTGCTTTTCAAATAAACAAACAACCAACTGACGCAAACAGTCTTTACGCCGTGATGGTTCGGTGTTTGCAATCAATGAATGATATGCTTCTTCGTAGTGCTCCAAACTCAAATGATTTGCAAATACAATCGATTGGAACATGGCCAACTGTGGACTGCTCGGATCAAGTTCGTCGATTGCAGCCTTTGCCAACGAGATAACGCAATCTTGAGATGAATACTGTTCGAACAATTGGATAACTCGCAAGTAGTATTGTGTGACAGATTCACTTTGGGTCAAATCTTCAGCCGACTGTAGTATGACTTTGACGAGGAAGGCTTCTTGTTGAACACCTTTTGCGCATTGCATAAACAAATCGAATGCTTTGTATGGTTCTCCGTCGTCGAGCAGAGAAACAGCAGCGATAAAATGACCTAATTGGAATATAGAATGAGAAATATGTTAGTAACTCCAATGGAGTAACGATGTTACGTGTACATTGACGATTTTTTCGAAACATAGACGAGCATCTACGAGACAGCAGTTGGTCTAAACCCAAAAAAACGAACTCTAAGTAAATACTCACGTGAATATTTATTCCATTCGCACCAGCTGTTAAGCAAACGGACGTATTCTTGGATTAAAATGTGTTGACAGCTTCCAATCAACCATTCGCCGAAAATAAAATTACCATCAACCGCCCATCTGTTGAAAAAGAACTTTCAATGTTATATATCGCCATAAAAATGTTTACAAAAACCAATTGGAACTCACAATAATTGACCGACGATTGTAGCCAGTGGTAAAAGTGTATTTTTCCATTGAATATCGTTAATATCTCGACATTGATCCTGTAATAGCATCCAAACGCCGGCCTCCAAACCTTTTCCCCTCAAAAATTGTTCCAATAGAGTCGTTGGATGATTTGGACGGCTCTTGTAACGGCAGTCTGACAGTTGCAGCGTTGACAGTTTCTGAATACTTGCGTCCCTTTTTATTTAAAAAATAAAAAACCAATATTATATAGCACTTCAATTTACTCAAAAAAGGAAAACTATCTTACAAATTTCCAGTTGTTGGTGGTGTTTCAGATGTTTCACAAATCCAGACCATTACATAGTAGGCTTGCACAAATACAACCGTTTCGGGCATACAATCTGACCGAATATACTCCAATGTGTCGATGGGCAGGTCACTTGAATCGATCAGAATTTGCTGTAAAATCAACAGATTTCGGCACAATGCGTAACGAATAACAGCGATTTGATGCAATGACTCCGAAACTAAAGAGATACCAGTGTCACTTCTGAACAAATGTCCAATGGATAAAAGACCACGGGATGTATGCAAAATATCTGGAATTAAACAAAACGTTAATATATTGTTCAACAACAATTGTATTGGCTGTGTGGCATACTTGGAAATGATGTTTGCATGTCATCCGTTTCAGCGTCGTTCATTTGCAACAATTTCAGCAACATTGTCATCGCGTTTGGCAATTGTGATATAAATTTCATCTCCGAATTGATACTATCTCGTAGCTCTGGGTCGATGAACTAGAATGTATGACATACTTTGATTAAATAGGTAAAAATTAAAGATTTTACCATCGACTTACATTATGTTCGTAATCCGAAAGCAATTGTGAAATAAGTTCATTTGGTGTATTGAGTTCGTAAAGTTTTGTGTCTATTTCAGCCTTTGACTCATCGGAAATATTTTGCTCTAATGTGGACAATGTGGTGATGAGCTTGATTAGATCTTCTGTAATGTTTTCATCATCGAGACCAAGACCGGTTAGGCATTCAACATTTTCACCGAGCAACATCAAGTGCTCGAGAAGTTCGCACGGCCGAAGCAATGAGAATGCATTTTTCTTAATGACCGTTACGGCACCAATTGAATCTAAATTCACAAGACCAATTGGTTGAGTGGCTTTGATGTGATACTGTTCACAACATGAATAGAAGCGTTCCCATGCTTTGAAACTCGTTTCGATGTACACATCATCAGTGACATCGAATTCTTTGAGCTCATTTTGAACTTCCTGTTCGACAGCATAACAAACACGATCTTTCAGGGCTGTGAGTGGGACATTTGGATCGGATAGCACATTTGATCGACGGAACATCTGGAAGTTGGGAAAATAATTAAATGAAAACATGCATGTCTACAATTTTAGATCTTATCCGACTTTTCTGTCAATCGATATAGATATTCGATTACAAATTCAGAAGTAGTCGTATTTTTTTTTTGTAGATTTAAAGAACACTTACGACAAGGGCTCGATCGATGACTTCGCGTTGAAAACGTCCTGGATAGAAAATATAAGAGCAATATGCTTGCCGTGGATCGCTACCTGGTTCGATTTTTCGTTCTGGCAAAATTTCCAACCCTGCCGATGACCAACTGTAATCCCCATTCGACACCAGTGAGTAGCTTGACACATTGTACTCACCTTGTGAGTTACACCAAAGACCCCAAATACGCTTGTAATTCACATCGAATTCAATCAAATCGAATTCTGGTGACGGAATGACACTGATTTGTTGCAAGACAATCGATGTTCCATCGCTGCTCACACGAATGGTCACAAATTCTGATCCTTTGGCGCTACACAAAAATGCACAAAGCATATCTGGAGCAGCCTTTCTCAGCAAATTATTTCGCGCTGCAATAATGGAAGGTTTTTAACATTTTATTTTTAAAAAAATGTATGTGATTGAGTGTCTTACATCCACGTGTTCGTGTCTCCAGTGCATTTGGCACACAATTTACAATTGATACACATTGCCCGGTTTTCACTGACCACATTCTCATATGATCGTCGCGATACAACCCATATAAGAAGACGGTGTCGTCAATCGCTCCAAATTTACACGTTCCAAAGACCATTGATGTTACATATTGACTGTCTGGATTTTTGCCCCTGTGATTTGATGACCATCGAAATGGTTATTCACAAAATAATTATCAAATAATAAAAAATAAAATACCTGAATGCTCCCGTTAGATTGGTCAAAATCCTGTAGCTTTCTTTCAGTTCGACAAAACCAACCTGGCCGTTTAGACAGTTCATTGTATACAGTATCATATTACTTTGGTAAGCCAATGCAAAATATGCTTCACGACCATTTTCGCTGAGGGCACAAGACGCCGTATGTGGAATGGGTTGATCTAAATCACAACTCAATTAGTATCAATGACAATGAAAATATGTTATCTTTTTTTCAACTTACTCGATGCAGACAATTGATTAATGACATAGACTAGTGATGTATTGGCATCTCGTACTGTTTGTCCAGTGCAAACACCATGGAACACTGAATATGATTGTGTTTCGTCGTGGATCTTTTGAAATTCTCTCGGCTGACTGAATTTCAATTGATGCAAACTACTAACCGTTGCCACCAATACAATTATGTGATCATTGCTTTCGGCAATTGAAACTGCCAAAATCGGAGCGTCTGTGAATTTGTATCGAACGGCATTGTCCGTCAAATTCAAATCCAAACTGATTTCGGATAATTCCAAAACGTCGCCATTTGTTCGCCTGAAATAATGTCAATTATTTTATTATTGAAAACTTATTTTGAGAAGTGAACGGAATAAACCGAATTGAATTGAATCGAATTTCAACATACCAGTAAATAAATCTGTTTCTCTTTGATTCGTGCGACAAATCGCTGTAACAATATCCACCCGCCTTTTCAATGACCTTTATGTCTTGAAGTGTGCTCTGTGCGGCGCCTTTTTCATCACAAAAAATGTACAAACATTTATTATTTTTATATCAAAAGTTCGATGAAACACAAGCATAAAAAACATAACCTAAAAATAATAATATACGAACCGGTGTTTATTGTGATGTCCTTTCGAATTTGTGCATTTGTTTGGTCTGGAATCACTTCACGATAGCTTAGCTCAAAGTCGTTCATGATTACCACTTATTTAAAACAATAAATTTTCAAAGGATTAAAAATATGCCTTCTCCACGGATCTAACAAATGAAATTTGACTCTCTTGAAGTTTTTGTGTACGTTTGGTGCGACAATCAAATCAAGCTGAAATAACGCGCGCGCGTTTCTTATATGACGTGCGTTTTCGATTTGACAGTATGTTTTTAAGGGTCCGTTCAATAGTTTCATTGACAATGTTTTGAAATGTTCTATGGAAAATTCCTCTGAGACAGTATAAACACATTTTTGTAAAAAAAAAATTTACAAAAAATTGAAACAAAAAATCAAAAATAGAAAAAAATAATAGTTTTTAAGTAATATGATTTGTTGCTAGTGAAGTTAAAGTTTGTACGTGACTGAGTGTGTGTGCGCTCGCGTTTGTTTGTATGCAGGCGAATGTGTGTGTACACATTGAATAGTTGTTACCTTGACACTTTACAACCATCACCCAGCTGGTATTCACACACAGATTATTGTATTCTCAGCAACCGGCCAATGCAGACGTCGTCATCATCATCAGCATTCAACACATCGTGTGCTATTGAAAGTCTGTTGGCGCATCCAAAAGCGAGAAAGAAAAAAAACTTTCATTGTCTCCAAAGAGCATAGTGCGTTTTCGATTCAAACCTAAAAATTTAAAGCGATTCTTTTGAGCATAATACAGTGTCGAGTTGAGTTGACATAAAATAAATTGATTTTGTTTTTGTTGTGGGCATGCAAAAAGGCGATCATCATTACTGGTGAGTATCTCATGGTGATTTTTATCTCACTTTTTCTAACGTCATTTCGAGAATAAAACAAAAGTGAAATTTTATGTCAAAAAGAAAACGAGAGTGTGTACACATCAAACCGAATGACAAACTAAAAAATGTATCAAATGTGGGTGCGTGAAATCAACACACTTGCGCACATTTCCTGTATTTCATCATTCTATAAATATAAACGCATCGGCCACGAGTGTGTTGAATGAACTTTTCAAAATTGCTATCTATCTAAATCATTCCTTAAATTTAATTTTTTTTCCTCCATCATCATTTCCAAAATCAATTTTCCATTTGATTACAATCAATTTAAATGCCACATCGTGACAACACTACCAAATAAAAAGTTGTGAATGTGTTTGCAATATCAAACATGCATGCTGACTGCAAATAAATCTAATAAAGATTATTGTAAGACATTCGTTCCCAACGAAAACAACACAAAAAATTAAATTCACCTTTCTATTGCAGTGCAGTGCACGAAAGCGAATCTAGATATGCTAAAGACGGTTTGGGAAAAGAAAACATGGAAAAATTGGGGTGAACTTACGCACCAAAAGTGCATTATGTTTTCCTTTGGGTATTATCCATGCAATGCTGTCGTATTCGTGGCCTATCAGCTTTTGCACAAAGTGAATAGATAGATAATAAGTAAATGTGGCATTTTCCGCTCTAAATGACAACACGTCGTGTATATGCTGTTTATACCGCTATCGCATTCAAGCATGCAAAATCTCCTTTGCTTTGCGTCAACAAAGTTTACGAACAATAATTGCAATAAAGAGGAAAGAAAAACCCAATGATTTGTACGATTCGGCGAAATTTGTGGTAGATTGAACCCCAACACTAGTGTCATATTATTTTCGCAAATGCCATGCTATGACGAGAGACTTTATCGACTGAAAATTATTGCCGAAAAAGGGGTTTAACTTCGAAATAATAGCGTGGTAGGGGATCAATATTGATGCGTCATCTTTATTCTCTAGAATTAGCTCGGTAAAATGGCATGTGCATAAGAAAATGTTCACAAACAATTACCGTCCTTTTGAAATATAGCGAAAAAGGTGAACACCCAAATACGGTTAAAAAAAATGTTGACAAATATGCGTGCTAAACCCAAATTGGCACTTCGACCACATTTATATTTTGGACGTCATTAATTTTTCTGATGTTCATTCATTCCCATAGCGCATTGTTTGCTTTGTTTTAGTAATGAAGGCGAAAATGGATGAATTATGGAATAAATTAATACACTTGTGGAAATCAATAACTATGTTTTGAATTCTGAACACGTTTTTCATAGCCAATATCATGCGACATATCAATTTTTTTTGGAATTCGACAATATCGACTTTTATTCCCTCTGCCAATGAGAAGTATTACATCACTTTTTCCGTTCATCGTTTCACTGCTGCATAGCGTCACATTGAATTCTTCAGACCAATGTCAACGACCAATTGAAGCACGTCATTTCCATCATTTTACGTCTGACTGTTTGCAAGCAAAATGTAAGCGGAAATCAAGACCCATACAGAGACATTTCGACATCTTAATTGACACCTAATTTGATTTCATGTATGTCATATCTCCAGAGAGGCGTTGGGAAGTGAACATTTATATGCAACATAAAATTGAGTACTAATGGCCTTGTTGATCTCATTAAACGATAATTTAGCTTACATATTTTTTTCCACGTTCCGTAATTTTCAAATAAAGACTGTACAAGTGCAGAAAATTCATTAGCATTAGACTATAAACGCCCCAAAGGATTTATGTGGTGACATGGAAACTTTATCACCGTCATATATCAGTGACATACCGTCAGCCTTTTTACAGCATAAATGTGATAATCGCAATATAAATTGACGGTTTCATAAAATGTGTCATGTTACATGATTAGCTTCTAATTCAATTGGTCTTGTGGCACAGTGTTTGGCTTTACATTCAGATGCTTTCTCTCTGAATTTGAATTTCCGTCGAGTTTTTGGTTGTTCTTGATTTATAATTCATCACTGACATACCTTGACCCAAAATAAGAAACAAAACAGTCACATTAAATCGATTCCATCAATTTCGTGTCGGTTATTTTTGAAATTGTCATTTTTTGTGTTAAACAATGCAGCTGGCAATTTATGGTAATTATACAAAATACTATTTCAAAAAAAGGAGGTTGTTTTTGGTTCTATTTGTCGAAGTTTGTCAAAGTGAAAGCGCCTCGTTTACGCCAACTAAATATTTAAAGGACATTTGTAGTTTTAAATCGATATGGTATGTTTTCATGGGCCTCTGTTCTCATCAAATGACGCTTTTGAGGTGCAACCTTAAATATAATTTGTAGTGACACGAAAAAACATAACAAACTATACAAAACTATTTGTTTTTAATGCAGTTTATTGAAATTGACACGTATCTAAGACGAAATCAGTTTGTTAAGAAAAGTACACCATGTTTTTTTTTTCGCTTCATTGATTTGTCATGAAATGAGTTATAAACACTCACGTAAAAGTCGTGAAAATCAATAATAATATTTTGTTATAAAATCAGGAAATGTGAAGTAAGAGTGAAAGTCGATGTTTGCCTTTCTTCAATTTTTTTCGTTGGTTTGAGCTGCAGTTCGTGCTGATTTTCTTCATTGAAAAATTATTTCAATTAGTTCGCTTCCGGCGTTGTAACCATGCATTTTGCATCAAAAATTCAATTTAAACGGGGAGGCGCAAACACACGAAATTTATCAAACTTTCATTTAGTTTCGTCGGTTTCTTCGACCGAAAATGCCAAATACCGTGTACTACTTTGGTTTATTGATTTAAAATTTAATAAGACACACCTGGCAACTTAATATTTGGCCACTGAGAAATTCGTTCTCGTCATCGCAAACATAACAAGAATGTGATTAACGAAAAAATTGCAAAGTAATAAAGTGTGAAAAAGAAGCGGAACATTAACCACAAATATCATGCCCTTTCTTATGGAATCGACGTATTCGGACGTATTCGTTAATGTCAACATTTATAAATAGACAACAATTTGCACAAGTTTTGCCCTAATGAAGTGAATATATTTTATTATCAACAAATCAGTGACTGTTTGCACAAGAACACGATTTTTTTTATTATTTGCTCGTAACCCATTTACATGATTGTTATATTTACGAATAGAACATAAGCAACAACACGTTAAACTAACTGCACGTGAAATATACGTTCGCACTGATTTTTGCTCATTTTTCATCGTTTTGCATGACATTCGCCGCTATTCAGTTAAATTAACTTTGGAAACAACCGAAAATGAACAAACACTAAACGAATTCGGTGTGTTGTCGATGTCGATTAAGAGATAAAGAGTGTCAAAAAACAACACCGACATATATGATAAGTATGAACAGAGACAAAAAACTAGTGATAGTTTTTATATGCTGTGAAAACATGTGGAAGTGAGCATACGCTCTGAAATAAGATTACGGATTAAAAATGAGTAAATGTTAGTCATTTAAAATTGATTGTCACTCTCGGAACGAATAGTCCAGAACTATCGCACACATTCAACAAATTCTTCAAAAAAATAAATCAAAGATGTCTCTTATGCCTTAACATGGCGTTTCAATTGAATTACCCTGTACTTTGTTCACCTCTAAAATACATTGTAGGCTCACCCCATTGCCAATATACTTTTATGATTATTTACTTGCACCTTTCCAACGTTCACTTTCCCATTTTAATTTAATGTAATAAATTCATTTTATATATGAAAACACAGCGAGTGCTTAAAATTTGCATTTTGGATTTCAAACACGATTTTTTCCAATTTCAAGAGATTTATTTGTTTTTGCTGTACTTACGATAATTGCTCGCCTTTAACGCGTTATTTGAAGTGGAAGGTCAAGCCTTTTCTATAATTCATTTTGAATTTGAAAATCAAATTACTTTTTTTTGTATGTTCTTTCCACATGAATGGTCGAAAATATTGCGTGCGTGGTCAACATGAGATTGGTGAGCGTCCAAGTTCAAGTTTAAAATCGATCGAATACAAATGGCACACCTTATGGCCAAGAAACAAAAGGAACATATGTTTTGAAACCATGTCAATTGCTTGCCAGCTCATTTATCAAACGATTCGCTCAATTTCACTGTATGAATCTTGTTGTTGTTCCGAATGAGTATTCAGTATAATGTCTTAATTCGGTCACACAGCCAATCTCTTTCAATGTATACATAGATCGATCTTATTACACGGGAGAATTGTTGTGCAGTCATGGATAAAGGAAATTCAAATCAAAATTTCATCATTAGATCGATAATTGGCAAATCTGTCGATTTGTTTGATTGAAAGACAATCACAAAGCAGTTTAAGTTGAGATTCCGATGCTTTTAACGTATTCGATAATCACAAATTCAAAATAACCCCATTGAACACATGCGATATTGAGATGGGTTGCGTAGGAAGTCAATTCTACGATATTCAGCTACTACGGATTTTGTTATGATTGCCAAAACAAAAGCCACACATAAAAATGACTCCGAGAAATGGAATCCAAGAAAAAAAATATAAATATATCAAAATATTGCCGCAGTTTGTAAATACGCATATTTGTACCGCAGAAATGAAATTCCTATCAAAATATTTTATCGATGACTATCGATTAAGTTCGTCGCATTCAAATTCCCATTTGCATACGATTTATTGCTATGGAGGTATTGAAAAAAACTTTCATCCCGTGCAGTCATGTCATGGACATTATTGCCATCATTTTATGGGCCGTTGAATCTTTAACGATATTTTCAATTAACCGAATATTAATGGCACATTTCCAATGTGTTCGATCGAGTCACTCAACACACAACGGAAATCGATGATCGAACAATTCTCTTATTTACGATGTGCATATAAAGGTATAAAAAACTACACTAAAAAATGATGAACGAAGACGAAATACTTCATTCATATTCGAATTGAGGAGGAAAAATTGCTGTGCACTGTTATTTTATTGTCTGCAATGAAATCATCGTGTGTGAGTTTGCGTGTGAACAACGTGGTTGTTTACGTTGATATAAACAGCGCTAAGGTATTTACTAGGAGCGACAAATCTCGTTTGAAATCAAACACTTTGCACTCTTCATCGAGTGTTTATGTCAGCAACGGCTTAATAAACAATAGTAAAGTAGAGGCGTCGCTCGCCGAATTTCCGAATCTATGTTGGCTGAATACATGAACACACACACGTCTGTCTATCCATCTCTAGTGGGTTTTTCGGTTCCATTTATTGAATTTATTTGTTTTTTTAGCGTTGCTATTTGTTCACGCAAGCCATTTGTGAATTGCTCACGAAAGAAAACGCAATTGGAAAAAAACACGACACACATGATAGAGAAGAAAAATATGAAAACGAAACGTAACTTAACGAACAAAAAAAGAAGAGAGGAAAAAACTATATGTAAGCCAAAGCCCCGTGTGTTTTGCAATCAAAACAGCGTTGTGGCGTTCTATGCTCATAAATTCATTGAGCTCTATGTTTATGTTGTTATTTTGTCGGTTGCGAACGGAACGGATGGCTTGAGTCTGACTAGTTGTTGTGTACAACACATGCTTTAGCATTTTTAGTTTTGAAGGCACGAGTCAGTCATTGATTCCAGCTCGTCAGTAACACAACTGAATTTTGATATATGAACAAATCAGTTTTAGCCTTTGCCTTTTAACCATCAAGAAAAGAAGTTGATTTTCTTCAATTTTTCTTTTTTCTACCTAATCTTCGTTCGCGATTAAATTTTAAATTCATAAACAGCGGCAAATAATCGACCGCAGTATAGTCTAAATGAAATTGTAAAATATTAACATATCCAAGTACTTTTTAATATCACTATCAACCAGTGTGTGTGGGTAATAATGAAAATAAAACAAATCGTAACGTCAATTAAATGAAGTGAAAGTGTTATTTTTAGCATGTTTAAAGTTTGAAAATTTTTCTCTCTTTTTTTTCTCTGAAAATAGTTGCATTCTAATCAACTTTGGATGCGTGTAAAAAATTCAAAATCGATAACTTTTCGACGTTAAATTATTTTTTTCACCAATTCAATTCCATGCACTCATTTTTTTTGCCCATAGAAAACACTTGAGTTTTGAGTTGCGTTCGTCGGTAAATATATGTGAAATTGCATCGGTGAAATCTGGTTCAAAATATAAAAAAAATATATAATAAGAAACGAAACAACGAAGAAAACAAACACGTTGAGCAATCCGTTGTTGTACCATGAGTTTCTAAAACTGACAAAAGTGGTCGCACAATTATCGACGGATCATACGTATGCACAGCCACACAAGATTTCCAATTACAAGCCGTTGATCATTACAAGGTACCTGTTTTGTTTCTGTCTTTTCATTTCAACACATACACGCACAGACCCGTAGACCGCTCATTTCGCACAGATGGTATTTATTGTGCAATTTAAAAATAAATTTAAATGCCTAGATTCATGGCGAGCGATAACCTTTAATATTTGTGTTTGATTGTCATCGATATTATTTCATAAATGGCTTATTACATCAATACTAATTATGCGTTGCTATGCAAATCACTTCACTTCTATACTGTCCATATTAATTGTTATGGAGTCTACCGATTGCCATAAATAGATTTGTTCGAAATGAATCGCTTGGCGCTCGGTTACTCATTATGGTCATCTTGATCAGTGAGAACATGCCAATACGCGATTGGCGAAAAAAAATGCACATTAAAAAAGGAAGTTGCGCTTATTTATTATTCAATGCGAAAAATTCACGCTCGATTTTGTTGTGAACCGATTGAAAATGAGGGCCAACGATAATTTTTCGACTCGAAATTGAAATCGTGCAGGAAACAAAAGTAGAGCAAACGATGAAATTAAAGCAAATGTTTATGTTGATTGTGATCTTTATTAGGTATGACTTTGGTCGAGAATACGAAATTATATCGTGTTGAACGTGAAAATCTAATAACAAATATTTGCACATCGATTATATCGGCCCAGTCTACTAAACTAGATTAATGGCATTTTTAAATAGGAAAATTGTTCGATGCCAACAATTGATACTCATAATTTTCTCATCCAAATTGAATCTCAATTGCATCGTTGATACTGTTTTTGATAACTGTACTCTGAACGGAAATCTCGACCACAAGCAAAATACCTCAGCTTTCTGATCGACTCGATATTTGAATCGTCAATTTTCAGAACTTTTTCTTCCTCAATTTTCACATCAACACAACTCAACAGCAAATGAAAATTGTAGCCGACGGTAAAAAGTTATTACATTTCACACCGTTTTTATCTTTTTTTTTTTTTTCGCTAAAAAATAAAATAAAATGTATTGCAACGAAAATATAAAATAGCACCTCAACCCATTGTGAAAACATCAAACCAAAAAAAAAAGATTTGTTTGAAACAAAAGAGAGCGAGAATAAACGGTTAGTTGACATGCTGAAATGCTGTTTAAATAATCTGTCGTGTTATAGAACGTCACGAACAAAAGCCAAACTGGCCTTCAGCGTAAAAAATAATCGAGTGCATACTTGAATCGACCATATACAAACTATTTGTGTCTATCGAATTTGTTGTGAGAACGACTTCTCAATCATTCCAGCAACAAAACAAGTAGTATTGGCTATGTGTTAAATCGCATTTGAAGCTAATAAACAATAAATCCGTGTCAATCGCTCATTGTTTGCATGATCGCTAAAGAATGATTTGTGAGCTTGGCATTTTGGAATCGTTGACAATGCTTATGCTCTTTTGCATTTTGATAGTCAATTGTGATACAACGGTGCATTTTTTTTTGCGTCATTAGAAACACGTAACTAGATTTATCGGACGTAAACCTTTCGACTATTCACCAATATGTCGCAATCGAAAATAACAGCAAATTGAAACCCATTTGATTTATTGCATACAAATTTTCGCTGAAAATTTTCAACAGGTGATCGAAAATTGCTACACATAAATCATTCAACCGTTGCAATTGCAACGATTTTTCGTTATTTCAACAGTTTCGAATTTGATTGTTGATTTCACCATTAAGCAGACAATAATTTTCTAAGTTGCATAAAGATCGTCGCCAATTACTGAAATCGATACAAGACAACGTTCGAATCGTGCATCGACGCCATAAATCAAACAATACATGCAACTTTGTATCAAAATAACACATAAATTGCCATTTTCAAAGAAGAAGAGTCAAAAGGATTGCCGGAATATTCAGTTGCGATTAAGGAATAAAAACACCATTTAATATAAATAGAAAATTTATTCGAAATGAGCAGCGGTGCATGTACACTATTTCACAAATTATCAGCATAAATTCGACGACTATGTATTTACACACTATATATGTTCAGCACATTTTGGAATCCGAACCCATTTGGATCCGAAAGTATGTAGTAAAAATAAATTGGATCGTAACGAATCATAGTTCGTTTCGAAGGATGGTGTAGCGATTTTCGGATGGGGCTAGCTTAATAAAAGTGGAGTCGGGCGGTAATTCATCTCCATCGTGGATTTCATTGTCCGACAATGGTTTTTCAGTTGGATGTGCGCCCGGTTTTTCTGTTGTTGTTATGGTATTGTGTTCTTCGGACGATGCATCAGGACCATAATGGAATTCACGATGTAATTTACCACTATGCAAATCATCTACAAACTTTTTTAATTTGCCCGGCTTAAATATATCATTATAATCGGGAAATATATACATATGACGGAATGAATCGATTGCAATGAGTGGCAAGTCATCCAATGTTCGCTCCAAGTGTTGAAGTGGGTGGGCGAATTTTTTGCCATCGGCAACAAGGAAATTAACATTCTCTGAAATTCGAAATATAGTCATCGCATAAATACATTCATCATAAAAACCACATTGATTTGTTGCATAGAAGGGGGCACTTACGTTTTTCATGGATGAGTTCAGCCTCGACTCTTGCTTTGTAGTCTTTGATGGGAGTCGTATTATTCGGATGATAAAAAAGTATCATGAACGGCATTCCTTCTTCGGTCAACTCTTCGGCATTTTCAAATGTAATTTCTCTGCGAGAAACAATCATCGTCATTAAAATTAACATCATTTATGTTTGACTTGAAATAAAATTGCATTTCAACACCCACCTAACTAGCGGTATACATCTTTCTTGCGCCCAAATTTTGAGCTCGTCTGCATGAATATTTCCACTATAAACTTCTTCGTGTTGATTTGACATTTCAGTATCCGGTCGGAAAACGATTGTTGGACGATCTGAACAGATTTCGAAATTATAGTCAAATTGAAACAAAATTGTTGTTCTTTTACACGTCTTAAAATGGAATTTTTACAATCTAAACAGTAATAATTTTTACACACCACCGGTTTGAACGTCAGATACCGTTTCACCAAAACCCGCATAAAAATCACAAAAATCTTTTAGATTGGCGGCCACTCTGCGATAAATGTGATAGTCACCAGTGTCACGTCGATCAAAATATGCGACAACGAAACGTTTCTTTGGACTCACGTCTTTTAATTGATTCAAATTGATGACTTCTTTGATCGGATCCTTTAATTGTTGTCGTACAAAATCGGCGAGCGCTTCAGGTGATCGTTGTCCACGGTATTCCGTTTTCATGATATCACCGTTCAAACTGATTTTCAACGTGGGATACTTGCTTATTTGAAAACGTTTTCCAATAACCACTTCGTGATCGCAATCCACACGGGCCATCACAGCTCTTTTACTCTTACCATGCTCTTGGTACACCTAAAACCATTAAACACATTTTTTGTGAATTTTCTTTGCGCGAATTATTGAGATGGGACCGTTTACCAATTTGGCAGCATCATCGAAAACCGGCTGCATTAAATTACTAAATCGACACCAATCGACATAGAAATTGATAAAAACTAACTCATGTTCGGCTAAAGAGAAAAAAAAAATACAATCAGTGACCTAAGGTACTCGCATAACAAACAAAATTCTATTCACCCAAAATGCCATCAATATTATTAGCGTTAAGCTGAACAACTTCATGTTTCACAACTTCATTATTCGCCACTTCATTATTTACCACTTCGTTTTTTGCATTTGAATTTAAACACACCGCCGAATTGAAAAGTGCATAGCCAAACTAAAACAGAAAATGTAACAGAAAATTGAAATGAAAACGATGAAATTAAATAAAAGTTTAAATGTCGCCACGTACCAAAATAAAAAGAACGTAGATTGTCATTGTGAGTGACAGTGGCTGTTATCTATTCTTATTGGCGGCAAATTGACGACTGTCTCGCATAGAATAGGATGAAAGTACTTAAATGAGAAAATTGCGCATGGATGTATTGTACTGAATACGGAACACCGCAAACTGTTCATCAATGTAAAGAGTACACACACAAAATTGATACGAAAGACAGAAAAAAAAACACAACAGAGTCGCTGTTGCGTCGCCACGATCACCGAAATTGAAATGTTGAAATGGGACACAAAATATGATGAATGTACGCAAAATAAAACGACGACTCTTACCCAACCATTCCAGACATTCTAAACAAAAAAAAAACAACCGCATCGAGTTCATTATAAATTTATTTTGAAACATTACTGAAATGATCTCGATTCCGCTGTATAAACTCGGTGCGCGCGACAGTTTTGTTATTGATTTTACGAAACATTATGTATGTGTTACGCTATTATTAAGTGATTCAAACTTGGATTGCTCATGTTTTACACGTCTATCCAATCAAAACTGTATCGCACATTTTATATGCATAGCCAAATTAATTTATTATTCAAACGCCTCAAATGCTTTAGACTAACAAATAAACACATTTTAAGCGTCTGCAAAATCAAACACATAGAGATAGATCGCGTTAGACAAATCGTTTTATTTTCTTCGTCTATTTGCAAGACGATTAGAAAATTACCATTCAATTGATTTGTAATATGTAATATGCATTCATGTTTGTCTGAGTGATTGCGAACTTTCTTAAATTATACTGATAAATTGAAAATGTGCTTTTTACCCTGTCGACTGAACGTTCCACAGTGTTTACATTTTAAATTTAGTTATTGGGATGTGCTTACTTGACACACGTTTCTTTTTCCGATTTGTTTTTGCTTCGAAGAATTCAATTTCGCATTTACGTAAAAAATTCCAATTTTGATAAATGAAAATGTTGTTCACAGCTCTTTTCTATTTATATAACTACTCGGTTTAGGGTGCTTCTCAAACACTCGACGTGAAAAATGCCAACGACAACTGAAAACGGTCGTGGGGTTAGCGAAACCACCAGGTATGTATTTTTGTGTTAAGTCACATTTGTTTTCTCTCATTTTTTCCGCATGTATAGTAATGGAACATTTTGACTAGAATTTTATTAAAATGCGTACAAGGAACATCATTTTACGATGATTCGATGGATTGCGAACATTTTCATGTAACAAAACGCACTCAACTCAAAAAATACATAAAATTGGCATTGAAATCGCAAAAGATTAAGCAAAATCGAATATGGTAATTTTGGCCCATTTAGTAAACAAATTCTAATTATTCCCCATTTTTGTTTGAACAACTCTGAACAAAATGGCACAAAATTTAATTGTTCGAATTGTATTTGATTTGGTTCATTGTCGCCTATCCAATAAACAGATCGAATTTTATCGCACACCATATCAAACAAAAGCAAATCTTAATAATTCGTACGTCGCTAAAATCGTTTATTTTTTCTTTCTTTTTTCGCAGTACAAAAATCTTACAAGATGTTGGTTTGACTGTGAGTGCAGCATCAATGTCAGAATGGATAACTGGTGGCTCAATCGGTTCGAGAAGTGCTGTTTTGGTTTTTAAAACGGCAGCTTTGATGCGCCATACTCGTGACGATGACGAAATCGATGATTCACCGTCAATCGCATCGACATCGTCAAGCGAAAAATGTCGATTTCCACCTGTTGCCGACGCAAAAACCACGTCACCTGCAATAAATGAATCGGTAAAACGACTAGTTGCGCCACATTTCGATATACATCGAAAGAGTTGCGTTAAGGCAAGCGTTTCGATGTCATCGTCAAGTGAAAATTCAATATCAAGTGCCTGCGAGGATCCATCTGATTTAGAAGCTGACATTGTTAAAGCGGAAAAATCCAACGCAAAGAAAATCAATCGGACAAAGATCGTTAGCACAAAATCTGGTTTTAGTCCGGGTGGTGAGGGTGAACATGAATTAAAAGCCGATTCGCCGGCAGACAGTGAGCATACAGTCGATGATACGGACGATGAAATGCCAGCAGCAATGTTAAAAATGACCTACAAATTTACCAATACCGAAACGAAATTATTGAAACGAATTTTATCTAGTCACGGATTGAGAGAGGCTAAAGAATATCAAAAATTTAATTTACTATGGACAGGCCTCCATATGAAACCAGACATTTTAAGAAGTCTATTACCGTATCAACGGGTTAATCATTTTCCTAGGTAGGATCAATAGCTTCTCTCTTTTTGCGTCTTCAATTCGAATAATGTATAAAAATTACTTTGCCATAGATCTTATGAGCTAACAAGAAAAGACCGTTTGTACAAAAATATTGAAAAAATGCAACAACTACGTGGAATGAAACATTTTGACATTGTCCCTATCTCGTTTATGTTGCCTTTGGAGTATAGGGACTTACAGCATGCACATCGTTCGGGACACAAAGGACCATGGATTGTTAAGGTAAAAAAAATGCATTTTTCACATCGGAATCGTTGCATCACCGTGTCTTGTTCTGTATCTTTTAGCCAGCAGCATCGAGTCGTGGTCGGGGGATTTATTTAGTGAATACGGTATGTGAAAGTTAAAAAAAAAAATTAAATAAAAAAGCTAATAAAAATATTCCAATTTTCCAGCCCGAGCAAATACCAAGCGACGACCAAGTGATTGTATCCAAATACATTTCGGACCCGCTATGCATAGATGAGCATAAATGTGATGTACGATTGTATGTGGTGGTGACGTCATTTGATCCGTTGGTAATCTATTTGTATGAGGAAGGTTTGGTGCGCTTGGCCACGGTCAAATATGATAAAACGGCCGAGAATCTTTGGAATCCATGTATGCATTTGTGCAATTATTCGATCAACAAGTATCATTCGGATTATATAAAAGCGACGGAAAGTGACGAGGATGTTGGCCACAAATGGACATTTAGCGCTCTATTGCGGCATCTCAAGAACCAAGGGAATGATACAACAAGCTTGATGCAGGCCATCGAAGATGTGATCATTAAATCAATATTCGCATGTTCACAATCAATTATATCAGCGTGTAAAATGTTTGTTCCTTATCAAAATAATTGCTTTGAATTGTACGGTTTTGATATTCTCATCGATAATACTCTGCGTCCATGGTTGCTCGAAGTCAATCTGAGTCCATCACTTGGGATCGATACTCCGTTAGGTAATTATTATTTTTTTATTTTCAAATTTCACGCCATTTTGACATTTTTTTCATTATTTTTGATAAAAACGACCATTTTACGTACACAGATACAAAAGTAAAATCGGCCATGCTAACAGATTTGTTGACATTGATTGGTGTACCGGCCCAAAGTCCCCAAGCAACTCGAACAGATGGAAAAGGGATGCGTTTCAAGAGTTCCGGAAGTTCGGTGCCAGCATCGAGTCGACGATCATATGCCGAAATGAAAGGAACAACTGCCTCTGGTGCTAGTAAGCGTCTCAGTATGGGATTATCGGCCGAAGAGAGTCGAGTTTTGAAAAATGTCAAAGCACAAAACGCACGACGCGGCGGTTTCATTCGTATTTTCCCAACGCAAGATAGCATGCAACGTTATGGAATGTTTTTGGATCAAAGTACCGGCATTCCAATGTCAATTGTGAACGGAATCAGTATGGCGCCCGTTTTAACAAATCACAATTTTAACATGATGGTACACACCCAACTGTACGGTGGTTCATTAACCGATGAAAATGACGTCGACGAACGCATTAAACAGTATGAACGAACCCTCGTGACGGCCAATGTTGATTTAATTTTCAAGAGCATACCGGTAAAAAGTCATCATCAAGCACAACAATTGCGAAAACAACTTCAAAAAGCCATGGAAGGTGGCAATGAATTGACATTATTACAAGCACGAAAAATATTTTCCTTATTTTTGGAATGCGTGCTAAAGCGATTGAGTACACAAGATCAGAAGGCTCATCATTCGGATCCAAAGAATCAACACGAGAAATTCATTTTGAAGTTTATAACACGATCGGATCTAACGATAAAACCGCCAAGTTTTATGCGTAATCCAAATACGAATAAAATTCAGGCTAAAGATAGAATAGCAATCGTGGCCAAATTGTTGGGTGATTATTTGGAAGCATTCGACCGTGATACGGAGTTGTGCGTTGATAATTACAGCTATTATGGTCTGATTCCGTCATCATTGTATGATAAATTCATAGCACAAGCGTCTGAAGCTGATTTAGAATTTATACTTACATTGCATGTAAATTTAACGCAAAATCTATCATTCTTATCGAATCGATGCACGTCACAATCAAACATGCCAAACGTTCCACCAATTCCAACGGGTGCCAATGGATTTTTGAAAGCGCTGCCAAGCATGATACCGAATATATCGACCAGAGATTTAGCTCACATTGACAATTACTATCGATCACTGTGCCCAATTTCATCCAGCATCGAACGTGACATTAGTTACGATAGCCTTGAGAAAATTACAACGAATCGCATGAACAACGCATCATTACAGCCAATGAAAAAACGAACAAGCGTCGCCTAAGCAGTACATTAAATAGGATTAATGTCTCTACTCTGCGTTTTTTAACGTTAGATTTAAATGTCACAAACTCTACACAGCTATTGTCTCGATGGACAAATTGTTGTAGTACAATAGAAAGAGAGATAGAAAGAGGAGGGAAATCAAATACCAAAATCAGGGAAGAGTTTGTCTACTCGGCAACGAAACGCTTAATTTATATATTTCATTTTAATTACTAACTTATTTTACTTTATTGTACATTAATTGCGTTGTTGCTTTTTTTATACACTTTTATTATTCAAATCAATGTGAGCATTCCGTTTCGGTTGCTTCGTTGCAACCATCAAAGGCGATTTGTGCATTAATAAAACTTCACAAATATTCTATAGTTTTTTGTTCTGTGTTCTATTTTGTTTTGCTTTTTTTTGCTATTTGTAGCACGGTCTAATCTCCACGAAAATTTTGTTCAATGTTTTTCATATTTTATTTGATTGTTTATGTTATTTTTGCACTGTCTTGTCGAAAGATCAAGTGTACATGTGGCCTAACATACTAAGCTAAATGTTAAGAACCTGATTAGAACACCGAAAATTTGGCATTTCGAACAGAGAATAAAAAAAATCAAAATTGTTTTCAGAATCTACTGCATAGCTTCTGATGTCAACGAATCAAATGTCAAAATTTGGCCCAAGAAATAAAAAAGTTGTCCTTTTCCAACATTTCTAGTCAGAAGCTAAGTAATTTAAAAAATCTCTTTTAAAATGATTCTTTCTCAAAATGCCAATGCTTGTGCTCCCTTAAAAAAACGGGCCACAATTTTTAAAACATTCAAATTTTATTCTAATCAATTCAAATACAGACATCTTTATAATTATAAAATTCCGTATATTTGAAAATAAATTAACACAACTGGTTTCTAATTCCAATTACCAATCAATTTGCTTTGCATGTGACCCTTGCGTCCAAAGATGCCGTTTCAATTTAAATGACAAACCAAATTGTTATTATATTTCAATAGATTTAATTCCATACTAAAGAAAATAGTTAGAATTTAGACGAAGCAATTACTCGAAATAACATGTGATAATGGTCTTTGAATTTTACAATGAAAATAGCAGACAAATGTACTAAAAAACGATTTAGGCCTTTGAAAGAAAAAAAAATGCAATTTTGCCACACGAAAAAAAATGTATTAAAAAATGTCAATTTCGATTTTGCGAGTGCAAGTTAAAATGATAGTCGGAAAAGTCTTCGATTGTTCATGGTTTTGCAGTTGACTTTAAAGAACCAAAAATGATTTTTTTATTTCGAAGTTCTTTAAAGAAGAAATTTACATCAAAATCGCTAAACGACAGTTGTTGACTTTTTTCTCGTCGAAATTCGTTTAGAATTAAAATAAACAAGAAATATTTTTTCTAAGCCAAATATTACTGTAGCCAATTCAAGAAAATTGTAGATTTTTTTTAAGAAAAAGAATCACTTTTTAAATTTAAAATTTATAACGGATAAATATCGCTGATTTGTATCAATATCACTTGAATTAATGTAACCTTTTCCTTGCACTTTTCGGCTTTTAAAATGCCAAATATTCGAATAATTTAATTAAATAAATTTAGCAATGCCAATCTATAATTTAACTAAACTTAGATGAAAGATGGAAGACAGCATAAAATTCTTCGCGCCAAATGTGTGCATCATAAAAATTTGCAAATCGCGCCGAAATGATACTGTTACAAAACAATCAACCATGTAGATTTTAAGTAAATTTAAAAACTTTTTTTGTTCATATTAATCTATAAAAAGTAGTTAAAAATTTATAATTAATTTGCTTACGGCTTAAAAAATGATTGTGTTCAATTTCGGAAGAACTATGTTTATGTGAATAAAGTTAACACATCGTAAAAAAGGCGTTTAAATTGGTTTTTCTTATTCTTTCCTTGACTATCAAAATATAATTTGCAGAAAATTGCGCGATATAAATCATTTCAGCGAAGCAATTAGCCGAAGATAAAACTCATAAATATTTGCCATGAAGATAATTGAGAGTGGTAAGCTCATAAAACATTGAGAAAGTAAACAAACGGCAATAGCAAAGACTCAAACCAGTGGAAAATGTGTAAATCGATTTTCCATTCCATGTTTTGTCATATGTTCCAGTGTGTTCCAGTATTTTGACACATGGTTATCGCGCCACATGTGTAAGCTTGGAGTCAAGTGAGTTGCAATGGAAAAGTAAGCACTTGTCATGACATAAAGGGAGAAAAAACGTTTCGTTCAACATTATTCCCGTTTTGAGGGAAAAAGTGGATGGAAAACTCGGAAGTTTGTCAGAAGAGAATTTGCGTTTAACATTCACGGACGCAAACTTAGGTTTTCCTCGATGTTGTTATCGTTTTGGTCGTTCAGTGTATTTTAACTAAGTTTTTTTTATGATTTTCGGTTTCGATTTACATTTGTCACCGTCTCTATTGTTATTCCAAATGTCATTTTTACGTTTCGATTATAATTTGGCAAGCATTCAACTGTAAATAAACGTGCGATAACGATAGCGATTTCGAGAACGAAGTGAAAAGTTTCCTTTTTTTAATTTTTATTCTGGAGTTGACGGAAATTAAGTTGTATACAAAATCATCAAAACAACAAAAGAAAGGTGTCAACAATTCCGATTTGATGTTATTTTAAGTCAAAGCATAAAAAATGGTGTGAAGTCAGTGCTTTCAATTGTTGATGATAATCAAATAAGTGAAGTGTTTGTTATAATAACATTCATTCTAAGTTGAAAATCTATTTTTGCTACCCAATCAATACACAATGATAAAGAAATATCGATATTCTATTTGAACGAGAAATGAGACGAAAGCGAGGACCAAACAAATCATACATCGACGTGTTTTTCTCTTGAAACATGAAATGTCATGACAACAAGACGAACAAAAGAATAACAGGAACACACAAAATCACACACATCAAATGAAAAAGAAATTTTGAACATTGATTTTTACGGGCTAATTTCGTTGGCCTTTAATTAAATGAATCCATTGAAAATTGGTTAAATTGTGGTTTTAGATTTTTTTTTATTTTATTTCATTCAACGAAACGAAAAAAGAAGAAAACAATATACACACTCTATTGGCGCAACAAAGTACGCGAGCTTTGCAGTTGATATGCACATGAGTTGGAATTTATGTAATTATTTCGATAACCATAAAACCATAGCTAAACATATAATAAACTTCGGGGCGAGTTGATGTGAGCGATCGAATTATCCATCGCGCGGGTGAAACTGAAAACGGCTGCAAAGGGAATGAATCACGAAAAGGGCACACGAAAAACAAAAATAAAAACGAAACTAAAATAAACTAAAACACAATAAAATATAAAACAACAATAGCAAGTGTAACGTGTATATTATCAGAAGCAGCAGAAAATAGAAGCAAAACAAAATACAGTATATTTTTTTATATTTACCGTCTACACAGGCGCAACCAAAACAAAAGAGAAAACACATTCACAAGAGAGCATGCATGAATTCCCCTTTGCTATTGCCATAAACACCACACACAGCAATTAATATTTATATAAACCATATGCATAACTGTATTACAAGTGAGGCATCTGCCAGCACAGCGTTCACCTCACGCATTCAACTTCATTAAACAAATATAAAAGCACATCAAAAATCTCTCCGGAGAGAAATATTGTTAGTAAAAAAAGAACGATAGACGGAAACAAGAGTCATTGTTATTCATATTCAATCATCGAGTGTTTTTCATTTGTGCAGTGGATATTCGTGGCTCGAATTCCTTTGACACAGTGGTATGAACATAGATTAAGTGATTTATCAAATCGATTGATAGGTAACACGGATTAATAATCAAACGGTCGATGCAATGACGGGCGAAATACCCCCAAGATATGGTTTGGAATCACGACCCTCACGTTCCAACATTCATTTGCTGCATCCATCGAAAACGGACGAGATTGAAGTGCTCGAGTCTGGCGCCATAAACCATCATCACAACAACATTGGAAATGACATTGCGGATCGATCAAATGCTAAAGTAAGCTACACCAAACCAATATTCAAAAGACCATTGAAATTTACAGTTGTGAAAAGATATAGTATCCATTTTTTCATTCGGGATTTTTCGTGTTTTTTTTCTGCTGGTATTTCATTCAATGAACCATTTCATTTTCTCTGCAACGTTTCATTCGCACTTAAGCGAGAGACGAAAAAAAACGAAGAATGAAAGTTGTAAAAGTCGTAATGCTTTTTGACCTTTCTCATACAGAGAGCATCGCAGATATTATGGTGTTTTCTTTTGACGTGCATTTACAACAAAAAAGTGCATTCAGTTTTTTTCCAGCATTGTTTGGTCTCGATGTATGTATGCTTAAATTGTAAGCATTGTCGCCCCCATTCAAAACCATTTCCTTTCACCCCCATTATTCTTCTTTTTTTCTTGTTGTTGGCGCTGTTGTTGTTGATATGTTTTTATTCCGTCTTAATTGGCGCTTAGCGTATTGTATGTGGTTTACTTGTTTTTGTTTCTATGTCGATTGTAATCACATTTAAAATGAATACGTATATTGTACACTCTTCGCAAACTCAAACTAATAACGCGCAACGATTCAATTACTCTTCTTATTTCACCTCACTGAATGCATTTTAATTATTGACATAATGAATTTATTGCATTTTTATGCAATAAAATAGATTAATGCGAATAATTTATCAATTGCTGTATTTCTCGCAATATTCTTTCCATATTATTATTTTCGAGCACGAAAGTTAGTTGGTAATAAGAAAGAGAGAGAGAGAGTTAGAAAGAAAAAAGGAAAAAGAGGGATAGAAAGAGAGACGGAGAAGGAGAAGGAGATAGCGAAAGAATGCAGAGCTTTTTCTATTAACCACGGGACCACATTTCTTGTCATTGTCAATAAATGAGATTTATGGATTCACATTTTTCCACTGTTTCTCTTTCCATTTTCGATGTTTTTGCTGGGCGGTAATATGCCGAACGTTGTCTCTAGCGAATTCGCGTTCCCATTTATAATTTTAAAAAATTACATTTCATAATTGATGTGAGCCATTTCGAAAAACGAGCTTAAGTGCCAATATATTTTGAAATCCAGTAATGCTTTTATAGATTTTTGCTACATTTTTTTTCGTAGTTAAAGACAAAGCATTCTACTATTACGTTTTGGAAAAGTGTCGACGTATTCGTTCGGTTCATATCGAATGTAGAAATCGATTTATTCTGTCGTTCTATTTATCCAATTGTTAATAAGATTTCATGGGAATTCTCTATTTTCAATTTAAAAATGTTCAGTTCTTTTTTGTGACCGACTGCAATTTTCGACATTCGTGATTTTAATTCACCATTTAAAATGAAGCACACTCTATATATTCAGCAAATGAAAAATAAACTAACAGCAAAAGGCAAGTACAAGTCGAACGAAAAAGTTTCGTAATTGATTTAGAACGAACAGGATAGAGTCTTTGATGGAAAAGTTTAACAAGTAATTTGAACTTTGCGAGTAAGTTTTTCGGTGAATGGACCGTTGTCAGTGTCATTCTGGATGTATATCACTCAACGGTTGAAACCATTTGAAAAATATAAACCGACACATTCGGTGTGTCTCTATTGAATATGTGTGTCCGTTCGACCGACGAGATAATGTCGCCGATGGTGAAAATATGTGTATAGATTGTATAAATCCAGTTGAGTCGTGAGATGCGAAAGTGCCACATCAAACAAATGCCGACCAATATACTTTTACACAATGCCACACTCTTTTTTTTTAATGCGCTCGATGTGATTTAATTTCAACACACACAAAAATCAATAATTCTAATTAAAATACCTGTCAGCTTATATTTGCCTTGTCAGCTGTATCCTGCATCCATTTATTTATGAGAATTGTTGTGAAATTCATTCGAAGCCATACAATTTAGACATGCAGCTTTCATCCCTTTTCCAATTCATGTATTTGATTAAATGGCAGCGGTTTTGCGGTTAGAATACATTGTTTACGTAAATTGATATATCGCTTTTTTACTTCGCCCTTATTCTCTTCATCATACAAATTTACCATTATGTAGTCATTTTGTGGTTTCGCGTCAATTTGCCATACAACATATGGGAGCAAGAGCTAAAATGACTGTTTGACTGTTTAAAAAAGCAATCAACTCATAGCAACTATATCACAGTTGTCGATTTCAAAATCACATACTGACGCTTTCTCAATCCGTTGAATTTGTTTGCTATAAATAAACTGGCCATTTTCTCCACGACGATTGACATTTTGATTAAGAAAACATCCTAAAAGTTGAAATTTAATCTAAAACGATTCGAATTTGACACGCGATACCTGAGTGAATATGAAAAAAATAAAATTAGAATATTTGAGGAATATTTTCATAATCTTTCTTCATCAACACCCACGTTCGCATGAATCGCTGAAGTTTTCCATTTTTAGTGGTTTAGAAAACAAATATATATATAACAAAATTATTTATATTAATTTGGATCGGAATGGTTTGTGTGCTAATTCTATAGAAAGTGCTTTGTTTGGTGTTGTTTTGGGGGGGAAGAGAGAAAGTCAAAATAAAACACAAGGTGATTTTGTAAAAATTTATGAGTAATAAATTTTATTGAAATTGTTCTCTGTTAAGTTTATTGCATTGATGGTTTTATTTTGAAAATGAGAACCGAACAATGATTGTTTTGTTCGTTTAATTTTGGATGGTAAAAATTAAATGAATTGATTTTTGGATATATTTTTGGTTGGTATTTGATATTGCATTTGTAGGTCCTTTATGTACGTTCTGCAGGTTGGGATGTTGGACGGACAAAGACCAGGGGAGATGTCATGCATGACACTCTACCACTTATTGATTAGTAGTAAAATTGTCGAAGCTATTTTAAGGGGGAAAGAAATTATTTATTAGTTTGTGTATGTATTGTATGTATTTTGGGATTTCGGATAATGAAAAAAAAATCTCTCTAAAACACTTTTGGATTCACGATCGGGGGCACAGCATCCATTCACTCAATTTCAACGTGCTCGTACGTGGATCCAAAAGATTTATTACGAAAAATAGAATAAATTTATTCGAATATATTTTCAATGCATGTCCGCGAGACTCGCATCTAACACCAAAAGCGCGAATATCTATTTTTTCTCAATTCGTTGTGATGTTTTTCGAATATGAATTCTATTTTACGTTTTTCAAATGCTGAAAGAGAGTTTTTCGTTTGAATTTTTGAGAGAGAAAATTAAATTTTCAATCCAATGTAAGATTTAGGATTGAATCTTTAAGCTGAATAGTTTCTAAAGAAGATGACAGCAAAAACAAAAGAAGATTTAATAAACACTGACTTTGTTACTTACTGGGATTTAAGATGTGAGCCATCATCCATGCAAAGGGCACCAGCACCACCGCCGAAACCATATCCTTTTGATAGAATTAAAATATATATATATAAATTAATTGGAAAATGACTTTTTATTATATTAAAAATGAACGATTTAGTGTACCTTTTGGTCCGTATTTACGACCATAGCAGTTTTTGCAGAACAATTCCTTGTCGTGTTCGTTGCAGTTTGTTGATTCCAAGAATTTGCTGCACATGCCTGTAAATATTGTCCATCGAGATCAATGATGAGAATTTTTTCATCGAGAATTGAACAATAATCGTATTGTCAATAAACATTTGAAACTTACTGCATTTGAAGCATCCTTTGTGGTATTTGTGGCCATTGGCAACACGTTCTTCAGCAGCATAGACTGATTTGTCGCATTTAGCGCATTTTTCGGTGGCAGCTGGGACGAAAGGCATTTTTAGGCTGTAAAAAAATCAAGCATAATTCAAATTAAATTGAGAAACATATTCAAAACAATAATTCAATAATAATAGCGAGTGCTAAAAAAAACAAGTGATAAAATCCAATGAATGATTTGGGTGAATCTTCACGTTTATATGAGCAATGAGCTATTTATGGAAATGTTGTTATTATTATGAAGAAATAGTTTTTCTCTTAAAATTCATAAAAAAAGAGTCGAGTAGCGGCTGTTTGTCACTTGTGATTCTATATTTAGATTTCGAAAAGTGTAACTCCAACAGTGTGTCCATCAATGAATGATATCATCATGATGTGAATTGAGGAAAAAATACGTTCAAATCGTTAAACAAATGTTTCAAATCGTAAAGTGGAAGAGTTTCGTCATTTATTTTTGTTTCGGTCGTTGAGAAAAAAATAAATAAATGGAAAAATGTGTGAAAGTGGACTAAAATGTGTGGGGCTGTGTGGCAATAGAATTTGTATATTTATTAAACACCGCTAACGGCAGCGCTAAGAGTTGCACGACTCTTTTTAGATTTTGCCATAGAGTTTTCTCTATAAAAATGATAGTAGATTGCTGTATCTTTGAGGACTCATGAGAAATTTTACGAAAAGTAAACGAAATTGATCAAATTGGCTAAATATTTGTAAAATTTTGAATATTCTCCAAAAATTTCATGATACAAATCAGTTTCAATAGATTTTGAAAAAAATCGGAATATTTTCCGTTGCAAAAATTCAATTCTGTAGAAATGTGTACAATGTACAATACAAAATGTATATTGTGTAAAAACTTCACTATCGAGATATTCTCAGTGTGTGTTGTTTATTCTATTTTCTATAAACGAAAAGAGAAGAATGAATTTCCACTGTTTCGACACTATTTGTTGTCCATGTTGGGCGAACAAGTTAAAAATATCCATTCTGTGGGCTGTTATTCACGGCCGTGATGATAGAATCAAGTGAATGATGATTCTATTTGACCGAAGATTCTATTTTCAAACTTTGAAAAGAAAAAACAACTTTGCAAATAATTCGTTCACTTAATATTTTGTAGTGGGCTCTTTCTCTGAATAGTGATTACAGAATTCACAAAAATTGAGGCAAAAAATTGCATCACTTAATGAGTCACCCATCCATTTCCATACGAAACAAATGGCAACCGAAGTTAATGATTCACCGTTTAAAAGAAAAAAAAATGATTGAAAAATCTTCGTTGTTGTTGAAGAAAGTTTTCGAAAAATTGTGTGTGATTTTTTTTAAGTATAACTTTTAAACTGATTTGTTTATTAAATAAATGGCTCGTACCTGATTTCAAAGGAAAATGTTAGAAATTCAAAAGAGAGCTATGTGAACTTTATGTGTTCTCGTGACTACTACAGCATTCGAACTGATTTGGAGGATATTCGAGCTTTACAAAGAAGCGATGATCAATAGAAAATTCCATACCGCTCGGCCGCTCGTAGGCAGATCGGCACCAAATCGGATCGATGCGAGACAGAGTTAACTATACAAACCGCACACCGAAGATCAACCGTTCTCAACATTGATTTAGCGTGTAATTTTTTTGCGGGCGATATTCGATAAAGATGCAACGATTAAGGTGAAATGAAAATGATCGAATAGTAGGTATATCATTTTGTCTCATTTTAACGCTCGCCCATAACATATGTGTGAACTCGATTTTATTTTTTTTTTCACATTGGGTAATCATCATCTTTTAGCGTCGGTGTTTATGTGCGAGCTTGTATGTTGGCCGCATTTAAAAAATATAGAATTTAGATTAATTGGTTCGCCTCTCAGTGTGTATGTGCAACGGCGGTGTTTGAAAGACGAATATAGAATCATTTGAGTGTGAACAGTTTTCTACATTTAAAGTAAGTGGAACGACGTATACGTGGATAAAATTGGATGGAACTGTATACAGTTTCATTTCGATTAGCCGTCATCTCTGTTTATCGTCAGTCACAAGAAACTGGCTTAGACGATACTTTTTGGAAAAAATACAATTTTGGAAAAAAGTCTTTTCGAGTACTGAAATACGTAGTGTTTTCACATTCAATTGGGTGGCAAAATAAATATTTTCATAATGTTTGGACAAGAACATCATAAGTTTGTTAACAAAGCTATAAATTTGTGTGATTTCCGTCAAATATCAGGCCTTTAGTCCCGTGGCTGACGGATAACCGAGTTGTTACTGTATATGAAAATGAAAACTCGGACATTTTTTCAGAATGATGTAAACAGGTAATATTTGGATTTTGAGGCAATCACTTGCCCGTTGCCATTGAGCTAAAGCAAAAAAAAAAGAATCAACGAGAATAAAAAAAAAACGAAATGTGAATGATCAATGGAACACGCTGTTCAGCACGAATGAATCTTTTTTCATTTTAATTATTAAGAAATGTTGCAGTCCAGCAATTGAATATTTAGAGAAAACCTCAGCTTGAAACGTTTTTTTTAAATGGAAATCGTTTAATGAAAATACTTAAATGGATAATCTATCCGAGACATAAATAAAGCGATATAAAAGGTCGTAGCAAATATTGAATATACGGTTTGTCGATTTCAGAATTGGCAATCAATTTCAAATCAAATATTTAAAACGGAAATAATAACACAATTCCAGCCATCAATGTTTGATTATTGTTGCTTTTTACCACAAATGACAGTAGAATCATATCATTTCAGCGCATGTTTCTGCATAAATATATTCTACATAGCAACGTTTGATGCGATTTTCTATTTTTTTTTGCTCTCTTGAAACAATGTTGATTTCTATCTGAATTCGAGGCCATTTTGTTCGACACCGAGCTATCATTTGCATTCATGCTTATAGCATTGTGCCAAAAAATCTGTTTTATGTGACCAACTATGTTTAATATGTGACGTAAATCAAGATTTGCCATTGCGCCAAATTTTCCAAAGATTCCATCTTTTTTTTTTGTTGTGTGTGTGTTGTTGCGTCAACAGGCAAAGAAAAATTGGTTTTGTCTCGTGCTGGGTGCATGATTTATATCTATCTTTTGAATCTTTGCAGCAAAATTGTCTCCTCAAGTCCTTGTAAACATGTCTCAAACGGAAACCGGATTAAGTGTATAAAGTGCTGGTTATAAATATATTTTAAATTTGAAAGGATCGGAATGGAGAAAGATATACTTTTAAGATGGTTCAGTCATTCGTACAGTTTGATCCACTGTAATCCCATCACTTGAGGCAACATGATGAACAACTGTTCTTATTTAAAACTCACCTCACGGGTTTTTCGTAATGGTCGTCTTTGGTTCCGTTGACTATTTGATGAACTTATCAGTTGAAGTGCGGTTTTTCCATTGAAAAGTCAGCTCACAAAATACGGTTGGGATTTATTTACCATTTATGCAAAAGAAGAAAAAACTCTCTCACACACACACACCTAAGTATCCGTCGACACAAAACCATAAATCGCAACAATGTTTCGGTACGCTTTCGTTTCAACATTGAACCAATAGCAAAATATATAAATAGCATATGCTTGAATGTAAACTGATAAATAATGCAAACACCAGGTACTTTAAAGCAGCAAGTGTATTAAGTGCAGCACATGGTTTAGTCACGGAACTCATTGGAAAGCTCACACTAAAGATATTAAGATAAAGTGCCTGATTACTCTTTGGCATTCGAAATATGGGGAGAGAGAGAGAGAGAGAGAGGGAGAGAGAGAGAGAGAGAGAGTGAAAAAGGTGTATCGCTATATCGAAATGGCATGGAAAAACCCTTTCATTCTAATTTTCCCAAAATCAAAATGTAAATGTGTGCAGTTCGGGTATGTTAAAGCGAGATAGGCAAACTAACGGAAAAAACAACAACAACAAATCAAGTCAATCGATTTCAATTTAGCATTGGCTTCGGCTTACACAAATTATCCAATTGAACTTCCTGAATGTAGTGCATTGTGGCGGACCTTCGTCTCGCTCTATTTTGAAAATGGATAATGTATTTTCACAATATTCATGAGGATCATGTTATGAATAAAATACAAGTTTTTAATAGGATTAATCTAGTTCCGATGAATTATATTCAAGTTTTTCGATATGAATTATTTTCATTATGATGTTGCATTTCATTGTAAATTGAAAAGTTTATTTTTTAAGTTTGCGTGAACTTTCTCGCAATACACCCGGATTGTTTCAACAATATTAACATTTTACGATGCAATGAAATCGGGGAAATTATTTTGCTCGAAACAGGAATACAGAACTAAAAAGAAAAGTGTCTGTACGTAAATTGAAAACGACATTCAGTAGCGGCGATGACGACAAACGATGACACTAAAATCTAAGAATATCGCATGCACACTGTAATATCAACAATTTTGTTGAAAGTGTCAGGGAAAAATTGAATGAATATTTAAAATGATGAGCATTTAAGGAAAATGGCCTGTGACATTTTCCATTGCATTTGCTATCTATTCCACCACGTTGATATGTTTGTCGCTCAAGTTTGTAGCTATTTATTTATTTATGCGCACAATGAAGGAACTAACACTCGCGCACTTGGCGTATTGTCAATGCCAAGTGTTTATAGAGAATGTTGTCATTAAGAAAAGTATACTCTTGACGCAATCAAATTAAACCGGTCTTTCGTCGTTTCAGAGCGAATAGAAAAATGCACACACAGAGAGACTACCAATACACACAAACACAACGGAAAAACGCCTAGAGTATCGATACCGTTTACATATTTCATTATATTGCTATGCTATTCTCCGTTGGCACACTTCATTCCGGACAGATATATATATATCAGGCCATCCATAAAAAAAAAGCTCAGAAAATAAAAAGTACAAAAGAAAGAAACGGATTGAAAACGGTTGTACCATGTTTGAATCGCAATAACATCGAGAAAACATAAAAAATGCATGCTGCAAATAAGAACGTACAAATGATGAATGCAAAAGCCACCATCGATAGAACATTCTAGATCAAGTATTTTGTAACGCGTGCCAAACGTCCATAGCTGCTTTTTATCGATTTCGAACGCCAGGAAAATAAGCCACTTTTTCCGTGGGAACAAAAAATATGCGAAATTGACTTCCGTTTACAGTCTTCTTCGTTCTTGTGTAACATGCTCGTTTTTGTATGTTCGGTTCACTTCGTTCAAACGAAAATTGCTTATACATTCTTGGAAAATATCTCGTTAATTCACAAAATTCTTGGTAGAATGCCTTTGTTTGTTTTCGCACGAAAAAACTCTTCGGGGAATTTAAAGAATGCGCTTTTAATTTAAAAATTTCACGACTTTGAATTTGTGCAAAAAGTGGCGTTCAACAGAAGATGTGATTTATTCTTTTCATTTTTTTCAATTTGCATAAAATTGACTTTAAATTTTTTTTTCAACTTAAGCCTATGACTTTGCAACGTTCGTTATTTGTTGGATGTATCTCAATGTAATAAGTTTTTGAGTGGAAATTATTGCAAATGTCATTAATGAAATGCATTAAGTTCGTATATATGTTCGTTCATCATCTTTCTTTACAGTCACATTATGTACATAAAATGAGCGCGCATATGAATCGTAAATTATCGTTCCTTTTTCTTCGTGGATGCACACAGTTGGTGGCCATCAACGGGCGTTGGTAAAATAGAAATTATTGAAATATCACACATTTCACAGTGTGCGAAAATGAAAAACTCCAGCAGCGCAACATTTGCACAAAAGTTGACATTATATTATTATTCTTTTGTTTGAACGAAATCGTTATGCTGGTTGCATATGCAAAAACCAACCATGAAAACGTCGCAAAATGTTTAATTCCGCTGGCGATTTCTCAATGTATCTTTTTTGCCTAAGCCAAAAACTGAAAATAAATAATAAAAAAAAACTTTGTCCATTGAGGAAATGAAGCATATTTCGCTTCGTTGAAACGAAATGCCAGGAGCCAAAAAACAAAAAAACGAAACCCGATGCATAAAAATAGACTTTGTTAGACGTAGAAAAACGAATTGAAATGGGAAGCAAAATGCAGGGAACTGTTTTGACCTAAATAGCCGACTCTCTAGCCACTCTCGAGTAAGTGCTTTTTGAGTTAAAACTCAAGCGGCATTTTATTCTCCACCACCATTTCGGTCGTCTCGGAAATTTTCGTATATTTTTTTGTTGTTTTGTTTTTGTATCTACATTTTCTCCTACACACTCTCTCTATCTCTCTTTATCTTTCTTTCTTTGCCACCATATACGCGTATAGGTAACAGCTGGATGGATATGTTGTATGCCGTGTGTTTGGCTTCGTACAAGTGCAACAGTTCACAAAATCGCATTAACGACCGCTACATTGTTGGTCACATCGCTTTTGGTTGCTTCGCCAGTTCTATTTTTATTGAGCACGGCACCGTCACAGCTACCCAAAGATTGTAATACAAAGAGCGACGTTAATTGCGTATCAACACGCTCGGTATCCGCAACTCCTGAGTGTGCAACGCTTACCTGTCGACAGGCAACGATTAGCATATTCTCTCGGTCCAATTGGAAAGTCGATCCGTGCAAAGATTTTACCAGTTTCAGTTGCAGTTCAACAAAAGGCAATGCAAAAACAATTAAAAGCGTACAGGAAGGAGTCGACACATTAATGCAGCGTAAGTATACACATGAAAAGAACAAACGAAATGCTTCTTTTTTTAAATGAACGTAAAACAATAACATGGTTTTTGCTTTGTGCTCGTTCATTTTCGACTTCTCTCTTATGCTTTTCCCGATTTTCTTTTATTATTATGTATTTGTTCCCATTTTTATGTTTAGAACTATTGCAACACAATACGTCGTCGGGACCATTTCAAAAATTGGGTCGACTATATGAGAGCTGCTTGCGACAATCGATAAATTCGTCGTTTGTACGATTAAAAATGCAGCAAATCGGTTCATACATGCCATCGACCGTAACCGGACCATCGACAATAGGCGGTTTAATTTTGAAATTATCCGATTTCGGTCCAACGCCGCTCGTTTCAATTTACTACGATTTGAGTTATGGACGCAAGCCACAGCCAATGTTGATAGTTGATACTTCCTTTGAATCAGCGTCGGTGCTACAGAATCCAATACGATGGGCTGCACCGAAATCAGCACCGTTTGACATTCGATACGATGTTCCACCGTTGCTTGACACATTAATCGATATGTTTTTGCCCACCACCTTGGACGCGGACAAACGGGAATTTGAACGCGATTCAATTGTTAATTTCATTCGGCAATTAACTCAATTGCGTCGAGAGAGCTTACGAAAAGGATTTTCCGATAGTTATGTACTTTATAATGTGTCACAATTGACCAACACCTATCCATTCGTAAGTGTTAATTTATTTTCGTAAGTCTCGCCGACGCCCAATTACTTTACTTTTAGCATAATTATGCACTTGGGCATTGTCGTAAACCGTTTGACAAATTATCCGCCGGAAATTAATGGCATCAATTTTTTATTTTCGGCGTAGCTCTATTGGGAAAATTTAATCAAACCGAACAATTGGTCGGGACCCATACTTGTAAGAAGTGGCACCTATTTACGAAATGTTGATCAATTGGTATCGAGACATTCAACCCGTGTTGCACATAACGCTTTGATAATTTTATTTACGCTCGGATTACTTCCGGAAAATGCTCCCAACGCTATGATTTGTACAAAGGCAACAATGTGGGCAATGCCCGAAATCACATCAGCATTATTCACGGCACAGTATTCAGACCGCACCATCGATACCATCGTCGAAAGGGTAAGCACTTTAATTTCCAGTTGATTATTTATTCATGAACATTATGTTGAACAACAAGTGCATATGTTAATATAATAACGTGCTTTGATCCGTTTCCACACAGGCGGAGCACATTTTTGAAGTATTGAAATCACATTTGAAACGGGCACCGTCATTGAAAGGTGCCGCTTTAGTGAAACTCTCACAATTGAAAGTGCAAGCAAGCAATTGGCAAGTCTTACGAAATCTCAGCGAAATCAGTGAAATACTCAATCGAATCGAAATCACATCAGACAATTGGATGCAAAATATTTTGAACATCTACAAACAGTACAACTTACAACGAATCGATGTTGAATCTGCCATTGGTGATGTCATGCATAATGTGTAAGTTGATAATAATACTTCTATTCATTTTGCTACCCTTTATTTATGTATGTTACCGGGTGTCTCATATAAGTGGGTCACTACCATGGAGACTTGGTGATTTTTTATTGTATTTTTTAGGTCCGATTCTCAATTACTCCTATTGAATGAAAAAAAGTACCCAAATATATGAGACACCCTGTTTATATCTCGAATTCTCTGTAATCTTCTTTCTCATTCAAAATCTTCTTAAATTTCCTTTTCGACATTTATGTCTGTCTGTACACACTATTACCGCCCTGAACCCTTCTCTCTTCTATCTGGCGTCTATATTTCAATAACATCAGTCCTAATTGTAGATGGGCTTATCCGATCGTCGCGCGAGTCTTCTACGATACGCTGTCACACTCAATCGTCGTACCTTTGTCGGTGATGTTAACTCCATACTTCGATGCTACTTTGCCATCGTATTTACATTATGCATCGGTTGGAGTTGCAATTGGCAAAGAGATTTTACGATCAATAACACGAACATTCGATGCAAAAGTGATGCGATGCGTTCCATCGTCAGTTAATGTATATTCAAATACCAGCCGAATGGATCTATTATTGCAAAGTGGTGGCACACAGATTGCCTATCATTCGTTGCTATCGTTATCGGGACCAATTAAAGGGATGTTACGACTGCCGAATATGAATCTATTGCCAACACAAATTTTCTTCTTGGTTACCGCACAGGAAATGTGCGCCAACGCTATATACGCTGGAATGAACATTGAATCGGAGAACTTTAAAGACATGTAATAACCACCAAAATCGCTTTTCTTTCGTCAACAAAATGATAACAAATATTCTTTTTTGTTACAGATTGAGCTGGTTAATCGCACAAGGTGGTAACGCTGCAAATGTGTTCCGATGCTCAAGCAGCAGTCCATTGAATTCACATAAGACATGTAATGTGCTGTAAGATCACCGAAATTACACTCATTGAAGCCTACTCAAAAGACCGGAACAGTCGAGGGATTTGGAAAACGTCCCTTTCCTGTGCATCATAGCGGCCTACATAAATCTACAGACAACATTCTCAAATGATAAAAAAAGGCCAAATTTTAACTCATTTTATGGTAGTCAAAAACCCATAAAAAGCAATATTGGCAACAGTTACGGTTTATCTGCCCATTGTGCAATCTCTTTGGAAATTGAATCCAAATTCGATTGGGATTTCACAATAATGTAATAAATATGCTAACCGATGGCAGTTTGGTTTAACTGCAATGAACCGTAATGTTTCAAATGTGCGCCCATAGTCCAACCGTGAGTGAAAATATTACTTGCGATTCAGCTCAATTAAAATCGACATTATAGATTATATGCAATGTATCTCCTTCAAAAAATAAACATTTCTCAACTCCGTCTCGAATGAAATTCTACACAAAAAATGTGCACGAAACCAAATAAATCAAGTTGTAATGTGATAGCAGTCCCAAATTCCAATAGCAATATTTACAATTTAGAACGAAGTGAGATTCAAACAAATAAAAGAAAAAAAATGTCCACACTTTGTTATACTAGTGAGATGGAAGGTTTCGTAAAGAAAAAAGAGGAAAATTAATTATTCCAAAAATTTGGATTTGGAGAATGAAAACTAAACGTATTTTTAATCGTGTACCCTATTTAGTTGATATCAATTAGAAATAGCCTTTATCGATTAAAACAATGCTATGTTCCAAAATCAATGGAAAATTGGAATAAATGGAACACACACACACTCACACGTAGAGAATGCATACATTGAGTATATTTACACAATACCTTCTTTTAGTAACCTAATTTGCAAGCATTTAGACCAATTTTATTGAAAATTTTAACTAGAAATCGGTAGAGAGTTTAATTGGTCCAGTGGCCAATCATTGCACTCTCTATTATGCAGACCTAATTCAATTGTTTTTTAGCCTTTACCTAAATGTTCAGTCAATAGTTGCATTTTTCACTTGCATTTTTTCCCCCACATCCTAGCCAACATTTCCTCAACAGCACAAAGTAATGAGATGCATATTTTGATATGACATGGGAATAATGGAAGAGAAGAACGTAAGATGACGACAAAAGAAGTGCACTTTAACTAAAATACAAAATGAACAATTTTGAAATTGTTGTACGTACGATACCTGTTGAAATTGAATACATGAAATTATCTATATAAAATCATTGAAACTCGACCCACATCATTATGGTTGATGATGGGAATTCAGTTTCTGTGGTTTTATTGTTGAGCCATTTAAAAAGATATGTACAAAATATGACAAAAGTGAAATGAAATATCTGTGTCCTTAACTTTTTTAACTCCTTAACACACTATAATATTTTTGAGTTGGATTTTCTTCCGATTCGCTTGACGAATAAACTTATAAAGCTTAACTTTTCAACACTAAAACTAGTATTACCTTTCAAAATGCATATGAATAACGATTTCAATCGTTGGTCTAGATCGGGAACGATTGTAGTCAATGTTAATTTCTATATACAATCGTGAACGATTGACTGTTTTGTGTTTTTAAGACAACGATTTTCAGAAAAAATCGTAAACGATCGCAATCGTCGCCTAGGAAAACGCACCTTAAAGGAACAATGGGTTTTCATTCTTATTTCAATATGTGTAAGTGAAAAAGATGACGAAAAAAGTGATGGTCACGCCTAAATGAATCCTGTACCGATTGTCTTAAGATTTCCTGAAAATACTATTTCACGTTTTTACCGAAAATTCGGAATTTTTTTGAGAACATTTCGCGAATTAATGAGAAAGTTCTTTAGAAGTATTTCCGGCATAGGTGGGCACGCCAATGATTTTAGATGGGAGTAATGGCCTGGAGAGGGTCCCAGAAGAAGTTGAAGGAATTTTCCAAATTTTTAGCGCGCGATTGGGACTCTCGGAAGCACCCTGCCCAACTATATTTTATGGCATTCCTTGTACCACAACCTTTAAGCGCACGAATATATTCATATATCACGACAGGCAAACCAAACATATTCTAATGCAAACAATGTAATTTCCATAACCATAAGTCAGTCAATCATTCAGTCCATTTTTCAATTCAACACACCAAATATTACAAAAAGATAAAATAGATAATATATATATTTGTAACGCAGTTCTAACACGAGTGCAACTCTTTGATTTTGCCCATGTTAAATGTCATCATTTCTGATTCTTTTCTTTCGATCTTCGCCTTCATTTTCGAAGCCGATTCTGAAATTGGAATAAGAACCTCAATTATCTAACATCACGCAGATTAAGAGACGAAGAGAAGAATCACTATTGATGGCATGATATTACTATCGTATAAATATAAGCAAATTAAATGTAATAACTTTAGAAATGATGGCCATATAGTTTTCTCAACCTATTTTTATTAATAAATGCAGACAATGAATATGTAAGATTCTCGATATTTTAAATGAAATCACACCTTTTATCCGCGGATCGAGAGAGTGTATAATAAATACAGGTATTAAACGTCGCTAGGGCACTATTTAGATGCATTGTTTGAATGACACACACATACACACACAAAAGAAAACAAACAAAATTTAAATTAAAATAAACGATATTTTAGAGTGGATTTTCTTCCATAATTAGATAAAGATGAACACATAATTGTGCATTCAACAAACAAACCAAAAAAAGAAAACATTTTGTAGAGCTATGCACGTCCTCGTCAGCACACACGCTAGTAGATAGAGTTTGTTTGGAATATTAGATGACAAATCAATAATTTAAATCAAGAACCTAAATTGACATGCACTCATCCTGGAGTCATCCAATTGAGCTATTTGTCCAAACTTGTGTTTTAGTTACTATTTTTAAACGACGTAGTGAAATTTTTACCCCTTTTTAAAACCTATGTTAGTTAAAGTTTTAATGAATTATCCACTGGGTTGCTGCAAAACTCGTATCACTGGCGCCTTCACTGTATTGCATAGTGAAACAGCTCATTAGTACGTGTGTGAAATGTGAATATTTTTTCTCGCACGAACTAGATGGCGCTAATAACTAAGTGTCTTTGCAGCAATGGTGTGGAATTATCTGTGGAATTCTGATGATCTAATCAATTTAAAAGTTTTCTTCGATAAGCTAAAATTCCTGAATACATGTTCGACTGCCAATTCAGTCACCACCAAGTTTCATTTTCTAAATACGTTATTCTATGTATTATTCAATCTTCATTTAATTTACATCTTGTACATTGCGCCTTCTAAACAAAGCAAATAGTGAAAAACAAAAATGAAATCCTTTATAGTTTCTGTGATAAAGAAATAATGAGAGTAAATTATATTTTAATTGATTAAGTTTAGAATTTTCGTAAGAAAATGATGACAGAATAAAAAATAAATTTTACTACCAGTATGTCATTTAAATTAAGCATGTCTGCATTTAAAATACACGCAAAATAAACTTAAACTATCCCTATTATATTCACCAATTGTCTTTTATTTCGATTTGTTTTAGTTTTTCTCTGAAGATTTGAATTTTTAAGCCAAAGAAAAAGAAAGTCAATTAAAAAAAGAGGAACATCTCTTCCCCATCTTTGTCAACAGCTCTGGTTTCGAGTTACAATCGGGTTAAAAACACGAATTTTTTTAAGATAATTTTTGGATGAGAAAAAGAATCGCTTCAAATTTATTGTTTGACATTTTTCCGTTAAATTTTTCATTGTTGAAACACGTGCAAAATGTTGAAACACGTCAATGTTGAAAACAAAATTCCTGTCATATGGGTAAGGTAAACATTCAAAATTCTTAAGCCATCATTCAATAAAATTAATCAATTTACAACGGGGCGCGATTCAGCCATAAGTTAATACATCCAAGCTGTGTAAATAAAAACTATTTTAATAATACGTGGAAAGATCCAGCTTTTGATGACGAAGATTAACAAAGATATTCAAATTTCGCTATTGCCATGTGTTTATAAAAAATATATAATTATAATAATTATTATTATGTTATTTTCAAGAAAAAAATATGCGCACATACCTTAATTACGTTGCTTAGACGTGCCAAGAGTATAAAAATGGTGTATAGAACCACATTTGTCTCATTCAGTTGTTTTTGTCATTAATTTAACGTTTCTATTAACCATTTATAACTGCGAAATCGTATTGAGAAAGAAACCAAAAAATGACTCTTTTTACTGTGTTATTTGTCTCAGCAATGGTATTGGTACGTTTCGATTTTCGATTGATCTTTAGATACTTTTTAAGTCATATATTATTAATTATTAATCAATAGGTTTCAGTGTTGGGAGGGAAAATATTTGATCCCGAAGCTTTAAATGTGTGTAAGTGTTGTTGTACTACAGCATCATGATAAGTCGACAAAATAATAGATGACTTGAAATGATTTTTTGCTTGTTGATTGTTGTTCCAATTCATATAGACTACGACAATGAACAAGAAAAGCCTGCATTTTACGAAGGAATACACAAGCCAAGCGTTAATTTTGCTTTGGGTGAACTCAGCATGGCCGTGAATCACGTGCCTTTTGTTACATTTATGACAGAGTGAGTCTTATATATACTTACATATTTATATCCACTGTGAGTCAAATTTACAATTTTTTATTTCGATTTGAAAATAACTTAGATGTGGTGCAGAACCTGGCCCAAAACTCTTGCGTAAACTTGCAAATAACAAAAAGCCGACCAGACAAAAGAAACATAGCAACAATAAGTAAGACATGTGTAATAATTGAATGGACCAAATAACTAATCTATTCCACTATTAGCCAAATTTCAAGCATTTCTGCAGATATAAATGTTGTCGCTGGTCGTATTGAAACCGCTTTCAACATTCAACGTATAACAAACGATGAGTGAGTATAAAATTCTGTATTCAATGTGGCCGAATATTGACGTCATTACAAAAGTGATCGTATAAATAAATAAAAATGCTGAAAACACCAGTTTGCTAATCAGTATATTAATAATTTTTAGATTTTGTAGTAATGCACTATCAATTAATAAGGCCAAGTTTGACTTGCACAGTCTATCTGAACAGTGAGTAGCTTGTGTCAATTCTAATATTTGTGTCAAATACATTGAAATTCGTTTTCATTGTTTTAGTACGACGGACGCAAAGGTAAAAGAGGACATTCGAAATTGTTGCCTCGATTTACATACAATTCAAGTGTGCAATACCGCACTTATATACAAGTATAGAAGTTATTAATTTCTATCTACCATTTTGACAAGAAAATATAGTATGTTATCTCTGAAGGCTTCTCACTAGATTTCAAATTTCGATTTCTTTTTAAATTATCCGAATAAAATTACCCATTTGTTGATGTACCCATTAGTTTAAGAATACAATAAAATGTTTTGTTTGGTCAATAAAACTTCAATGTTTTTTTTTATTTCAATACACTTCTCGCATCAATATATATTTTATCATTCATTGCCTTTGATTATTTCTATCATTGTACATCGATGAATTTATTAGTGGCTGTTGTCTGGGTTCGATCTGAAAATTCCTATTTTTCCATTCGTTGTTTCGGCGATTAAATTGCGTTGGCTGTTTACTTGTATTCAATTTGTGATGTCTACATAACACACGTGTGAGTTGATGTGCCGTGTCGTTAGTCTAACTGAAGCTCGAGTATATATTTGAAATGCGCATGGTGCCTCCACAACCAATTTGAGTGCTTTTGGTGGCGTCTCCATTTACTCACAATATAAAATTTCCAATGTAATATTTTGCTCACGTAATTTGTAAAGGGAATGAAAATCTAGATTTCCATAGAATTTGCTACATTATTTAATAAATCTCTGTCTGTAATTGTCAGAATAAATTTGTGTTGGCAAAACCAATAAGTAGAAGTGACCGGAAATGTTTTTTGTTCACCAATACCCACAACATTTTCGGAATAAATGTTTGAGAAATCAAATTTCATCACGAAAAAAAAAGAATATTGTGCACATTTCTGATGACTAATCAACATTATCAAGCCATATGCGAATCATTTGAGTGGTTGTCATCGTTCATACAAATTTCTGGAATAAATTATACAAAATGCAACTTTCCTCATGATAGTAATTGAATTGCAAATGTTTCAATTAAGCTGCTTTATGAATTTCCCAAAATAGTTGAATGTTAAGCACACATTTCAATGCATATAGACATAGACCGAAAATAGTATTATTTATGAGCTACAAGAATGTCCTGTTCTATTTAGTTGCATTTGTAATAAATAAAATTAATTTAATGTGGATAAAGTTTTCGGCAGTCCCACAAAATGTATTTGAATCAACAGTTCAACTTTTGGCTTTACGTTGCATTGGTTTGCATGCCAAATTTATTAGCTCCTGAAATGGCATGACATGACCTGGTCGTTCGATGTGTGTTTGTGTGTGCGGAATTTAGTTGGCGAAAAACTAATAGAAAATTGTAAATGGAAAATTCTGTGACAAACACAAAAAAAAAAAACCGCCCAAAACTCCATCATTTTCTACCATTGCTACAATTTTGGGTTGAGTACATTTTATTTATATATATTTAAAATGGTAAATCTTTGACACAAAACCGGATTAGCACAAAGAATACAAATGTATGTTGTCCTGGTCTCCTGGATAAAAAAGGTCCACAAAAACAAATGCAGCTGAATAATTTCATGGTATTTTTATGTGCAACAATTTGGAATTAAATTGCTGTGAAGAAAACAGAAACTTTTATTTGTTTTATTTATGCACTCATTCAGTCTCGACGCTGTTTTGAAATGTAAAATCATAATTTGTGGCCCAATCATGTGCATTCCATTCGTGCGCACGATGATCATGATGATGATTCATTGAAAAGCTGTGCTTCCAAAAGATAATGAAAAAAAAAAAAAAAAAAAAAAAACAAATTGAATAGCGAAAAAAGAACGAACAATATTACAGTCATAAAACCTATTTTTAGAGGGCCATACGCACCGATCGGATCGACGTTGAATCTGCCAATCGGAAAACAAACCGACAACACAATATAATTTGCCGGCTCAAAATGTGGCATAAATAATACGTTCAGGACTCTTCAAAATAAAATTGGCTCTTTTATAGAGGAGCCTCTCGCTTTGCGCGCGATCTTTTTTTAGAAAAAAAAAACAAATGATGATGATTCTCTGTGGTATTCAAATCATTGTAATTGATAGTTTTACGAGAAATTTTATGTTAACAAAACGTGTTGCCAAATAAATGTCGATGATAATGAGGTACATTTTCAGAACGGTCGAAATTCCATTTATAATCACACAACGGATACGAATAAATAATGAAAATTTAATTTCAACAAAATTTACATGCACTCTTTTATCAATAAATCTAATTAGAGAAAATGGATGAACTCATTCAAATAACGATATTCGAAATGGTAAATAAAACTGAATGATATTTATATTTAGAAATAAATTGGGACATTGTCATTTTAAAACTGTCATTGTGCGTTCGGGCGTTCGTGTGTTCGATGCGAATTTTCCACTTAGCCAAATAACAATGGTGGTCAAAATGATGTGCATAGTGGTAAAAATCATCTCGTGCTTTACCATAATTCGTATTTAATTTACGTTTGAGGGGGTTAATCGGATTCCGACATGTTGGTGCAATACACTCACAGGCATTATCATCATCCCGCCATTGTTGATATCGGTTTAGTTGCATTTCATTAGCTGTGTACTCATGCTACAACTAATGCAAACCGATTTGTTTCCATCTCCTGGACACAATCCGTTCGCTCGAACATTCAACTCCATCTCGTACCATTGGCGAACGCATCAACAACAATAGAGCACGAAAAAACCCCATTTCAAATGCTATAACTGATAGTTGTGAATAAATACCAAAATAAATGGATATGCAATGCACTTAATCGTACATTAGGAAAAACTAAACAATAACATACAGTGGCCAGATGCGAACGTAGAGAGAGAAGAAAAAACAACGGGCGAAAATGCATCAACTGAATACACAATGTTATGGCATAAACGAACGAGATAACAGCTGGATCGATGTTTCGAGTGCAACATTCACATGTGAGCCGGTGAATGCCAATGTGTTTGCTTCTTTGTATCAAAAATAACAACAAAAATAAATGCACACAATTCGTTGGTTGGTACATTGCGGGAGATTTTCCATCCTCTCACTCTCGTGTGATGCAAGATTTATGGCCACATCAATTTTCAAGTAGTTCCACTGTTTTTTTTTCTCTCTATACACTCACAGAACGTTATAATAGTCCCAAAAAAATTGTATGTACACACACACAAGTTGGCGACTGATCTCAATTTAATTTAATAAATGGCTTTCTATTCATCAAATGCGCGCCTTGTTAAGCGACCAAACAAAACATCCACATTCTATGAAATGGCAGAGCATTCAGCGTCCAGCTACTATTCAACGGTAGCCGTTGTTTGATTTGGATAATGGGGACCATGTTGTAGTGATTAGAAAGTGTTCAAAATAAAATAAAACATATACTATTAATTTAATTCATTTTTTTATTTTTTGAAAATGGACATAATTCAAAGCATCATTAATGCTGTTTGTTTGAATGATGACTTTAGATGAGAGCATTTATCTTTCGCTAAATAACAAGGATACAGTTTTTAGTTTCAATTTTAGAATAGCACACACACATTCATTTTTGTATTTCATTTAATGATCAAACGTTTAAAGCATTGAAGCTGATTTTTTAGTAATTTCGATTTTATGTGTTTCGCCTCAAACTTTCTTTGATTTTACATCGAAATTAATATTAAATGCTATTATGTTATTAAGTCTATTTCACTTTTTGTTATTGAGGTAATTTTCCAACTGATTTTTCCTTTCTAATTCCACTAAAAACCCAATCCCATTTGCCTCATCGATTTTTCCGTTATTTCTCTTTCTTTTTCCTCTCTCTCGTTTATTTTGTCGATTTGTTGTCGGTTCGATTTCTAAGAATCTTTTATGATATACAATAGAAGTGCACTGACATTAATACCAACATGTAAAAAGTCTATGGCTTATGTAACTTGTTCAATTAGGCCCATTGGCCGTGTTTCTCTAGGTGAAATCGTGATTTTTATTGAGTGCAGGACAGTAAATGCACCGTATTCATTGTAAATTACATATACTCTTGCTTGATATTTGCGTAACTCTTTTGATGCATTCAAATACAAACGTATATATATTTTAAGTACTACTAAAAATCCATTCATTTACGGTCGTTCGAATAGAATGAGAAAAGTTTTACTTTCAATGTCCTCATCTCTTTCGATCGTTGTTCGGTCGTCGTTTCGGCCATCACAAAAACTAATCCGTTTGCATGTGCATTGTGCATGTTGTGTTCTAGAGAGTCATTTACAACATTTATATCGTGTCATGCATTCGGTAGCACATTTTATTGCGGCACTCCGACATTTCCCGATTTCTCTTGCCACCTTCTCTCATTGCCGCCGCCACCGTCAACGTCAAATTAGTAGTGTGACGCTGCAAGCTGCAATCACATTTTGCACTATTCCCTCTATTTCGTCATTCATTTTCAATGTTTTACCATCCATACAATTTCGTATGTACTCTCATTCAAATTTGTTGAAATACACATTTAATTTTAAACATTTGTTTTGTAAACCGATTTAATGTGATCGTCTCGCACGCAAAGCACTCAAACATCTGTTTAGACACCGTTTGAATCAGGAATTCAAAACATTAACAGTTTTGAATCAATGTGTGCCAGCGAATACAATAAATGGACCGATAAACAGTCATTGTCGCATGACATCGAGTAAATTACAGACAAAGAAGGCAAATAAAGCGTAAACAAAACATCTTCACTGTGAAAATGTGTGAAATTGACTGGACGTAAAACAGAGGGGGAGAAAAAGAGAGAGAGAAGAACAAAATGTGTGATCAAATCATCAATATTCAGACCATAAAAGAATATTTATTAGCATGTAAATTGGGCAATTTATTTACCAGAGCTAAATTGATTTTCACACAGATTTATCATCATAACTGCTCTCACATGGATTTTGAAACTTTTCAAACTCTTTTTTGGATTTATCTTTTAGCATTGGTCAAGTGGTTGATCAGACTTCTGCTAATGGATTTCAATGGCTATCAAAGTTGCTAACTCAACTTTGAACTAAAAGGAAAAAAAAACTTTGAAATGTAATAAGAAAGGAACTCGTTCCGTAGAATTGGTTTGGTCGAAATACAACTTTGTTATACAAAGTTTGCATGTGAAATTCGGGTTTTTTATTTAAAAAAAAAATGCACTTAATAATATGAGCGAACAGTGGCAACGACAGTAAAACAATTGCCATGGAAATAAGTGCAATCGTCGATGCATTTAATCGGTTGACGGTTTTTTTTCTTGTGCTGTTGTCCGGATGCCGGTGCACATATTCTGCGAATGTGCATGAAATTCAATATAAATATGTACGAAATAATAAATTTTCTTTTATGCTACTTGCAGTCTCGCGATCCTCCACGAATTGTGAAAATGCCGCCAAGATAAAGAAAAAAAGGCATAAATTACGCATTCACTTGCATACATGAGCCTTTGCCATTCATCACAGCCGATGCCATTTGTGATGTTTACGGTACGAAGAAAATAAAGTCGATTCAAATGAAACGAACAGCCATTATTATTACGATTATAATTTTGTTGAGCCGAACCGAGAAGCAAATTTACCCAAGGCTCAATGTGTACTACAAAACCGCATGTGTGTATTTTTACACATATTCCATTCCGATCGGAGAGCGTGCGCGAGAGACAGACCTCATAACAACAAAACACATCCATCCGACGACAATTCCAAACAGCAACAGCGGTTCGAAATTCATTCAAAATGAAGCAGCAACAACAGCAGCGCAAGACACTACAACAAACAGCACAGCAGAAGCAACACGAAAGAGAGACGCAACATATTCAACAAATGAGAACAAAACGAAGCATTACTTAAGCTTCATATGACGAAGCGCGTGTGCGCGAACGCCTTTAACATTTCTCACAAGCCACGATCGTTTCAGTTACAATTCGAATTCGGTCGGTATATGTTGTGTGTACGATTTTTTCGCGTTTGTTTTGTATGGGTTTTTTGTTTTCGTTTCGTTTGCCGTGATTTTTCGTGTATTTACTGGGCATATTTTTTTTTTGTATTTATTTAAAAGAGGGTTAGTCGTTTTGATTTGTTTATGAATTTCTTTTTTTAGCTACGCCAGAGACAAAAGAAAGAAATAAGAAAACGAGTTTCGAATGAATGAATATAATCGAATTGCGCGCCCGTCATTTGTTTATCTCTCAATGGAAAACACATGTGAATTTTGATTATTGGTTTTACATTTCTGTTGTCTATCGCATTGTTTCCATTGCGTTTGCAATGATACTACATGAACCAAAGGGGAAGAAGACATTTAAAAACATTTGTAATTTGATCTAGTTTTCGTTCTGTGGACACGTTCCTTTTCTTCACATGTATGGTTTAATTTTGGTTGATCTTGCTACGATCGCGTGCTCCTTTCAAATATAATCACGTTTGTGTTGCTCTTTGCATCTATCATTTTTCACAATTTCAACATTCCGCGAGGCCACAGACAAAAACACGCGTAACTTTTTGATATTCGCTTACAGCAAATATGGTCATTTCCAAGTATTGTTGCCTCTTTTTTTTCGTCGCCGTTTTTTTGTTATTGCTCTTGTTATTGTTACACGCGAACATGCTAGCATGAGATCAAAGTGAGCGAGCAAAAGATCACATATCGCCGGAGATTCTTGACGAAAAAAACAAAAATAATATTGGAATTTCGGAACGATATTCATGGAGAAAAGCAAAACAAATTGATTATGGTTTTCGCGTATATTCCAGTATATTCTGTAAGATTCCGAAAATACGTGCATACAGAGGTATAGAATGGAGTTGTGAGAGCGTAGCACAGTGGCATTTAAAATTGGTAATCGAATTCATCGATCGGAACGAATAAATCGTATTCTTTCTACACATATTTCATATACCTCTCAGCGTGCATATGGATTTTTTTTTCTCGAATTTTTAGGTCTTTCAAAAAGATTTGTTGAAAAGTGAAAAATACACAAAAAAAAAAGAAAAAAAAAACAAAAATTATCGATCCATAAATGGTTTCAATTAAATTATGTGCGCGCTCATGTTGGTGTTACGTTTTTTTCTTCTTCTTGCCATTCGCCCAAAAATAAAGTTTTCTCACTGATTCAATTAAATCATCGTGGGATTTATTTGCGCAGTATTGAAATCATGTAAAACATTGAGTTTTTTCTTCTCTTAATTGAAAAAAAAAATCAATTTTTCAACTTGATTTCGTTTTTCAGAGTAACAATTTCGATCTAAGACAGAGTATAAAGTGTATGTAAGTGTATTTTGGTAATAGAGGCGAAGTAACTGCATGTTGCCGCTATCTCATCGATCGTCATTCATAATTCACTGCATTCATAAGAAGCAATGTGCATTTCGTGTTCGAATATAAAAATTGGTGTAAAGTGAACGACCGATTGAAACAAACACAACCACATATATAACGTTAAATAATAATAAAAAAAGAGAGAAAAAAAAGAATCGATATCTGGTGTGGCATAAATCAAAGTGATTATTATATGATTTTTTTTATGTGCAAATAATACTTGACACAAAAGCTGTTGGTGCTTGTGTGTGTGAGAGAGGGGTTTGGTGGATTCAGTCAACTAACTTACCGAAATTAACACTTCTGCTGTCCAAATAAATTGACCAGACATTACATTGATGTGTTTGTAAACAGTGTTTTAAATTGTGTTTATTTAACGCAAAAATATATCAAATTATCGCTGGGATTTAAAGAAGCAGAGGCAAAAGAGACTTACAAAAATTTTGTTATATTCAACCGGTGTGAAATCAATTTTGATGATTTAAGCGAATTTCGTAAGGGAAACGAAGGAAAATCGCGCTACAACATTTATAACATTCATCAAATCGAACTGGCAATACAAAGGCAACGCATAGATTTCACGGTTAGTTTATTTTTAAATTATATATAGATACTGTACAATCGAAAAAACAGAAATCGCAATAATTGTCGATGCATCGATTTATCGAAAATACCTATTATTTCTCAAATAATATAAGTTGTTTATGGCTGCTGGCCCAATTAACGCCATATTAACTTTGCATTTATTCCGATGTGTATCTTTTGATTTGTTTACTTATTTATTTTACACTCGTTTTTTTTCGTTTATTCATTCTGTGCCGAGCGAATATGTTGTTTTCTTCTTAAATGACGCATTCACCAAACAATATATTCATCATTATAGGTGTGGATTTATTGTTGTTTTATCGTCGCATTACATCTGATTGCAAGAGATGAGGTAATGTAATATTCAGCACATTCTCAATGTGACTTTGCGGAATAAAGAGTTTCTGACGAATAGTGCAACACACCGTATCGAATAAATTCACTTACTCTTCATGCTATCAAATTGAAGGTTTTTTTTTTCATTTATTCATTCTCGCTTCACAAAACTTAATCTGTTTGACTTTGAAATTGTTAGTTATGAAATTTGTTATTTGATATCGATTCCATTTTATGATTATTGCAGCGAAAAAGTAAATGAAAAGTCCAATCGTTTTATTATCAAGTTTTTTTTTTAAATTTCATCTTTCTCCGGTTGATAAAATCCAGAGTGACTTTCTTTTCGGTACGATACACGGTCACATACTGTATTATTCATAGCACATCCATAGCGTGAGTCGTATCATTTTTTTGTTTCGGTTTTCGTTTAAAGAGAACTTGTTTGTCAATTTACGTCGTAATTAGATATGTATTTATTGTTGTGCAGTGGCTATGAAACGTGAACGTATGAATGTCATATGTGCTCAGGTCACAGCTAAATCCCAAACCAAACAGAAAAATATTAGCTTACCACAAAATATATAGAAAACGAAAAAACAAAAATGGTGAAGTCAATGCGAAAAAAAAAATGCCGCACATGAGAACGAAAATATATATGTAGACAAATCGAGTATTTGGAATTTAGATTAAAGTGTTTAAAATATGGAAATATACTTGTAAGTATTCCGAATGAATTTATGGAAAGATAGTTGAACGAAATGGAACGAAATATGTCAATTTGTGTCGTAATCAGCACGAAACGCTAAAAAGAGAGAGAGAGAGAGAGAGAGAGAGAGAGAGAGAGAAGATAGTATTAGAAAAACTGACACCAGAACGAAATCGAATCCACCAAAAACCATGTCATTTTTTCGACAATGCCGCTGTATACACAATTAAACATATACCTGCGTGCGAGTGTTGTGGCTTTATCGACTGAATAAATGAATGAAAAAAAAATTGTTAGAAATATCACTATACATCACTTGTGTACAGTTCAAACAGTGCATCCGTTGTTCACAATAGACGCTGAAAAAAAATTACCATGGATACTGAATGTATTAAATTCGGCCAGACACTTTTTCATCCACTTGATGGAAATCGTATTGGTCTCTCTTTTTTTTCCATCTCATTGTCCAAATCCTCGTGTTTACTTTTTGCACTCGCACAAAAACGTGTACTGTTGCAATTGAAGAAATAACACGAAATTGTTCTAGAAAAAAAAATATGATTCTATTTTCAATAATATGTGCTCTCTTTTTTTCTATGTGAGTTGTTCAACACCCAAATGAAAAAAAAAAAACGACGACGACAAATAACATGAGATTCAAGTATTTTTCTCGTTTGCTATGCACACACGCAAGAAAAAAACCGTACGCGTGAGCATCATGAAAAGATTTATTATGTGGAGTCTCAGCACACTGTGAATGGTCCAGTTTTTCCGTATTTTATTGTTATGGTTATGTGCAGTTTACTTGAAAATGAAAAATAACTTCAAAATGAGTGCGCGTTGAATAAACAACGGATACGCAGCTCTTTTTTCTCTCTCTTTTCTATGCCATGGCGCTACGTTATATGCCAAAAATTTACCAGATACATTTATTTCGGTGAATGATTTGTGTTAAAAAAGAGTGTAATACCAATAAAAAAAATTCCATACAATTCGTTTCCGAGCGAACTATTCAATAGCGTTTTGCGTTGGCCGGTTTCTTTTTTGTTTGAGGCAATTTCGCATCTCCAATCAATCAATAGTCATGATTTTGTTACGCTCTATTTTTCGGTAGTTCAATCAGTGGAGGAAGAGAGAGAGGGAGAGAGAAGAACCAACGTCAATTTTATCTCACCGGCTGAATTTCACAATATAACAATATGCTAATTATTCCAGGCTGCCGAGCAATAAATTAGCTCTAGAACAATATGCCAATGCAATCAAGTCAATGTTTGATATCTAAAATTGTATATTTTACCAACTAAAACAATAGGCCAATCGATGAACATGAACACAGTGCCCTCAATACTTGTCTCAATGTTTTTGTGCATACAGCCAAATGTGAGCATATACAAAAACACACACATACACAGCTATGGAAATGACTCAATCAAATCATCGATAGCTCTCGATAATATAATTGATTTAACTCAAACAAATATGTAATCCGGTGAATGTTATTTAAATTTATTATATTGATTCTAATGCGGTTTCAGCACTTCTATGCACTATTATATAAATTAGCCTTTTCCCTCTTTCTCTCTGTCACTCTCTCTCTCTCTCTCTCTCGCCAAGCATTCACCCATTTCACACGTGAGTCTTTCACAGTGCAAGTTCCGGACGGAAATTCAATTTTATGATTTTGTTTATTGATTCAACAACCGAGGTTCGAGCATTGAATTTCAATTCAATGTACTATTGACTTTATTGAGCGCCAACACACCGAATGTGTTTTCGCCTCTCTTGCTCACTCTCGGTCAATCATGTCAGCTCTCAACACATAAACACATTGTATTCATTCAAGTCCAACCACATATTTTTTTTTCTTGTTCGTTATTGTTTCCCTGGAGAGTATGAAAAAGAAACCAAAGTGTTAGCCATCGCAAAATACACATTGTTGTCCAATGATATTTACACCGCAGACAATTCAACATCCCACACTCAAAAACTTTTCAATATTGGTCAGAAATTTTTATTTCTCCGTTGTGAAACAGGTTACGTTATAAATCGCTATTAAATTGCAATGAACAAGAAAACTCATTTACGCGCCAGAAAGACGAAAGAAAATGAAACAGACAAAAATCGATTCGATGCAATTTCATTCAAGATTCAAGACAATTTGTCTAACTTAACAAATGAGCCGATTTTCATGTTAGTGTTGACTTTAGCATCGACGTCGGAGTTCAAATATCTAATCAAATAAATTAAGTGTGGAACCGTCTTCAAGACCGGCGTGTTATACCAAAACTAATGAAAGAATGAATGGATCTGATAAATTGGTGATTAGGCTGCAATTAAGCTATTGAAATTTTGGACATAATTCGACTAAAAAAGAGTCGTCAGACTCATTGAGAAAAACGCCGAAAATAATCTGTTGAATATCTGCCTCCGCACAAGGTCTGAGATTTTCTTTTCTCTTTTTTTTCCCGAACTGGGTATGAATCACTTTGTAAAATTCGCTGGAGAGCATGTATGCATGTCCGTTGCCAAGTGAGGTCGATAAATTTAGTCAGTAGCATTGTATGGGCGACAAATGAGCAAGAGGCATAGACAAAGAGTGTATGTAGAGAGCAAGAGCAAAGAGATCATGGCAACACATTCAACGGTCGTCAGAGATCGGGTATGGGTGAGTTTGCATGTAGAAAAAACATATGTTACAAATTAGTCGAATTGTTTTAAAGAGTAACGGCGGCAGCAACGACGCTGCTGCCGCCGCCGACGACAACACACAATCAACCAAAAGCAGAATATCATTGACCTCTTGACACACACGATGCGATCAAATGCCATTCCTTCAATTCCAATTAAATTTCAGTGAGCGAATATAGTGAGATCGAGCGAGATGATTTGAATGTGTCTTTGTGTTAAATAGAGTCGCAGTTAAATCGATTCAAATACGGGTCTCTTTTCATTGCATTAACATTTGTTTTTATTGCACGAGAATCAATTTCTTTGAAATTTAAATACATTTGGGGCGTCTGTATTACGGTATATGGCGCTTCAAACAGAAACGAACCGAACGCATGAACAAAAAAACTGCCGATATACAAACATCAAAAATAATGGAATGTTAAGAATCGCATTGATGTGTATTTGCCACAGACAAAAACGATGCGCCTAATTATATGTTCCCATTTTGGTGAATTTTTCCTGCGTCAACCACTTTAAATAATCAATTTCAATGGAGCATAAAAATTTCATTTAATTCGCTTTGGCGAAATTCATCTTTTGTGCGAATGAAAACAAAAGACCGACACCGCGCTCAAATCTCATTTACATTGCGGGAAAAAAACGAAACGCGTATTCAACGTTGATGGAAAAAATGACGAAGAAAAAACCTGTTATTCGAAGCACTTTTTTGGTTTGCAATTCAATGATGAATGACGATGATTATTATGTTGTATGATTTTATGATAACAATAATTACGGTGGTCTTTATGGGTTTTTATTCAGTCATGTGCCAGCACCATCATTTCTTTACCTCATCGCTTTCGGAATTTGGCCATCTTTAAAAATATGAGAGAATACTTTCATTGATTTGTTTTTCTTTTTCTGTTTGAATTACATCTGTACGTGCATCTTTCCTCTCTTTCACCCCATCTCACATTCTCGTTATCTCTCGTTCCTTCTCTCTCCCGAACGTTGATTGCTAAGATATGAGCAATAATTTGCTGTTTAATGTGCACATGATAAACATAATTAGCGTGAGATACGAAAAGAAAGATGAGCAAAACCGCATTTTATGCCGTTTCATTCAAATAAATCATCGATCAAACGAAAAATGTGCGCGAAAGAACACATGCTCCATTCAAATCTGGACACAAAAAAAATGGAACCCGCGAACACTCTGAATAGGTAATAACACTGTTTTTTTTGTGCGCTCGCGTATATTATTGACTCTTTTCTTTTTAATCTCT